CTACAACTAAAAAAACGTTTGTTTGTAATTTACAAGTCATTTACCCACCTTGTAAATATTCGAAAGAAACTGGTAGTCTTGAAAAAAGCCGTTTTGAAAGGGACGAAAGTAATAAGAATCACAAATTATGGTTTGTGAAATTATAGGTTATGTTTTGTATTGGTACACATATACCTGGTTGCGGCAAATTATTACTAATGTGATATTTTATAAGAGCGGCGCAGCATATGATTATTGATCTCCCTGTATAATACTTTTTTATAGAATTTAATTTGTTTTATAGCAGACATTTCATGGCATGACGGATATTGACGTAGTTTTTATATTATAAAATTCCATGGCATCACAGATTATTGAAAAAGATGCGGGTTTTATTTTTCCAATTTTCCGTCTTTATTATGCGAACAATTGAAAACTAAAACGGTTGATTGACGTAAAAAATTTTTTTCTACAAAACACCTTAATACATTTTTGCTCTAAAATAATTTGGGGAGCCAATAATCGCATGTTATGAATTTTACATTGAAATCCCTATGATGCGTGATGCAGGGCACCACCCTGTATGAAATAGGGTTGTTGCGTGGATCTTGGAATCTTTTACAGTATCGGTTATATGTGAAGAACTGTGTCAAGTGGAATTAAATCACATAGCCACAAATCGCGTTGCTGTCGAGTCACCTTTGGAATTTTTGTTTACATGGGAAATTACTTAACTTGAACTTCCAAAGGCGACGACAGCAACTCATTTTTGATAGCCCCTTACTAATTCTCAAAAAAATTGTTTCTACACCATTAGATTCTATGTGTGAGTGTTCTTTGCCATTTTTTGGTGTCGTTTATAATTCGAAGCAGGCATGGGATAAGTGTTTCGATGTAGGCACAACAACACAAAATTCTAGGCCCTACAACAAGAATTTAGTGTACCCATACAGTACAGTGTATCCTATTTTAGTCGAAACTACAGTGTATTATATAAAAATTTAAAAAAAAATGACGGACATTTTTTTATATTTGCCATAGAGCAGGGGTCAGCAACCTATTGAAACGGAAGAGCCAAAAGTTACAATTTGCAAAATTTCCCAGTTTTTAAAAAGCCACTAAAAATTTTCGAATCAATACAATACTTATAGCGTTTTCGATTGGCAAAACTCGTACTGCACGAGTGTTGCACGAGAAATTGAAAAAATTCATGTGAAAATTGCTCTCAATGGAACATAAATATTTGTTGTCATTTGTCCATAACCTCATTTAGATTTCGGTAATCGACAAATCTCTATTCTAAAAAATGACTGAAACGATTTCAGTATATTTATGATAAACGATGAGGAATATAAATTTGAAATTCCTGTAAAGGACCAATTTTTGGCGTTCAGTTTAATGAGTAAGTGCAACTTTTTGTAAAATAGAAGTTATGGCTAGTTCATAATCTTCGCTAGCGCTAGATGACGACAAAAAACTCTCCAAGGGAAGAAACAAATTCAAATTGTCGCACATTTTTGTTTTGAAGATTAGCTGCACGATCTCTCGGACCTCGTGCGTCGAAATTTGCACTGAGTGCGTAATTGTTGCATCACATTTGCCAATGGAACACAGAAAATTGCCCTAAAGTTACCAATGGAACGTAAAAATTGCACTCGTGCAGCACGAGTTTTGCCAATCGAAAACGCTATTAGTATTTGGTCATATACAGGGTCCTGCAACAGTGCGTCCGTGTTTCCTAGATTATACCCGGTAAAAAAGATTTTTAAAACTTGTGTACAAATGTCAACTATAGATGGTTAGGGATCTACAGAAATTATTTTTGAATGTACAGGGTGTCCCATTTTTACGGTGTCAATAAATAAATGATTTTTTAAATAGAACATCCTGAATATTTGTACTTGTTTCAATGTCATTTATTCAAAGTACCATAACTATTATTTTTCAAATTTTCGATTGTGTTTTGTGTTCTCTTCAATTTTTATACGAGGTGTCCTGTGCTTAAAGTTCATAATTTTTAGGTTATTCAAGTTTTTTTCTTATTAATTAATTACATGTTTATACATCAGAGTAGGCACTATATACCAAAGCATTTTGTTTTATCTCTGGCCCTCTAGACGAGGATAGCGGCTACAAGCTTACATCTTTCACGCTCGCCCCATGCGCATGGGAGCCCGACCGGGCAGCACTTAGGCACACCAGAGGCCCATTGTGCCTCACCATTTACCCTTCAGAGCATTTACATGTTCTAACTAAACAAAGAGCGTTGTTTTGAGTCATCCTTAACCACTGTTTGGTTTCAGGTGAAGGTTCCTCGGTACCGTCAGATATCGAGACACTACGCCTCTTGAGAGAGGTCCTAACAAAGGGCTTAAAAGAAGACGTTCGCTCGCTCGATGGCTTCATGTCCTTTGATTTAAGAATGAATAGAATAGAGCTCAATTTTTATGGGCGTTTCTCAAGGCTTTTGAAAATAGCGTAATATTTCCTAACTTGTTATATTTATATTAAATATTATTTGCAATATTGCATTTTACCTATTAGAATATATTTTTTATTGCAGACATCTAGGTTTCCATGGCGAACAAAAGATGGCAGGATCGTTTAATTGTTAGTAAAGTCACTAGATATTAAACCACACAAAACGAGACTTACGAGACTTAAACATCAAGCTGATAAAGACGAAGAAACATAACCACAAATCTATCTAACATATCATTAATCAGATGGTTAAATTTGGCAACGTTGGTATTTGTTATGATGTTTATCCGCTCCTATAGAAAGTACCGCAATCATCCGCCATTTTTGGGCAAATTTGTTGCCAACTTAAAAAAATTGACAAATAAAATCTGAATAGCTGTCATTTTTTATAACCTAACTTCATAGTACTGTCATGTTCTATAAAAATATATACGATATCTCCAAACAAGTGGAACAATCCCTAACATTAAATTTACTAGAATCTGGTAACTTCCGCCATTTTTGGGCAAAAATCATGCGTTCTCTCTCTAACACACGAGCCCAATGGATTGCGGTACTTTCTATATTTAGTGACTTTAATTGTTAGTTCCAAATATTTTTTATTTAAAATAACACACAAAAAACGTGAAAACTTTTGTGAATAAAACAAATAAGTCATATAATATACAGTGTAAAAGGGAAAGATTACCAAAACAGTCGATTATTTCAAAATACACAAGCGTTATCAAAAAATGTCTTCTATAAAAGTTGTAAAAAATATAACTACCATTCTCCACAACTTTGTGGGCGACCCTATATTTCAATTTATCACAGTTGTGCAGATTTTTAACAGCTCTACAACTTTTATATAAAACGTTTTTTGATAACACCTGTATATATTGAAATAATCGAACGTTCTCGAAATTTTTCTTAACCCTGTATACATAAATAATACAGATAACCAAGAAATTGTCGTTTTAAACAATCCTGCCATCTTGTGTTAGCCATGGAATTTAATATAAAAATAACAATTGATAAATCATGTTTTTAAGTAAATTTTACGCTGTTTTCGAATATATAGCGTGGTCCGTATGAAAAAATGTAGTTTAGAGTCGTATAAAAAACCAAGCACTCCGTATAAAAACTGTGTATCGCGATGGATTCTACATAAAAAGTGCTGTAAGAAACGTTTTGCCAAAATCAATTATCTTTGATAATAAGGAAGTTATGGGGCATTAAAGAAATCGACTAAATTAGAGAAACGCCCCCTCGCGGCCTAACAATTAGAGCTGAATTCTGTTTGTGCCCGTGATTTTCTCTTTAAAATTGAACTCCAGATTAGGTCCATTTTCTCTCTCTTAAAATAAAGGATGTTATCATAAGAAAGTGTCCAATTTGGACCACTCTGTACTTCACTTTCAATACTCATTATGAAGTATTTATAAAATTTGTTTTCATGTGTCGATAAAGAAAAGATTCTTAATTTTTTTGGAATCTGAAAATAATTCTCAACTCTTTCAAGATTCGAGAAATAATAAAATTTTTTCCTGAAACTACTTTCGAAACACCTACTTTCGTCTCTAAAAAGGGTGAAGAAAAGAAAATGTGATTTTCCTCTCTAGTGAGGAAAGTAAAAAAACCTCGTAAAAAACAATTGCTGCGTTAATCTTAATCATGACATTTAAAATTGAAACATAACCCGCATTGCTGTGTGTCAACCTTCATTTTTGCATACGATAATTTTTTAATTTTGATTGTAGTTTCAGAAAAAATATTGTGTAAAACTTGTATGATGTAGTAACAAAAATGGAGAGAGAGGATTTTAATGACACGTGTTACTTGAAGAACCACTCAAGTAACTCAAAATTCCAAAAAGTAGCACAAAATGAGTTAATATTAAGATAAAAAACGAATTCCAATTTCCAAATATCAAATGAAGGTACGAAGTTGGAGCCTGGTTCAAAAACCGTACCAGTATTACAACATTTACAACAAAAAATAGCAGATTAAGTAACACAACCACTTTCAATTTTACATCAAAATCAAATACTAGCACAAAATTTGTATTGCTCAGTACAAAATTACAGTAAATCAAATTAAAGATTGCACTTTCAACTTCATGAATAACAATTCGATTCCTAGACCACCTATTGACCAGATTTTCTTTATTAAGGTTTCTCTATGGTTTAGCACTGTTGTGTGTCTGCCCATCGGTGTGCACAATAAACATTGGAAGAAGTGGTGAATCGCTTGGAATTTGGTTCTTTATAGGATTGGTTTTCAGGCATCTAGGTCAAAAGGAACAGGATGCTGTGTGGATCAGGAACTGTCAAAAAAATACAAACAAATGAAACATGAGAAATTTCACATATTGATATTATATTAGTTTTTCATTGCTTGTTAAGAAATGTGAAAATAACCGGTTGGCAACTTGCCAAAGAAACCAATGTATTTTGTTTTTATTGTTTCACCCTGTATATTTTCGCGGCACATTTCCAAAATGTAACTGATAAATCGCAGAAAGCGATTCCTCAAGATAACTCCGATATGAAAATACTTACCTTATTTCTTAAACAGTTTGCGAAATCGACTTTCATGTCGGTTACCGAAACCCGATCGTTTGGTCGTTTCGGTCCACTCACAGATGACACCACCGTTGCCAAATCCAAGGACACGCTTTCGCTGAATACAGGTTCCTCTCCAGATTCGTAGTCGCGCAATTGACCGGTAGCACTTAGATATGTTTTGATCATTTCGATCTGTTGATTGGAACGATCTGCAAAAATGTAGTAATTTATTAACAGTCGACTGCTAAACTTGACGCTTACTTGTTTGTATTAAATAATCTAACGAATACGTGTCAACTGGGAAAAAGCCGACTGTAGCACCATACTCCGGACACATGTTGGCAATTGTCGCACGATCCGCTATGGACAGAGCTGCGACACCTGGCCCGTAAAATTCGACAAACTTCCCCACGACTCCCAATTGACGCAAATTCTACAAAAAAACACGAGTAGAATCGAGAAGTCCAAAGCACTTGGTACCTTTGTGATTGTTAAGACTAGATCCGTTGATGTGACGTACGGGCCTAACGACCCGTGCAAGTAGTAACCGACGACCTGAGGCAAGAGCATACTGATGGCCTGCCCGAGCATAACGGCTTCAGCTTCAATTCCACCGACCCCCCATCCGAGTACTCCCAATCCGTTAATCATGGTCGTGTGGGAGTCTGTGCCGACGACGGTATCGGGGTACAACATCGAGTTTTTGTCGGAAAATACGACGCGAGCGAGATATTCCAAATTGACCTGGTGGACTATTCCGCTGCCGGGCGGGACGATTAACATATTGTCGAACGCCTTCGCTCCCCACTAGAACATATGCAATTACAGTTAGTCAACAAGGCTTAAAGCAAACAAACCTTCAAAAACATAAACCTCTCTTTGTTGCGTTCAAACTCCAAATCCTGATTTTTCTGTAACGCATCCGCCCTAAAAAAAATCCTTGTACTTACAACTCTGAAGTTGGCCTCGAAGATAAAAAAAATTGAGAAGCAAATATTATTGTATAGTAAAGTCAACTGTTTACTCAAATTGTATTTTTAATTTCGTTAAAAATGATTCGATCTCGAGATCTTTTTGAAGCAAGTTCGCATCGATTCTGAAAAAATGTGTCGGTTTGTGAACTTTAACGCCTTGTGGAGCCTAAAGGGTTAGACTTAAGAAAAAAATGTAAATTCCGCAATAAGAAATTGGGGGTCACTCTAACAGCCCCGGGTGGAGGGTAAAAATGCGTTATTTTTATCAGAAGCTGTTTAGTACTAATAAAGTTGAAGCCTCCCAAGTAAAATAGATTGTTTTAAAAAATTTCAAAATTTTTTCCTCACTACCCAAATTATGGAAAAAAATTCGACTTCCTAGGTGTATACAGGATGTTCCAAAGAAGTCGCTACATGGATTTCGTTGGCAAAAAAAAACTAGAAGATCAAAAAAATTCGTTAACATCATTGGATTGGGTGTAGTCGCTGTAGCTCCCGGTGAAAATAAAATTTTTTTAAATAATGTGTTATTCGACAAATTGAAACGGCGTCGTAGTATACAAACGTTATAAAATTGACTAGTTTCGTCGCATATACAGGGTGTTACATACATATATGTATGTAAAAAATTGGATGGTAGAGGGTATCAAAACAAGCACTTTTTCCAATTAAATTGAGGGCCCAACGTTTGGGAGCCAACGTCATAAAAGTGGTGAAGTGGTCATTATCAATTATGACGTCATATCATGTAGCCCCGTTGACACCCTCAACAGCCGAAGTTGGTTACAGATCAAAACCTAAATAGGACGTTTTCGATTCCCCATACCAACTTATACAGGGTGTGCCATAAGTGTGTGGGTGAAAGATTATGAGTTTATTAACGAGTGTATATTTAAAATTCATTGTGAGGGAATGTTGAAGGACCCTTAAGGCTGCAACCTAAAAATATTTTCAACAAAATTGCAATTGTTATACAGGGTGATTTATATCAAAGTTGCATTCTTAAATGGAACTCCCTGTATATACAAGCTACAGGCCACATTCTATAAGAAAATATTTTTTTTCGGTCGATCTGAGACAATTTTTTCCTTCGAGCCAAAAAAATGGCAGTGTATAACCTTCCATTTTTACCAAAAATCGACTGCACCAAAATTTCTCGGGAAAAAACTTTTTCTAATTAATTTTGGTGCGTAGAATCCAAAACGATTCGTACTTTTTCGATTAGACGTCTCAATCAAAAGTTATGGGCAAAAAACGAATTTCGACAAAAAATTCAACGGGCTGTAACTTTTGATCTAGTAGCCCGATCTTGGAACTGTTTGAAATTATGGATTCTACAGGCCACATTCTATAAGAAAATATTTTTTTCCGGTCGATCTGAGACAATTTTTTTCTTCGAGCCAAAAAAAAGGCAGTGTAAACCTTCCTTTTTTACCAAAAATCGACTGCACCAAAATTTCTCGGGAAAAAACTTTTTCCAATTAATTTTGGTGCGTAGAATCCAAAACGATTCGTACTTTTTCGATTAGACGTCTCAAGAAAAAGTTATGGGCAAAAAACCAATTTCGACAAAAAATTCAAAGGGCTGTAACTTTTGATCTAGTAGCCCGATCTTGGAACTGTTTGAAATTATGGATTCTACAGGCTACATTCTACAGGGTGTTACACGACCGTTCGAAAAAAAAAAATCGGGTTGTAGAGGGCATCAAAACAAGCACTTTTTCCAAATAAACCGAGGGTCCAACGTGGTTCGTTTGGGAGCCACCCCCCAAAGAGTGTTGAAATCTGCATTTCTTCTTTAATTTTTTTCTCAGCAACCATAAGAGTTACAAAGTCGGGTGGCATGTCTTTGAATAGGTTTTTGGGTATGCTCTTTTCCGATTTTGCAATTTTTTTTTCAAAATTCCTACCCCTAAAGGGCGCACCCCTAAACTAGGGTGCAAAAAAAATTCTGATTTCGACGAAATTTGGTATCTGGGGTTTTTTTAACATGAAAATCACGAATCTGAAATTAGTTTTTGAAAATTCGAAAAAAAAAGTTCCACTACAATTCTTGGCGGGACAACGAAAATAGAGATAATTCCACGAAATTTGTTGTGTACATACTAAACGAGTTAAGGAACAAAACTGTCGAACAGTTTTTTAAAATAACTTTTCAAACAAAAGTTATGCTCATTTGAATGTTGGTCCTTCGGGTCGCGAAGTGTCCCAAGCCTACTAGTAAGCCATAATTTCGCATGTGTTGGTTGACAATGTCGCAAAAACAAAAGAACGCAACACAAAAAACGACGTAACTGACGTTTTACAATAAGGACGAACCTAATAAGTAAACATTCCATTGTTTTTAGGTAAATTGATAATTGGAAGAAATAAAAATAACAACTAACTTCACATTCATTTAATGTACCTTTTCGATTTGTCCTTAAAAGGAGCGTGTTCTTTTGGAAGTTATTTTTCAACCTAAGATTATGAAAATTTTTGATCATAGTGAAAAAGAATCATACGGAAAGTGATTTGACTTTTTCCCCTACCTTATTTAGATAATAAATAATCGATCAGCGCTTTAAGATACCTTGGTAGGTGTTTTAATCGATACATCGAATTTTTTTATCATTTAATGACCGAATTAATTCCAAATAACAAAATATCGACTCAAACCGTTAATCTTTTGTTTTTGCGACATTGTCAACCAACACATGCGAAATTAGGGCTTACTAGTAGGCTTGGGACACTTCGCGACCGGAAGGACCAACATTCAAATGAGTATAACTTTTGTTTGAAAAGTTATTTTAAAAAACTGTTCGACAGTTTTGTTCCTTAACTCGTTTAGTATGTACACAACAAATTTCGTGGAATTATCTCTATTTTCGTTTTCCCGCCAAGAATTGCAGTGGAACTTTTTTTTTCGAATTTTCAAAAACTAATTTCAGATTCGTGATTTTCATGTTAAAAAACCCCCAGATACCAAATTTCGTCGAAATCAGAATTTTTTTTTGCACCCTAGTTTAGGGGTGCGCCCTTTAAGGGTAGGAATTTTGAAAAAAAAATTGCAAAATCGGAAAGAGCATACCCAAAAACCTATTCAAAGACATGCCACCCGACTTTGTAACTCTTATGGTTGCTGAGAAAAAAATAAAAGAAGAAATGCAGATTTCAACACTCTTTGGGGGGTGGCTCCCAAACGAAACACGTTGGACCCTCGGTTTATTTGGAAAAAGTGCTTGTTTTGATGCCCTCTACAACCCGATTTTTTTTTTTCGAACGGTCGTGTAACACCCTGTATAAGAAAATATTCTTTTCCGGTCGATCTGAGACAATTTTTTTCTTCGAGTCAAAAAAAGGCAGTGTAACCTTCCTTTTTTACCAAAAATCGACTGCACCAAAATTTCTCGGGAAAAAACTGTTTCTTATTAATTTTGGCGCGTAGAATCCAAAACGATTCGTACTTTTTCGATTAGACGTCTCAATCAAAAGTTATGGACAAAAAATTCAAAGGGCTGTCACTTTTGATCTAGTAGATATGTATTACATATTTCGATTCCTTGGTCCATTTTAGTGACTTTTTTTATTACACATGATATCTAAAATGCGTCGGTTAGCCGGAATTCGTTGTTTTTTCAAAAAGTAAGTAAAAGTTTAGTTCATTGGCATTTACAATTATGTTGTTGATTAGTTAAGTTAATTTGTTAGAAAAATGGAATTAGAATAACATATTTTAAACGGTGCTCTTGACTTAAATTTTTAAGTATTCAATTTTTTGCTCTTCTACACAATGTTCTGGTGCACATCGTAGAAGAAATGTGGTTTCAGCACGAGGGTGCCCTACCTCATTTTGCTATAAACGTTAAAGAATGGCTGATTCAACAATTGACCAACGCGCTCTCCAGACCTTACACCACTGGACTTCTTCTGATGGGGATACGTGCAAGGAACTGTACGCAAAGAAGTCCCAATAACAAAAGAGCATTCGTAATGCTTTCACATCCATAACGCCAGAGGCGCTTCGTCGTGTCAAAGAATGATTTTCTAAACCCATCGACAAATGTGTGGTCTTGAACATTTATTGAAATAAGTATTTTTCTCTTATTTAAACTTTTTATTTCGATTTTTTAGATTTTGTTTTGTTTTATGTGGAGTAAATTTTTTATAAATTCAATTGTTTATAATTTTTAACGGCCTTCTAATTACTGAGAGGCTTTGAAAATTGAAAGACACTGTGAATTATTAGAAAATGTTGAATTACAAAAAATATGTAATATTGACATGCTTATATCGTTAAAAAGGTAATAAAATCCAACATTTGATGCGGTAAAAAAACTTGGTGGTTCTATTTAAAAAAACCAAGTTACCTTTAATCGAAATTTTGAAAATTGACGGAGTGATTTTTAACATGTTTAGTACCACTGCAAAGTCACAGCCTTCTAAGTTTTATGATAACTGCGATATTCAATTTTTACTGGACATCTACTTTTTGAAAAAACGACGAATTGCGGCTAAACGACTTATATTAGATATCATGTGTCATAAACTCACACTAAAATTGACCAAATCAAAATATGTAATAATATACAGGGGGCTCCATTAAAAAATGCAACTTTGATATAAATCACCCTTTATAACAATTGCAATTTCTGTGAAAATATTTTTAGGTTGTAGCATTAAGGGTCCTTCAACATTCCCCCACAATGAATTTTAAATATGCGCGTTAATAAACCCACAATCGTCCACCCACACACTAATGGCCCACCCTGTATGTATTAAAGTATGCTAGAAGATGTAAAATTACACTGTCATTGGTTGTTGCTATTGGCAGGGGCGGACTGGCCCGGGGGGGTGGAGGCAGGTGGCGATTACCACCTGGCCTGTAGGTCGTAATGGCCCGTTGGAAATTTATAATTATAATTTATAATTTTTTAAATGCATTCATCATTTTTTGCCGTTGAAACACAGTTATAGCTGCAATTTAAAAAAACTATTCTATTTGATTTTCGAGAAAGGAATACTTTAAAATGAAGCAAAAAATTGTATGGTGCAACAGAGCTCCCGCTCCCCCCCTCCCCCACCTCTTCATTACACTAATACTTTAATGGCTCGTAACCTATGCAATTGCACCTGGCCCGTAAGTACCCAGTCCGCTCCAGCCTGTTGGGTAAATAAACTATTATTATAAAGCAGTGAAAACTGTTTTGCAATATCTCTCACCGTTTTCGATTAACAAATTTTTTTAATTACCCCTGCAAATTCAATTTTTGACATAAAAACTTGAATATCGACGAAGCCTTTGGAGTAAAAGGTTAACTACGGGATATCGTTGTACTCCAAATTCGACGTAGAATCCGAAAATGAAGAAAAAATAGGGGGTCCCTATTTAAAATAACAAAGTTGATGTCTACTTCCGGTATTTACGGAAGTGGCGCCATCTTGAAGATATTTTAGTTCAATTCATCATATGCCAAAACCCTTAAGACATTTTGAAAGGTTCTCCATATGTTTCTAACTGACGCTGGTCAAGAATGACCCTGTATATTGGTGTTTCTTTGAGCCGAATCAAATTTCTTTTGGCTATTTTTCACCTTTTACAATATTCCAACGATACTTAACACAACCCTAACTTCATTCTCACAAGGGTCAGGCACAAAAAAAATGACAAAGGATAACACAATAAAAAAAGGCGATTGTAAACAAAATGTCGGTGATAGGACCATAGGGACCTACCTATTTCTTTTAACAAAGAAAACACTGCACAATTAAAATTTAACAATTAACCATTAATCAAGTCCTTTTAACATATTCTACTCTTTTCGTTTTTATCTAAGTTTCTAGATCTTGAACGAGCAAAAAGTTGTAATGAGCATGAAGTCGCTCACTATTCATTAGGGCTATCATTCCTTAAGAGGAGGCTAAACGTTAAAAACCATCAAACTAACCAAACGAAATGTAATAACCTTACGCAACTTTCAAAAAATCTTATGAGTTAACCTGCTTCTCAATTTTTTTATCGAGCAAGACTTACGATCGCACAAAATCGACCTGCACCGAATGATCAATAACTAAATCGGCCGGACAGATGGGATTAATTTTTTGGGGATCACCCCCCAGTCTCTTGACCGCATCTCGCATCGCCGCAAAATCGACGACCGCAGGTACGCCCGTGAAATCCTACAAAAAACGTCATTGCCAAGCAATCTCACTGTAAAAGACTCACCTGTAAAATAACACGAGCCGGTTTAAACGCGACCTCGATACCATTTTCGTCCCGTTGGTTGTGTTCCCAGTTGAGGATACTCTCAACATCCTTTTGCGTTACTTGAAAGTTATCACAGTTACGTACGGCCGACTCTAAGAGGATACGTATCGAATAGGGTAGTCGTTCTAGAAAAATTTGGGTGTAGTAGGGTCCGTAAAAGTCGAGTGGACTTACTGTATTTCTCACCCAAGGAGGCTATGTCGTAGTAATTATACTCCTTTCCGCTAATAATGACCTTTTTGAGTAGGTAATCGTAGGGATTTGGTTCTAGGTTAGAATGAATCGTCAATTTTTACAATTCTGGAAAAAATTAGTGTAAGTACTTACCAGCCATGTTCAAATTGGTGAAAGTCACGTACGTTTAGGAATTAATTTAAAATTGTAATAAATCTGAATTTTTGTGTGTGTCTTTTAATAAAACTTTACTATAATACGGCAAAAATACGGTTTTTAAAAGTAATCTAAAGCTGTTAATCCTCCTGCTGTTGTTAACAGTTAATTTGAAAGCATGGTGCTGATTAAAGGTTCATAACAAACCATGGAATGATACGAATCTACAAAAGGTCAAGCTGTAGGTTATATGCTCGACGCATCATTAAAAGTTGCGTATGAATCGAATATTTGCTTAGTAAGCGTACTTTGTTGTAATTGAATTGATTGAGAATGACATTTGTGCGCTTATAAATTCAAATGAACGTATAAATTATCAATGGGCCCACCTTTTCTTATTACATCCTTGGAGAAGTAACTTGGTCAGGTACAGGGACGGCTTAGGGAATTTTAAAAATAATAAATTACTATTACTCCCATCGTAAGTACCATTCCCCGCCAGGGAAATTCGAACTCAAAGAGCTTTGCCCTCAAAGACACTCGCCCCCTGCCACTAGGCTGGTCAATCTAAGCAGGTTTATACAAGTGAGGTAGAAAAAATTAGTAACAAAGTGATCTCTGCGGAAATGAGTACTCAATAGGGTCCTTATTAACCCCTCAAAAATCGCACTTTGTCGCATTGGTGGAACTTGGAAAAAAATGGCCGCCATCTTGATTTTTTTCGAATTTATTAAATATTTCGTAAAGTATACATTATATCAAAAAAACTCAAGAGACTTTTTTTATGGAGAATCAAAAGTTACCTATATTAAAAAAAGTTTAAGTCTATTGATCAAAAAACAAAAAAGTTATTGAAATTTATATGATTTGGGTAATTATCACATCTGTGTCGAGACTTAGATGTATTTCAAGAACTTAATGCAGATATAGCAGTTTTAATTAAATCAGGACTTAAAATTATTTTAAATCTGTACCGGTGTCCAAAGAAGATTCATGATATTAACCAGTTACGTCACACACTATACAGGGTGGTGACTTGCGTAACGCATCATAGGGATTTCAATGTAAAATTCATAACATGCGATTATTGGCTCCCCAAATTATTTTAGAGCAAAAATGTATTAAGGTTTTTTGTAGGAAAAATTTTTTTACGGCAATCAACCGTATTAGTTTTCAATTTTTTGCATAATAAAGACGGAAAATTGGAAAATTAAAACCCCCATCTTTTTCAATAATCTGTGATGCCATGGAATTTTATAATAGAAAAACTACGCCAATATCCGTCAAGCCATGGAATGTCTACTATAAAACAAATCAAATTCTCAAAAAGTATTACATTTATTAGAACAGCGAATTCAACATAAAGAAAGACCAAATTACTAAAAACGGTTTCCTAATATAACAATTTACAATAAATGTTCGAATAAGTCACCATTAACTGCAAGACAGTAACCAAGTCGATCATAAGATCCATTTCGATCTGCTGCTAATTGATAACTGGATATCTTTTTGTTTTAGAAAATTCCATGGCAATGCAGATTATTGAAAAAGTTGCGGGTTTTATTTTTCCAATTTTCCGTCTATATGAAAAAAATTGAAAACCAATACCTACTGTTGATTGGCGTTTCTAAAAAAAACCTTAATACATTTTTGCTCTAAAATAATTTGGGGAACCAATAATCGCATGTTATGAATTTTACATTTAAATCCCTATGATGTGTTACGCAAGTCACAACCCTGTATATGCGAATGACTTCAAGGCAAAGATTTAAAATAATTTTAAGTCCTGATTTAATTAAAACTGCTATATCTGCATTAAGTTTTTGAAATACATCTATGTCTCGACACAGATGTGAATAATTACCCAATTATTGCGTATTTTAACTTTTGATTCTCCATAAAAAAAGTCTCTTGAGTTTTTTTGATATAATGTATACTTTACGAAATATTTAATAAATTCGAAAAAATCAAGATGGCGGCCATTTTTTTCCAAGTTCCACCAATGCGACAAAGTGCGATTTTTGAGGGGTTAATAAGGGACCCTATTGGGTACTCATTTCCGCAGAGATCACTTTGTTACTAATTTTTTCTACCTTAACCACCTATTTTGACTAGCCTACACAGCGAGTATAGATAAAGAGTTTAATATACTGACATCCTCTGGGCCGCCTATTTGCAGAATATCGCTATTCTTGGAATAACTACCAAAGCAACAAGTATCCCATTGGTTGACGCGCGTGGACGTTTATGCTAGGTACCTGCATTGTAGAACCAGCCCTAGGAGAGTTCTGTGAAACAGTCAGAAAAAGGGTGTGCCTATAAAAAAAGCCTGTATAGTAGCAAAAACACTTCGAATGTCCTTTCCCAAAAACTACCACGAGAGCGCTAATCTCCGGGTAAAATGGAGAATTATCATGCGCTGCTTTGCTGGGGAATATTCCCTACTCCCAGGATCACCCAGTACTACAATGTTTAGTGTGGAGTATAGAATATAGAAGATCTGATAGTCCTTTCCCAAAAACTATCAAAAATCTTGAAGGCTGTGAGCACTTATCTGGGAAAATGTAGCACCGGTGGCAGGTGGGGAGTATTTCGCACCATATTACAAAGATTTGAACCACAATCCTATGAAGTATAAAATACCCCGTAAAAAAAGGAAGATCTGATAGTCCTTTCCCAAAAACTAACATGAGTCTTGAAGACTGGGTGAACATATTACGAAGATTTGATCACTGTTTCCAAAAGACTACCGTATGAGACTGCTAGGGATAGCGGAGAAAGAATTATCGATCCCTCGTTTTTCATTTAGAAGTAGATATGGCGATTTCATATGCCTACTTTTAAATGACAAAATCTCTTCAGAAAGACGCCTAATTTTATGCAACCAAAATGACATGCGCACGCATTCTGCACTGTCATACTGGATTTTAATAAAAGCGACAGTAAATAATATGCTTTTAGGTTATGATGAAGAGATATTAAGTTCGGCTGCTATATGGGATTCTCTTCCACAAAAATTAAAACATTTAGTTTCATATCCTCCGTTAAAATTGAGGGTTGTTTATGGTGTTTTATGTGAATTGCATTTAAACAACCACTAAAGTGATCAACACAGAATATATCTCTTACGGCACTCTACCAATTTACAATATCAACTTTTTCTTCATTTGAATACATCTCCCACAAACGAAAATAAAAATACGGAAGACAAAACAATAATATTAATTAATATGACAGCCAGATCTTCATTTGTTTTAACAAATTATTTTGGTTGCATAAAATTAGGCGTCTTTCAGAAGAGGGGTTGTCATTTAAAAGTAGACATAGGGAAAAGAATACACACAAACCCCTATGTCTACTTCTAAATGAATATCAGTGAAGAATAACCCGCATGGAGATCCAATAGGGGGGGCGGGGGTGTCTGGAATACCCCCAGTACTTTACGAAGATTTATCACTTTTTCTCAAAGACTATCATGAGAGTGCTAGGGATAATGGAACAAGAATTATCAATCTCTCAAAAACATAGAAAAACTTGAAATATTTCAACATGTCCAAGAAACGCTAAGGGAAAGATGCCGAAAAGACACAGAAAAAACAGCGGCTGACTAAGCATCTAAAGAAGACGAGTAGTCGAGAACCGATTGCAGTATTATTATATATTATTTAATTATATTGAAACTTACAAGTCGAAGCGTTTCCTTCATATTTTATTCATTTAACAGTAAGAATAAAATGAAACAAACATTGTGCATTCCAATTGCATCTGGCTTTCTTAAAAAAATGTGACGCGGAACACAAAATAAAATGAAGTTCAGGACATAATACAATGTTGTTTCCATGGAAACGACAAGAGAACATAAGCTTGCTATTTTGGACGTCTAAATTAAATACCTATAGAATTTTCAGAAGCATGTGGCTTTTGCTATAAAGTTTTCTGTTATACAGCTACAGCGAAACTAACCACCTCGTGAAATAACTTTCACTCGATGGTTAAAACGACCCTTTATCATCTTGTCTAATAAATAACTAAAAAGCTATTATTTATTAAATACATAATTTAAAGGAAAAAAAAACCATTTGTTCTCTTAAATAAAAAATGACACTACAAAATACGTATGTGAACTAGGTTCTTATCCTAAATAGACTGTCACTAAATCAGAGGAATCGCTGTCTTATTTACTACCATGCGATCAAAAATGAGTTGCTGTCGAGTCACTTTTGGAATTTTTGTTTACATGGCAAATCGTACTTAACTTAAAATTCCAAAGGCGACTCGACAGCAACTCATTTTTGATCGCCCGTTAGAAGGATATAATGTAACATCGTTTTTTGCAGTTGCAGTCTTAATGACCAACTTCGGCCCACAATCAATTGTCTATTGATTCTCCTTCGGAAGAATTATTTTGAAGATCTATACAAATGTCGCGCCGGTAGAAGGAGAGACAAGTGACGAATTCAACAAAAGCAACAGAAGATGCCAGAAAAACCGAAACCCACGAATTCTAAAAAAATCAAGGCTGCTTCACAGCTTCTGGTAAATGAATTGGAAAGCTGAAGAGTTTGAAAGAGTCAAAAATGAAAAAATCGAAGATGTCGTCACGTCACAAAAAGTATACCATTTTTTAGGCATTTAGAACATCACATCTAAATTTTTCGTCCGATTCGAGACGAAGTTTAAACCTGATTTGGAATTGTACTATTTTAAGTCTTTAAAGTACCCAATTTTAATTAAAATTTTTAAAATGTCTGGTCTATTCGACATGTATTCGTTTTTAATTTATGAAAGTCCCATTAGCGTTTCTGTAGGTACAAAAAAATAGTGCTTAGAAATCAGTCTCTTTTTGGCCAACCTTTGCCGTTCTTTAAACATTTTGGAAAATCCGCCCCCAGTTACATAAAAAATATGCAATTTGAAACTGTACTTAATAAAAAGCAAGCAAATTTATTTTTATTTAGTAAAAATGTCATCATTTTAGATAGTTTACTTCAACGGCACATCTGTTAATAACTAACGTCCTTATCTCTAATGAACACACACACTTTGGAAAGTTTTTGATAAAGAAAAATGTATAGAATCGCATTTACGAATAATTACTTTTTTGGGTTTTTACGTCACCTCATGAGCAACCAAAATTCAAATTCTGACGTGGTAGAATTGACTAATGCTGTTACGATCAGGGTACTAGAAAAGGACCAGAAACGCGGATTCAAAAAACCACATTTATTTTTTTGAATATAGTCTAGTCACATTTTTGTATTTGATCAAAATTGTCGTTTTGGCGTTCAGAGTAGAAGTGGTTTTGCGGTTTACATGCATCCTAATTAAACAAAAATAAAAACTCACCTTATTAGTTGAGTCTCTTCAAGGAAAAACATTTGCCATTCGCCCCATTTTACCATTGGAACAACGCTATATGGACACAACGCACCGCTTAAACTTTCGCCAACGAATGAGCTGTTAGGGGAAGCGATAACAGGTATAGGTCAGCGTCTGCGCGACCTCATATATCTTGCGTCACCAATAACTGTCGCTGTTGACTAGTTTTGAGGTCAATCACATCAAAATACTTCTAAAACCACACCATCCCTTATTTTTAGCGCATTTTTTTAAGAATTGCGTTTTTGTCCGTCCGACTTCTGCCGTTTTGAACTACTTCTAGGTGAATGGTTCTAGAGTTCTGGAATTTTTTTGCGATTGGTAGCCTATAATTTTAAGGTGTGCCAGACGGCCATCAAATTTGTCTTAAGGGAGGCCACCCCCCTAATTATTTCTGTTTCTGAAAGTAAAGCCATGGGACAATTAATTTGTCTCAGATTTTGTATACGCATGCCCCTAGCCGTGCGCTTTAACAATTTTGAAAATGGAGGGGGGGGGCGATGGGTAAGCGCACGTATTATCCTTCATGGTATTCTAATGAACGGTCACGTAGAAAGAAATTGGTTTCTACAAATTATAACGTTCCTGCGCGACACCTTTTCGAGATAAGTAGATAAGTGGGTGAGGGGGAGGGGGGTCGAATTTCATTTTATCTTTCACGGTATTTGAATTAAAGGTCTCAATGAAAGTAACTGTTTTCAATTAACTACCGCCATTATCTCTTACCCCTTATCAAAATTGAAGGAAATGGGGGGGGGGGCACTGACTTTATTCTTCATGGTACTCTAAAGAAAGGTCTCGATGAAAAAATGAATTCCTACCAACTATACCCCTCTTCCTCAACCCCATACCGTGATCAGATCTTATATCTCAAAAGCGGATTGCCGAAGGAAGGGATCGGGACGCCTGGAAGAAATATACCCCTTGGTGATAAACTTTAAAGGCGAATACGGGGAAAAGTACTCACAAAGAGGCAAAATGAATCATCTGGACGAGACGCATCTATTGGTGTAGTCCACGGGTTCCCCACGGGGGCGGGAGGATTCCAGGGGGTCGGTAGGGGAGTAAATGGGTGTCGTTGATTATGTACATTCAGAGGTATGACCATGGCATAACTATTAAACGGGTAAATACGTGCTTTACTTAAATTGAATCATTTCGAATAAGCACATCTATACAGGGTATAGGTAAAAAGTAATGGGACAAGGCTCTCCTGCTGAAATTTGAGGGCGGCCGCCATTTTGCATTTGTTTGGTGATAACCTGGGCCATGTGTCATCATTTGAAAGCGTCTTCTTGTCTCTTTCTAGTGATGTAAACATTTGAATTTTTTTTAATGAAAAACATTAGATTTTCATTATCTGATAGTAAAGGAACATGGTTCGACACATTGATTTGCATTTTGGAGGACTTTAAAGAGACATGTTAAACATATATCGGAATGAAAAAGAATTTAAATGACCCATGTTGTCATTAAAAAAATTTTTCGATGGCGACCGCCCTCAAAATTCGGGTAATGGAGACATTTTTTTTTCATTCCCGAACATGCATAACACGGGGAATTCTAAAAAGTATACTACCAACAGTTAATTGTGATACCCCGAAAATGTTGGAGGAGAGTATACCTGTACATACAAAGGGAAAAACAATATTTTGGGGAATTCTTCATTCATCTTGCAATATACTGTGCGTTCGAGATAAGAGGGCCACCTCAATATGCCTTTTATTTGGCGAGATACGAAGAATTTGTTAAATGTAATTTTATAGGTAGCATTACGATCTATCTGATCGCATATTCAAACTTCTGGTGTATACGGAAATCGATGCAACTTTTGTTTTTCAAATGCTACTATGTTTTTTACGATATTTAAAAAGAGTATGACAACATAAAATATGCATATGGTGAATGTAAAAAAAATGGAGAAATTCGTGATGCAATATTTAGAAAATTTATAAAATCTAGCATGCCGTGTTCTATACTAAGGCTTCGTAGATCCTTCGCGAAAAACAAATTTCTCTATTTTTTTGTATATCAACCAAATGCACATTTTATTTTGTCGTATAGCAAATTGATTGCTCTTTTGAAATATCGTAAAAAATATAGGCATTTCATTTGAAAAACAAAGTTGCATCGATTTCCGGTTACACCAGAAGTTTGAATATGCGATCAGATAGATAATGTCACATATAAAATTATATTTAATAAATTTTCTTATTGCTCCAAATAAAAGAGATGTAACCCTCTCATTTCGAACGCACTGTATGGCGTAGATTTTGAATGTACATATACTAGGCGGCCTTTGAATGTTTATGTGTAAAAGAAACCTCCCCACTACCTAATCATCTAGCAGGAAGGTAAACATGAATAAATATAGCTTGCTACTACCATTGAATTTATAACTATTAAATTCAATGCCTTAGTACCAAGTACCCAACTAAGCTATTTCGGTTAAAAAAAAATGCGCTTTATTTGCACAAGATTTGTGCACAGTTTATACTAGTTTATTATTAACTCTTGAAATATTTAGAATTTGTTATATTGTTTTATTTTGATAATAATTTAATCTATAGAGGTCTCAGAGAGGTAAAGGAGGCAAGTATGCAGCTACTAAACTAAATTTTGTCTTGTCTGGTCCATTTTGAAAGTGTGATTACCGCTTCTCCATTAAAATTTGATCAAACTACAGCTATCCGGACGGATGGACTAAAGGCGAGTGGGTATTGGTGGCCAAACCTCTAAAAGGGCACTCGCAAAGCGAAAATGGTTGGTGTACTTATCTCTACTCTGCTTTGATCTTATCTATAGGGTTCTATTACTTATTTTGAGCTACTTTGCCTATTCCAATTCAGACAGACTTATAAAAGTGTTGCTCTTTCTTCTTAGAGGTTATAAATATGTATTTAACATGTAACTTCCGGATTGTTACTGCAGAATTATGTTAATTATGACGGTCCCGACAAGAGCAACGCGCGCGATACTGAATAAAGGTAAACTCTCGCGTGCTTGTAATTTAATGAACCCAAAACCGTCTTAATTACTTCAGTAGGTAAGTCGCGTTTTATGCGGGAGAAAAATGGCCCAATTCTCAAAGCTTAGCGCGGCCACTTAAAATTATGACATCGCAAATGACCGCTCATTAAATAAATACAATAATTGTAATGACTCACGAACCGCGAGTCCATTCACAAAGATCAAAGGAAACTGTGCAGTATTTAAAAAGGCACAAAAAAACATACGAGGAATGGAATTAGTGCGAGCGTTTTCATAAAATGGTATTTAAAAAAACACCAAAAATTGTCGTTTATCGCGGGCTAAAAAAGCAGTGAGTATTGTCCTAAGTGAGATTAGATAACGTGCTGATAAGAATTTCCTCTGAGTGATAGTCATTACCTCTTGAATTCTCATCACGGCTCATTCGGATGGATAGTCTGTAATTACCAGCTTAAAAGTACAAGCATGAAGTCTATTTTTACGTGCGCGCTTTTTTCGAAACGGTACTTGCGGATTTAATTTTTTTTAGTGTAAATTGTGATAAAAGGAATTTACTCACTCCTGGAAACGCCCCATTTTTCACTTTCCGTTAGATAAACGTAAAATGTGATTTTTGCATACCGCATTCTTTAAACCAGCGTAATAATCATAAAATGTGCTTTAACTGCAAATAGTGTGCAAGGCCATATTATTCGCATTTTTTTAGAGTACTTATAAAATGGGTTCGCAAATAAAACATGTCAAAATTACAGTCGTTGGTGATGGAATGGTTGGAAAAACGTGTCTGTTGATTTCGTACAAAGACAACCAATTTCCCGAAGAGTACGTACCGACAGTGTAAGTGTAAAACGTTTAACTGCACCAAGTGTAGGTATAGTGGCTAACTTTCAGATTTGAAAATTACGCGGAAGTTATCAAGGTGGATGACCAGGAATATAATGTCGCATTATGGGATACGGCAGGACAAGAAGACTACGAGAGATTAAGACCGTTGTCCTATCCAAATGTAAGCGCGAATAATCAAAATTTATTGTTGCAACGTTCTTTACAGACCACCTGCTTCTTGATATGCTATTCGGTTACCGGTCGCGCCTCCTACGAGAACGTTGCGGCGAAATGGGCACCAGAAATCAGACATCACATGCCGCACACTCCGATTATATTAGTGGGTGGGTGAGTCAAATGGTCCCCCGCCGAAAATAACCGAGACACTTTCAGGAACCAAAATTGACTTAAGGCAGGATCCTACAAAGGAAATAGTCACTGAAAAGGAGGGGAGGAAGTTAAAACGTAAAATAAAGGCGGAAAGCTACATAGAGTGCTCGGCCAAATATCGTACAAATTTGGACCAAGTGTTTGAGGAGGCGGTGAGGTGTAGCGTTAAGAAAAAAGAGTGGAATCATACCAGACCATGCACAATACTTTGACAATTTTTGTACGCTTTTAGGAAATTTGCTCTTTGACATTCGAAAATAAAGATATCAATTTATTGTCTTTGATGTTATGTGCAACGTAAAACTATATAATTATTATTTTGGCATAAATATCATTTTATCACAGGGGGTGCTCAGGTGGTGACCAGGAGGTGCTCAGCACCCCCTGGCTACGGCCCTGCTGTAGTCCCATCATTTTATACAGTCTCTAAGTGCCTTCCCAGATAGGCCAAGATTGTACAATAGACCAATGATTTTGAGGTAGTAGGTATACATACATTGAATGTCCACATCTGCTACTAGTTTTGTCCAAATTTGGTCCATATGTCCAAATATTGACATACATGTGACATACTTACGTGGACGATCATAGGATGTCCCATATTTACGTACACATGACGTCATTGTGTTGTCCAAGGACGAATGTACAAATAGTGGACCATCAACGCATGTACAGGGTGGCCAAATAAGAATGCGAGGTACTGTATCTGGAAACCTGTCCATCGTAGAGGCTTGTGGTAAAAAAATTTATTACTAAAACGGCCACGAGAAAAGCTTGGAAAATATTTTTAAGTTTCTGAAATGGCCGCTAGGAGGCTGTAATCTGGAATCTAAAAAAGTGATTTTTCTGTGAATTCCTCTATATTAACCTAACAAAAAAATGTCCGGTCTTTGAAGTTGACGATAATCTGACCAATTTTTGTTTGACAATTTTTCTTGTATCTCTAAAAATGAAGTGGTGGGGGGTATTCAAAGGTTTCCGTAAAGAATACCCTGTATCTCAGAAACTGCTGAGCCGATTTAAACAAACTTGAGTTAGTTCGCATTCTTAGTTGGCCACCCTGTACATAAAACGTTCGGTGCTGTCTAGGGTATTAGACGAGGAGACCTGGCGACGCAACCGGTGGTGGTGTTGTACAAGAAATTGAGAAGGGAGAAAGGTAAACCTTTGAAGCTCAAGCGACTATAATTGAAACTGTGTCCCTACTGTATGAAAAGTTTAATTACTCATAATCCATTAAAGGGCCAACAATCCAAATAAACATGGTCACACTCGAAAATGAATTTTAGATTTCTACTGGCCTAAATGAGCTCTACTATTTTACACTTGCGCTATCCAAGAGCCTCTAAACATCTATTTATTCATCAGGTGAAGCGAAGTATTGGGAGGGGAAGTTTTCCGACCTCTTCAATTTTCGTTAAATATCATTTCAATATTGTTACCGTTGAAGATTCCAAATTCCAATGAAAACCTACAATTGAAGGAGGAATATTTTATTAATGCGAGCGAAACTTTGACTGAATGTAGCGCCCAATTGGTGCCGTTTCGTGATGCGATTGAGTGTACTACAAAAAAAAAAAACAATGAAAAGTTAAAAAAGTGATCGTAAACTATTTACAAAAATCTCATTTCCACATTAACAGTCTTTGTTTATTTTTGTGGAAAGGCGCGAAGGTTCTGTGTGCGCGCAATCCATGTTCTAACATGTTTCATTGGTCCACAAAAAAAAGTCGAGTTTGCGCATGCGCCATCTATTTTTTTTATACAGGGTGTCTTAAATTGAATAGGATAACATGGCTCTCTTTTTGTTATATGTTGTTATAACTCTCAGATTCGGTTAAATTGGGCAAAGTTATGTGGTTTTTGATGCTGATCAATACATATTCTGATGCGATATTTTGCAAAAAAGAAACCATTTGGAAAAAGGTGAAAATCGATATTTAGGTCAAATATTTTAGTAACAAAGAGAGCTATCGAAAAAGGTTTCAAATAAAAGTTGCAAGATTCGATGGGATAAATTCAGCGGACGTAGAACATTTTTTTTCAAAATTTCTACTTCCTTATTTTAAATAGACGCCATATTGGATTTTTATTCAGTTTGATCATTGAATTAAAAAATTCAATGGTTTGATAGTTTTTTTTCTCTTTCGAACGATGTATAACAAGTTATCATTCATAAATAATGAACATGGGTAAAATTACAATTTTCATTTTTTTTTCATGGAAACAAAACTACCATAGAGGCCTAATTGTCATTTAACAATGTAAAATTTTTTTAACAGGTATACACTGCGCAAGGTAACTGCAATCAGTAGCTAAACGGTGCCGAATGTGTTTAGTTAATAATGAATTTTAAAATTTTGAACATTTGCTGTAATTTTAAATTCCGTTATTATATTTTTTTATGTAATTAACTCTTTAATAAAACTACTGACCGGCCAGACAATTGTAACATTGCAAAATGTCAATTGTTTGCTGTTTCCATGGCCAACTATGAAGAAAAAATGAAAATTGTAATTTTTGCCATGTTTTTTTTTAAATGTTGTTATACATGGTTGGAAAGAGAAAAAAACTGTATCAAACTGAGTAAAAATACAATATGGCGTCCATTTAAAATAAGGAAGCTGATTTCAATATCTCAAAAACCACTATTTGTAATTTTTTGCAGGTGGTCGTTGATTGCACATGCGCAAATTCACCTTTTTATTTCTGGAGCACTTTTTTCTGAAATTTTAACAAAAGCTGCTCCTATAAAGATAATTGAAAACGTGTAAGAAAATGTGCGTACGCAGAACCAAGGTTTTAGCGCATTTCCCCAAATTTAAAAAAATGTACTATTGTGCGTCCATCCGTCTGTCCGTCCCTACGACTGTGACTCTTTCAAATTTATATCTTAAGAGCTACTTTTTTTTTACTATTTGGTTCGTTATGGTGTCGAGGCTTGCACCAAGGAAGAGATTTTTTCTGCGTCTCTTACAAAGTCAGCTAAGTAAGTATACTAGAAAATCTAAACCTCTCGCCAGGAAAGATTGCCAGTCATAGAACACTTGATCCCAGTCTACAATCTATTTTTTTCTAAAGATCTGAGCGACTTCCGGGATAGTATCGAGTCAATGTTGAACAAAAAGACTATTCGTTCAATATTGGCACGATTCTATTCCGGAAGTCGCTCGCATCTTAAGAAAAACAAAGATTGTAAATCGACACGAGGTGTGCTGTGACCGGCAATCTTTCCTGGCGAGAGTTATATTTTTCTCTACGGAATCTTATAATTTGCCCAAATGTTTTTAGCGCATTTTTGATTTTCAAAAAAGTGCTTATTGTTTCACTAACTGTCGGCAGTTTGGACGTCTTTTATAAATCGATCGAGATCTCGGCTACGAAATATCGTAGAACTTTTGGGCCGAAAACACTCCTGAAGTTGATAATTTATAAATTTATTAATAGTTACCTTGATATGTACATTTTGGTTCTTGGACCATATTTTATACTTACACCGTTTTCCATACATTTTTTTGAATAAGGGAGGTAGTACTTTAAATTTGGGCTTTAACGTTGAAATTGCTGCAGCTGATTACAGGAGTACAAAAAATAGCGCATATGCCGTGCGCCCTAATCCCTCGGGAGTAAAATACACACACATTTTTGCCCCCTAATATACTATTTGAGCATGCACAATTCGATTTTTTGTTTGTTAAGATATTTAAATGAAATTTTCAGTGATGTAGTGGAGCCGAAGCGAAGCACTGCACTGCATTAGAGAGCACAGGATAGGAGACGGAGATAAGTGATGTTAACTAATGATATTTGCGACTTAGATAAGCCTTACACCTTTAGAGCAATAATTTATTCAAAAATCTACGAACTGAAATTGTTTCAAAACCCATTTATTTTACTGCAAATTTTTAAAAATTTTCCTGGACCCCAATTTTGCTTGGGGGAGGGGGGGTGTATTCGATACCCTTGGTTGCCTACATTTTAACGGCTCCGGCACTGCTTAATTTGGCACTACACCACTGGAAATTTTGTATGTAGGCACAACGAATAAAAGTGAAACCAATGCCAAATCAAATACTGCGCAATCCGATCCAGCTAAGACTACCTCAAAAAACCAAGATGAAAAGTGAACTAACTATAATTAGGTGCTAATTAAAGTGCCCTATCCCCAAATTAAATGCTCCTTTTTTTTTACAAATTATTACACGTTCTGCCAGGTTCATATGAACCAGAGCTGGGTAGTGGTTTGAAAAAAAGTGCTTGCTAAAGGACTTCAATTACTTTTAGTGCTTAGAGCTCTGTGCTTCAATTACTTTTCTAATTCAGGAAAAAGTGCTTCAATTACCAAGCAATTTTTAAAAGTGCTTGGAGCTTCAAGCCCTATTGAACTGCTTGAAGCACTTTCATACAATTTCGAGCACTTCTAAAGAGCTTCAAGCACTTATCAAGGGCTTCAAGCACAAGAATAGTATTAGAAGTTTAAATTTTGGTTTGCAAGTTATTTTTTTAATTAAGTCTTAACCCTTATATCTGTATTTACTTTGATTATAAGGAATTGTTATCTTTTATTGTCCTTTTATATTTGTAATTAAGAATTCTTACCTACATACCAAAAGTTTACAAATTTTCTCTGTGCATTTCTTCACGTAACATACTATCACTAATTTCAATTATTTCAGAAGATACGTCTCGGTAGGTACGTACTTACAAGTAACAAGTGTCAAGGAATTTCCGAGCAACATTCTGGATTTTTTTCTTGTAGTACCTACTTTTATAGCACATGCAGTTATTACTTCTACATTAGTCATTACCCATGGGTACGGGGAGAGTACTGTACCGATAACAACATTTTTTGTTTACCTAATCGTTTTAAATCAAAATTTGGACAAGCAAAACTTTAGCCATAAAACCACTAATTCCTCCAGTATAATTACGATGCGGAAGTACTATTTCTAGCGTGTTTTTTAAAGTGTTTCCAGCAGACTAGAAACCAATTTTGCAAAAAATTCAAAGGGCTGTAACTTTTGAACTAGTAGCCCAATCTTGGAACTGTTTGAAGTTATCGATTCTACAGGCCACATTCTATAAGAAAATATTTTTTCCGGGTCGATCTGAGACAATTTTTTTTTCGGGGCTCAAAAAAAGGCAGTGTATAACCTTCCATTTTTACCAAAAATCGACTACACCAAAATTTCTCGGGAAAACACTTTTTCTTATTAATTTTGGTGCGTAGAATCAAAAACAATTCGTACTTTTTCGATCAGACTTCTCAATCAAAAGTTATAGACTAGAAACCAATTTCGAAAGAAAATTCAAAGGGCTTTAACTTTTGAACTAGTAGCCCAATCTTGGAACTGTTTGAAATTATGGATTCTACAGGCCACATTCTATAAGAAAATTTTTTTTCCGGGTCGATCTGAGACATTTTTTTTTTCGGGCCTCAAAAAAAGGCAGTGTATAACCTTCCTTTTTTACCAAAAATCGACTACACCAAAATTTCTCGGGAAAACACTTTTTCTTATTAATTTTGGTGCGTAGAATCCAAAACAATTCGTACTTTTTCGATTAGACTTCTCAATCAAAAGTTATAGACTAGAAACAAATTTCGAAAAAAAATTCAAAGGGCTGTAACTTTTGAACTAGTAGCCCAATCTTGGAACTGTTTGAAATTATGGATTCTACAGGCCACATTCGATAAGAAATATTTTTTCCGGGTCGATCTGAGACAATTTTTTTTTCGGGGCTCAAAAAAGGCAGTGTATAACCTTCCTTTTTTACCAAAAATCGACTACACCAAAATTTCTCGGGAAAACACTTTTTCTTATTAATTTGGGTGCGTAGAATCCAAATCAATTCGTACTTTTTCGATCAGACTTCTCAATCAAAAGTTATAGACTAGAAACCAATTTCGAAAAAAAATTCAAAGGGCTGGAACTTTTGAACTAGTAGCCCAATCTTGGAACTGTTTGAAATTATGGATTCTACAGGCCACATTCTATAAGAAAATTTTTTTCCGGGTCGATCTGAGACAATTTTTTTTTCGGGGCTCAAAAAAAGGCAGTGTATAACCTTCCTTTTTTACCAAAAATCGACTACACCAAAATTTCTCGGGAAAACACTTTTTCTTATTAATTTGGGTGCGTAGAATCCAAATCAATTCGTACTTTTTCGATCAGACTTCTCAATCAAAAGTTATAGACTAGAAACCCTGGTTTCCAGTAATATGAAAGGTGCTTTATATTGTTTATATTTATATTAATTTATATTGTCAATTACTGTGATTCAAGCACTTTTAATGGCTTCAAGCACTTTCCAAGGGCTTGGTGCTTTGTATTTTCAATTACTTTAGAAAGTGCTTGGTAATTCCAAGCTCTTTAATCACATAAAAGTGCTTAGGGCTTGCAGGCACTTTTATCAAAACAAAGTGCTCGGTGCTTAGTGCTTCAAGCCCTTTTCAAGAGGGCTTTACCCAGCTCTGATATGAACTCAACAGAACACTACCTTTAAAACCCAAGAAAATGAAAGGTAAACTAACCATAATTAGGTGCTAATTAAGTACAAATTAAGTGCCCTATTCCCGAATTAAATGCTCCTTTTTTTTAAATTATTACATGTTCTGGCAGGTGCAATATGCAGGGACTTAAGTAGGTAGATAAATCAGACAGATCATACCTAAAACAAATTTTCACAATCAAGCCCCAGATAAATGACCAAATTGCATCGAAAATGAGACATCAGTGAAGGTTAAAAAATGAAATATATTTTTGTTCAAATTCCCCTTCTCTGGCGCGCGCCTAATTTTAGAAAGAGCATAAACACTTCGAAATCAAAAATAGAACGCGCCACAGTTGCACGCACATGTTTCCTCATTATCGCAATTCCGTCCGTTTTAGACATGTCACTATTGTCGTGCCCCCTTTGCTTAAAACCGCACTTTCAATGTGTCGATTCGTTACGAACGAGCTTAATTAGTGTCGCCACCACTCACATCTCTTGCCCCGTTTGTAACGAACTTCTGCTGGGACTGGACAAGTTAACGATTCACCTGTTCTCGCATATCAGCCATGCGACTCCTTCCAGTGAGGTATCGAGACCGGTCCAAGAGATTGCAATGGATCAGGGAGCCGTGTATAAGTGCAACATTTGCGATTTTTGTTTTTCGGACCAAACGATATTGGATCTTCATCAACAGCTACTGCACCAAACGGCAGAAAAGAGGAAAGGCAAATATAATTACTTTTGCCATCTATGTCCGAAGCAGTTTAAGATGCGTGGCAGCTTGATGGTGCACCTACGAGTCGCTCATTTCAGTTTCGTCCAGAATAATTATAAGAATCGGTTGGTGGCTGATGCCGGAGAAGCTGAGACAGTCGATAAGCGCAAGGGTTTGCCGGACAAGCACTGGGAGTGCGATGTTTGTTTAAAGTTGTTTACGACCAAATATTTTTTGAAGAAGCATAAACGTCTGCATACCGGTAGGTGAGCTTTCCCGCAGTACATTTTTACTCAAACTTGATCTGTAGGTGAAATGCCTTATTACTGCGCCCAGTGCAACAAATACTTTACCTTCCAGCAATCGTACCACAAACACATGCTCTACCATTCCGATAACAAACCCCATGTGTGTTTGGAATGTGGTCGTGCATTTAAGGAGTTATCCACCTTGCATAACCACGAACGAATTCACTCAGGCGAGAGACCTTTTACATGTGAGACTTGCGGTGAGTTGACAATAAAGCCAGACTAAGTTAGTAATACAGCACCACCAGGTAAATCTTTTAGGCAACGTGTGTCGTACTTAGTTCACTGTCGGATACACACCGGCGCAATGCCCTACACATGCACCGCTTGCAATAAATCATTTAGGTATAAGATCAGTCAACGTTCTCACAAGTGTACGGCTGACCCGCCCGGTAACATCGTCCGGAAGCCAGACTTAGTCGAGAAGCTTAAACAGAATCAAATGAGCTCTGCAATTAGCAACGCAAGCAACTTACCTCGGACACCAACGCAGGGTGGTGAGTGACTCAAACACTCTACTTTTATAAATGAGCAATTTTAGACAGCATTGAAGAAATTTTAAACTACCCACCGTCTACTCAAACAACCTCGGAGACATACACTTTAAGCCTCTCGCCGATTCTTTCAGATGTAGAGGCCTTATGTTTATCCAATTATGATGATATCAATGCGGAAAGGGATAATGTTGAGATTAATAGTCAGTTGGAGACGATCAATGAGGAGTCCTTTAAGGAGTTACTGTATGGATCCCAGTCGAATACTTCCCAATAGATTATAAGATTGTTTGTAATCCGAATATCTATGGTAAAATAATAACAATTTACCCTTCGTAATTCGTTTGCGCACGAAAGCAATTTTTGCTACTCGCTTTCTTGTTGTGATCATTTTCGAGAAAGAGCCATTGAAGCTCGTTTTCCTGTAGAGCTGTTTTCCCTCAAAAATGATTGTGACAAGTATTGAGGACTGTATACACCTTGAGGGTTACACATCACGGAGTCTGGCCTGGCGGGTATGGAATATCCAGGAAGAGAAGTTTATATACCTCTCCCTGGGAAATGATGATGACACCTACTGAGGACTACATGTTTTAGGGTAAGGATGTATCTCGAGGACCATCGATCTGCTTCTATTTGGGTATTTGATAAATATCCGGCCCGTGTGGCGCAGTTCAGTTAAAGCTGAACTGTTGTGCTAAGGGTCCCTGGTTCGAATCCGAGTTCGGGCATGACTGTTTGTAAATGTATACTGGGTTGGGTTGGCCGAGTAGCTTTTGGCTGAAACCCCGCTCACTCAAAAAGGCAAAATAAAATAAAATACATTCAAAAATCTTTAAAAATCACTCAGGCAGTCTAACGATCTTAAAAACTCTAAAACGATACTGTAGAATTAATAAACATTTTAATAAAACTCACTCATTTATTTAAAGCTAAAGAAAGGATGTCGAAAAATGACTTTAAAAAGTTCCAGTCTTCCAGGGAATATCTAAAAATTTCGTCAAAAATATTCGGAAGCACATATGTAATTTTTGACACTTCAGGCACGAAACCAAATTTTTTTAATTCTTAAAAATGGGCAAAAAATGAGGTTTCCATTTAAAAAAACTATCGCTTACGTCATTTCTCAAAAACAAAAGACGATCGTTAAGTGACAATTTCAGTAAAATATGTCTCATTTAAGGTAAACTATGTACAGGGTGGCCAACTAAGAATGCGAGGTACTGTATCTGAGAGTCTATCCATCGCAGAGGCTTGCGGTAAAAAAATTTATTACTAAAACGGCCACGAGCAAAACCTGGAAAATATTTTTAAGTTTCTGAAATGACCGCTAGGGGGCGTAACTACAATCTGGAATCTAAAAAAGTGATGTTTCTGTGAATTCCGATATATTAACCTAACAAAAAAATGTCTAGTCTTTGAAGTTGACGATAATCTGAACAATTTTTGTTTGACAATTTTTCCTGTATCTCTAAAAGGTTTCCGTAAAGAACACCCTGTATCTTCGAAACGGCTGAGCCAATTTAAACAAATTCGGGTTAGTTCAAAAGAGCTATTCTTCAGCTACAAATATTATACTATTTGAAGTTTTGTTAGTTTCACATATCACCGCTTGAGGGCTTTTATCGACATTCCGACAGAAATGTTTAATTTTCTCATAAAAATATAATGCATTGGTTCAATTTTTTTTTCATGAAAAAGTAGCTAAATGATGCCTAAACAAACTCGACAAAACGCATCTCGATATCTTGAGATATATATTTTTATATCGTGATGGCCAGCATTTCGGGCATTTAAGGCGGCATTAAAAACCTTCTTTTTTAAATCGATCCACCTTAGGGCCACAAATTAAGGTCTCACAAGCCAGCAGAGCCATTTTAGAAAAATGAAGGACGAAATACATCAGAATTATAGGCTGATTATAGGCACTTTTTGGACACTTGAACAAATTTTCAGGCGGCATCCTTTAAACAAAAAAAAACTATCATCCAGATCAGTTTGATTTTGCCCCTCTCGGAGATGTAGTGGATAAATAAAAATTATTTATTTATTGTCTATTTATTGTCCCTCTCTTGTTCTAGGCCCTCAACGGGCTTTCGCCCAATTAATATATTTATTTAAACTCTAACTTATATTTCAAAAATCCGATACAACTGAATACCAAACAATCCTCGAGATCTTTGCACATACATCATTTTTACAATACACCCTAAGCTAAGGGGTTGATTCTGTCCCACCTGATCAGCATAGCTCGTAACATAAATTTTTTGAAATGGCATTAGTTTTACTTTTATTTGAGGTGCCTGCATACAACATTTCATTTCAATACCTTAACAAATAAAAGAAAACCGACTGCGCATGCGCAAAACAAATTTTTTGATTTGGCATTAGTTTCACTTTTATTCGAGGTGCCTAGGTACAGAATTTCATTTAAATATATTAACAAATAAAAAATTAGGATTGCCCAAATACAAAAGTTGTTATGCGCATGCGCAGTATTTGTTTGCATCTGCATAGTTGCCTGAAGTTTAAGGAATATTTACTAACACAGAAAACCGGACATTCATATGTTCTTTGTAACAAGAGTTAGAAACCCTTTTTGGAGGTTTTCGCAGTTTTTGGTCTGTAACTATTTGGCCCGTTGGTCTACGTAGCCGAAAAACAATTGTGAACCTTGTTATATCCTGAAGAACATGTGTATATCAATTTTTAAAGCGATCGGACGTTTCTACACAAAGTTATCGTACACACTGACAGACAGACGGACAGACAGACGCACAGGCAGGCAGCAATACAAAATTATGAACGATCTCGAGGTTCGTTAATAATATAATGAGACGAATAATTTTAATTTTTTTTTTGTGCTTCTTTCCAATTCAGGAATATCGTTTCAACTTTTCTTCTCCTTATAATACAAGAGAAGATGCATAGACAACTCAGACACTTTTAACATTACTTTTTTTAAAACCTGAAACACAACTTGATATATATTTGATTTATTAGTAAAAGAAAATTCAAATTTCAAATACTTACTTGACAGATGTCTCCAAACAGGTGGAACAATCCCTAACATTAAAGTTACTAGAATCTGGTAACTTCCGCAATTTTTGGGCAAAAAACATGCGTTCTCTCTCTAACACACGGGCCCAATGGATTGCGGTACTTTCTATATTTAGTGACTTATAATGGATCTACAGTGACTGTGTACCTACTGTATAGAGGCAGTTTGGTCATACTTTGGTGTTGTTTTTTTATTGGTATGTGGGATATCCGCCATATTTTAACCAAATAAATCGGGTTGGCGAAAATTAACTTGGAATCCAAGGTGATCAAGTCACAAACAGTTGTGGCAATAATATTGTAACCATAGAAAAATGCCAAGATCTACCAATTCAATTAAGCTGATCAGCTTAATGAAGAATATGGGAAAAACATGGCGGATATAGAGCATATGACCACACTGTCTTTATACAGTCACTGTTAAGGATCGATGATATTAATTACAAGGCAAAAATTTTGCGCATGCGCATAGCGTAGTAGTGTTTAAAAAGTGTCTAAAAAAAGCCTATAAATAGCCTATAATTTTGTGATCTGAATTTTTCGCCTTCGAAGCAAATCTCACAAGTCGTCAGCTAGCTTCGTCTTTAGCCAGCAGAGCCATAGTTTTTTTCTTTAAAGGATTCTGCCTGAAAATTTTTTCAAGTGCCCAAAAAGGGCCTATAATCAGCCTATAATTCTGATGTATTTCGTCCTTCACTTTTCTAAAATGACTCTGCTGGCTTGTGGGATCTCACAAATTATACAATAATAATAATTCCGGAAAAATTAGCTTAAGAAAATAAAATTTTGAGTGTATAAAATTCTCTTTGGCCTAAATTTTAGGTTAGGAACAAGATATCGAGATGCGGTTTTCGCGATCTTGTTTAGATATCATTTAGCCACTTTTTCATGAAAAAAAAATCAAACCAACGCATTTAATTTTTTTGAGAAAATTAACCATTTCTGTCAGAAAAAGCCCTCAAGCGGCGATATGTGAAACTAACAAAACTTCAAATATTATAATATTTGTAACCGAAAAATAACTCTTTTCAATTACCCCGAGTTTGTTAAAATCGGCTCAGTCGATTCGAAGATACAGGGTGTTCTTTACGGAAACCTTTGAATACCCCCCCCACACTTCATTTTTAGAGATACAGGAAAAATTGTCAAACAAAAAAGGTTGAGATTATGGTCAACTTCAAAGACCGGACATTTTTTTGTTAGGTTAATATAGCGGAATTCACAGAAAAATCACTTTTTTAGATTCCAGATTGCAGAAACTTAAAAATATTTTCCAGGTTTTTCTTGTGGCCGTTTTAGTAATAAATTTTTTTACCGCAAGCCTCTACGATGGACAGGTTCCCAGATACAGTACCTCGCATTCTTATTTGGCCACCCTGTACAATAGGAGCTGGCAGTTGCGTCATATCTAAGTGCCATTATGATATGTCGAGTTGCATGGCAGATGTTTGGCGTTTGTCACATGTCACTCATAAACCTAACCCAAAAATCAGTGAAGTTTGACACTTCAATGTTGCAGCTCCCAATTATACGTCGGAATAATTGTCATCTTTGTCTTTGGAGAGAGGTAGAGAGAGTCGGATATTTAAACTAAATGCGCACCAGGCAACAAGTCCAATCACAAAATTAATCAATAAACAAACATGTAAAAGAGATAACGCAACCGCCAGTTCCTATTATACAGACTTTAGTAGCATTGTTTTGTTCTATGCCTAAAAAAAACCATAGCAACCTTCCCTGGGCAACTAAGCAATTGTCATTGATCAAACATAAGTCAATGTCACTGCCACATCTTTTACATTTTACACCCTACTAAATATTTGTGTTTTTACAATAATTTACATTTGAACATGGATCCGGCATTGGCCGACGTCCTCAAACGAATGGGATGGACAACCGGTATGCACTTACCGGTTGCCAACGATGAAAATAAAGCTCTTCAAGATGAGGTGGAGGCTCTCATGGTTAAAAAAGCGCGAGCGACGCACTCCTTCGAAACGGAAGAATCTCGATACCAAGCGTTCGCGAAACACCTAAAATTCGTGACGGTTCAAAATGACGAAACGCAGGTACGTGCCCCCACAATTATGCGAGTAGGTACCACCTTATTTCTAGCAATTACTTACCACGTACCACCACCACCTTGACAACCAAGAGCACTGCTTCCTGGTTAAACAATCCGAAAGAGAACGCGTACTTCAAGAAATAAGGCAGGCGAAAAAATTATGCCACGAAATTAACGAGCGGGTGAAAAGTAAGAAGGTCGATCTCGATAGGGGTTTAACTAAAATTGAGAAAAGGAAATTGGAATCGGATTGGGATAAGGAAGCGCTGGAAGCGTGGGACGAATCTCTAAAGAAGAAAGACGAAGACAATGAGATTTTAAAAAAATTCTCCCGCGAGGACGAGAAGAAAGCCAAAAATCTCGAAATCAAACGCCAAAATTTGCAAAAAGAAATACTGACCAGAACGAGCACGCTCAATAAAGTAGTGGCGGACGTTCACAACTACGAGCTGATCATCGAGCGTATTGGTAAAGTGTTCAAGCAGCAAAAGGAGGAGCGCCAGGGTCTCCTGACGCAATGGCGAGACGCGGTAGAGCTCATAAAAAAGCGCGACCAAAATATGCGCGATATTATAGCCGAGGTTGCCGCGTTTTCCGAAATTTTGGCACAAGAGCGCGAAAAACTGGACGAGCAAGACACATTTTTAAAGAACCAAACCGAAAACAACAAGGAGACCGAGGAGCAAATTGCCGAGATCAATTTCGCTAGCTGCAAAATGCGGCAGGATTTAAACAGCTTGATTCAAACTGTTTTAACACTAAACAGCGAGGTAATTGTTAACTAGGTTTACGTCTTACTAAACTGTAACCTACCGTAGGCCAACTCCTTGAAACGCCTCCTGATTTCCACGGCAAACTGCTTGGAGAAGCAAAGGATGACAGGCAAAAAATTATCCAAAGATATAAGCGACAAAGAGTCCCAGATTAAACAGCAACAACGCGACTTAGAAAAATTGAAGCAAAAATTAAAAGAGGTTAAAAACAGTTCCCTGTCGGCAAGCGAGAGGGCCTCCCAGCTCGAGGCCATAATAGAGGAGGAGCAGCGAGAAACTAAGATTTTAGATCAGGACGTCGAAAGGACGCAAGGCGTCTTATTTCGAACGCAGCAGGTCCTAAACGAACTGAGGGACAATGCGAAAACTAAAGAAATGGAGATATCGGGATGCGAAATGTCAATCAGCTTGTTGAAGAAAGGTTTGATTAAGTCGAATAAGGAGCTACAAACTCAAAGGGAAATTAACTATGACTTGGTAAATAAACTAGGGGCAGACCTTGCGTTATTACAATTTTTCTAGGACTTCAGAGTGAACGAAATGGAAAGTAGAATCGATCGCATAGAGGGTAACACAGTTGATGAAGATACACAGCAATTAAGAAACAAAATCGACTCTCTCGAGGAAGAATTGGCAGATGAAACTGAGGTGAAGACATTGATCCAAAATCAAATAGCGCACATCGAAAATGAAATGCGACGACTTACCTCTGCGATACAAGCCGACAATCAGCAAATGGAAACTTTAAAAGACAAACTGCAAAATGAAGTGCTCTCGTGCGAGGATGGCACCAAGCAGTCGGTCGAAGCGAGGAATCGCATGCAGCAGCAGCAGGTCAACGAAAATGTTTTCCGACTGCGAGTCAACCAAATGGAAAACATAATGAAGCGTGAAGAGAATTGCATCTACAACATTCAAAAACTCCGGCTGGAATTAGAAATGGTAGGTAGGTACCGATGACTTTCTTCGAGTGAGACGTGCACTTTCAGGCTATGCGACAACGACAAATTGAAATAAGCACGAATAAGGAAATTTTAATAGCAAAAAGGCGCAATCTCGATGAAGAGAAAGGTAGACTGAAACGAGATCTAATACTCCGACAAACTAAGATAGGCCAGTTGCAACAACGTTTCCATCTGGCTTCGATGGCGCTGGGCAAAGACGAAGACGGGAAGCCGTTGTCGGTGACGTACTTCAAAATAAAAAACGCCCAAGAAAAGCGCATGTTACAAGACGAGGGTGATGAGATGGACGCGAAAATTCGAAAGTACGAGAAGGAAATAGTTGCGATGGAGAATACTCTTCGAGTCGTGAATTTGTCAAACGTCACATACAAACAGAGCCTATCCGCCGTAGAAGAGCTAGGTAATCGTGACGTAATCCCCCGGTAGATTTCAAGCGCCACTTTTGCAGATCCGGAATTCCAAGAGAAGAAAATGTTGGAGTCGGAAATCAGCGCGGTTAACGTGAAGATACGTGTTAAGAAACAGGAACTGGTTCAGAAGAAGAATTACATCAAAGGTAGGCGCTTGGAATGGTCTTCTTGGGGAAATACAGGGGGAGTATTTTAGAGTTGACCCAGATGTTAAGCTCGTGCGATGAAGACAAAACGGGAACGCTGCAAATGCAAGCCGTTTACGAAGGTGAACTCGGCGATTTAAAGCGGCACGAAGAGGGGCACGTTGAGAAACTGAATCGTGCCGATCGACATTTGCACACGTGCATGAAAAATTTGGATATGGCGGCAACAGAAAAGTACCACGTAAGTACAGGGAATCTTTTACTTTTAAACTAAAACGCAAAATCGCTGAGTAATATTAATTTACTACTTTAATTTTATTTGTAAGACCCGATCCAATAGGTCGGTGGCTAGAGAGAAGTTCCCCCAGGACTAACGGTGGGTTTATACAATCATTATCATGAGTTCACTGTCACTAGATCATTAAAAAATAGCCAATAGAAACAGAGGTATGGTTTTGTAGGTTAGCGAAACACAATACTCTGTTTCTATTGGCTATTTCTTGGTGATCTAATGATACTGAACTACTATCCACCGTTAAATGGTTTTAAGGCCTAATCCCTTATTCCAATATGACAATGACATTTTGTAACATATTTTTTTATCTCAAATACAAATTTATACTGATATCATCGCCATTCCTACAACTATTACATTTGCAATTTTTTTTGTTTTCGAAAAGACTTCAAGAACACTTTAAGAAGACTGAAAACATTCTAATAGTTATCAAGGTTAAAAAAAAGGTTTTAAATTATATTCTCATGCAGTGCCAAGATTAATTTACTTTTTCTTAAATTCTTTTCTTAACAACTACAGCACATATACAGATGTGACGGATTTTCGTATGCATTTGGATATGCTCTTTTCAATTTTGAAAAAATATTAACAAAATCGCTTCATTTTGATTTTCAAATATGTTTTATTTATTGTGTCAGTACATATTGTGCTAGTTTGATCCTGTTGATAAGTTCAACCAGTTAGGAAATAAAAAATAAATCAATTTTCAAGATAATGTGATTCGAAATGGATTTTAAAAATCCGCTAAGATTATAAGAAGAATTTAAACCATCTTGAGCGTTTTTAAGGGTGTCAAAAGATTTTTGGAATTTTTTTCGCATACATTGGTAATGTGACCATAAAAAAACTCTACAAAAAAGTCCATTACCGCTCGTTGTGAGTTTTAGTTTTTGAGAAATTTTAAATTGCTATTTTATAAGTTTTTTTAATTTGCACTGTTCGCGAAAAATGGTACTTAACCATAGCGAAAAATGTTAAATCTAAAAAAAATGTTTTGATGAGCTGTACAAAAAAGTCTCATACACTTTTTGCTTCAGGTTCAAAATAAAGGCGCCAGAGGTAAATAGTGCCGGAATCAGAAGTTTTACTAAAATTTGACATATTTGACCGCCCCTCCCAGCCTTAAGCCACACACGACAATTTCTACTTGCCTATGTATAAGAATTCTTTACAGAAAAAATCAGCCATGTAACGATAATATTTTTCTGTAGTCAGCTTTTAGACTATAGAAAGTCTGAAGAAAATTATTCTGAAGGTTATAAAGATTCTATAAATATTGTAACAGTGGTTGCTAATACCAGTGAAGATGTCAAGTTCTGGGGGTTAAATTATAGTAATCCTCTAACAGGTGGTCGCTTTAGGCTTTTGAATTTACAAATTTGCCAGTATAGGAAATTTTATACGTGTACCGCTCCATAATGAAAGAGAACGGAACTAATATGAGAGAGAATGAAGCGCGTTAAGACAAGAAGCGAGTGTAAAACCCAATAAGACGAAGTGCCACCGGTCCGTTTCGGGTTTTTAACCTGGCGAGTACATAAGTAAAAATTGGGTGGGAGAGAAGGATATTCGCCAAACTTTAAACTAGGCGAGTTGAGCGCGGCATTTTATTAGATCGTGTAACAGTTCATTTTAAATTAAAGGTTCGAGATGAAGCCCTACAATCGAAGTATGAGAATAGTCAAGCCGCGTAATCGTACGTGATATTTTATTGCGAAAGTTGAAGTTAATTACCGAATTCCAAGGGAAAACTGTGCCCCCATTTCGACGAAATTATTGTCGTCTGCGCTTTTTCAATTCATTGTGAGTTGCTGTTACGAGCAAAACCATTAATAAGTGGCGTAGGAAAACATTTTCGTTTTGTTGCATTATTGGAGTTTATTAATCAAAATTGTTCAGCCCTCTTGTGTCTATGGGATGAAATTCTGAATAAAACGCTCACCGGTAAAAGGTTAAAGACAAATAATTAGCGCTGTTAAAACTCTAAAGGGCCACTTAACACAACGCGGGAATGCGAAAAAAGGAACGGGAGCGGGAGGGACACGTAATATATTTGTACAGCGGGATGTGCATGCATACCTCGCTGTACAAATATATCCCGCGTCCATCCCGCTGCCGCCCGTTTTCCCGCGTCGGTTTGAGTGAATCTGTGAGTGTTCAAGCGCTCCAAAAAGATTCCCAGAACAAAAAGCAGTTTTCGTACTTGTTGGCCAAAACTTTAATTTCGCAAAAATAAAACAAAAACACCAATAATGGCCACTTGGCTTTTTACAAATGTAAGCTTAAATGTATGACAGCGATTATTGCGACAATAGTTGTCATGGATTTTAAGCTACTCTTAAGCTAAACCAAGGTTAAATTTGTCGGTGCAAACGGCCATAAGCCACAATAATATACTAAAACCTTGAACGCGTTTCAACAGTAAGCCTATCATCATCAGCGAACTTATGAAGGATTTTTATTATTTACAAAGACACGAGTAGATGATGAAACGGACGTGCAGACATACTTTTCCGTGTAATACGCATTACTATAAGAGAGCTTTTACCATAATTTTGGATCAATAGCACTCGCCAGTTTGAAAAATGAACAATAGCTTCCATATTCCAAGAATAATAGTTTTAGTAAGTTGTTAGTTTTTTTAATAGTGTGAGGGATTATTTGATAATAAAACAAAATAAATAATAAAGTAGGTTTATATTTTGGTTTGAAATACCACGAGGATAAGGAAATAGAGGAGCTAAAACGGGCGCAAGATGAATGCAATACGATCCTGATACAAGTCAACTCAGCCTCCATTTACGAATCTAGCAAGTAAAACTGTTCCCATAACTTATATGGGGATCTCGGAAACGATCGAAAGTTGTACAATTAAAGGGGATATTATTATGCACTAAAGAAAACCAGAAAATTCAGAAGGTATGCCAGAAAAAAAATTTGCTGAATTTGTTTTTATTTTTTCTGATGTTATTTGAACTGATACAAAAAAATAAAAAACACTTTCTTATTTCAACTTTTTGAGCTCTACAAGACACAGTTGTTACATTTTCAATACAACGTTTCGTTTCGGAGAAATCATCATGAAGTTTATTTTTTTATACGGCACGCAAAAAGTATATACTGTACCATTGTTTAAATTTAAACAATGACTACTGAATAGCATTTTTTATTATGAATACATATGCGTTATAAAGCACACAGAAAAAACAAAAGTTTAAAACTGTTGGTTTCAACAGGATGGTGCACCCGCGCACAACGCCCTAATAGTTTGAGAATATCTATCGGATAAACGTCCTGGAAAATTTTCTCCTACATGTATTCTCACGATTATGACGTTGTGCGCGGGTGCACCATGCTGTTGCAACCAACACAGTTTTCACCTTTTTTTTGTACCCTACATCATTGTATTCCTAATAGAATATTGTATTGAATAGGAATTCAATACTTTTTTTGTCACACAGCGTTGAAGACGATTCTTCCACTCCTGCTAGAGTGGAACTCGGATTTCGAAATGATGTTCCAAAATACCATCTTTTGATACGGGTTCTTAAACCACTAAAACACTTGGGATCTAAGTCTAGACAAAACACTGTCTCCATAAGCATTTTGAAGATTCCAGTGCGCTGGGAAAAATATGATAGAACACTCCTGCTCCAAATGAATTAGTCACTATCACTTTTAAAAACTACCAAAATTGAATTTAAAAGAAAAAAATTATGAAAAGCACAAGTACAGAATTCAAGCTTGTACTGTACATGTCCACCTACTCCCCTCTGAGTTTGGGATGTGCAAATATGACATAGTAACCATTACAGGACCACTGTCAGTACTTAATTTATACAGTGTCTCCCAGGTGGAACACACCATAGGCAAACAGAATTAATATATTCTTTCTCAAAGGATCCACGAGGCCTTTGAAATTAGCGTTCAACGTACTACTTCAATTTCTTTCTATCATCAGACAAGCGCAATACAAATACTTCAAATGCATATCAAAGGCGTTGTGGATCCTTCGTGAAAAAATACATTAATTCTGTGTGCCTATGGTGCGTTCCACTTGGGACACACGGTATACTTTGTATTTATAGTCCGTCTCACCTTGACTGTACAGTAAGCGCACATAGGAGTTTTTAGTGTGGTTATGCCTATTTTAATTTGAATGCTAACTGTCGTGATTTCCAACGTGAAATGTCATTTTAATGCGTTTGCCCACTGATAAATTATCAATTTAGTTTAAATTCTGGAAGTTGATGAGATGGGGCAGCGCAGGGGGGGGGAGTCGAACCCGGGCCGCCTTTTTTCTACAAATCATATTGTAATGACATTTGGCATCATTGTTGGCCATAAGAGCCTGTACTGTAAAGTCAAGGTGAGACGGACTATAGTAAGAATATAGTCAAGATCAGATGCACCATTTTAAATTAAATACTTGTTAATATTGTTGATACAGATCTAAGGAAAACTTAATTATACCACCACTTCATAAAACAGCATTATATGAAAGATCATTTTGATACAATATTGCTAAAAAATATACCTAGCGTAAATTTAAGCAATATTTTAAAAAACATACCCGTCAGAAAATTTAAGAAGGCAGGCACTCCATAACATTGTTTTTGCTAGGCAAACGTTTGAGTTGAGTTAAATTTCATAACCCATTTGACTGTAAGTTATATATTTGTTTATTTATTTTTTTTTCATACATTTTGTATTTCATCAAGTTATTCATGTATTTTATTTCCCAGTAATTCTTTACTTTTCTGTACAATTCCCAATTAGATTTTGATTTCTTTTCATTATAGTAGGGTTAAGTGTAAGAGCAGAGTTGGGTCGCCGTGAGTAACCCAACATCTGAACTTTAATAAGACTTTATTATTTTATTTTTTTTTAATAAATAAACGTTTAATGAAAATAATAGGACAAGAACAAATTACATATAAGAACGGGGTTTTAAAACATAATAAATTTCATCAAAAGAATTACAAAAAAAAGGTAAAGTTATTACTATTAAATTAAAGAACGCGGAGGTTCAGTTCAAAGATCACTCACACCTCCTCTCTAACCATACATCATTAGAAACGGTTCATTAATGATAATGAATCATGTTATTATAACTCTACCTATTTACATTTGACATTAACCATGCCCAAGTCATACAAGCCGCCAACAGAAACTGAGCAAGCTTTAAATGCGCTAAAATTTCCCAAAAAGCAAAATATTTTTCACATAGCATTTTTTAAGTGCACCTTCACGTACGTTTTAATTGTTTTTCAAATGTTGATCAATCTTTTCAGAAAAATATATTCATACGTCAATTACAAGAGGCCAATAAGAGCGCGTTACAACAACTGGCCGAAATATCGACTCGATTTCAAGACATGACGCCGCACATAACTCGCTATACATATGAATACGATGTCCAACTTCCAGGACAAAGGTTACAATTTTCGTGTAGTTCAAGTTCGTGCAGCACAAGATCATCGGAATATTACCTAACGAAACCTTCAATTTCGAGCATCCTACTGGAATTTAATGCGACCGCCGAATGTGGAAGTCGAAGTGCCAAGAAAAATATAAAATTGAAGCCTAAACGTAAAACATAAAGAGGATGGTAAGAACGGAAACATATTATTTTATAAATTTTAATGTCTCCATAGTAAAAAATTCATACATTTACACATAAATTATAATTCCACTTTTAATTATGTACTTCTTTATAAATACTTTGAGTATACTTACTTTTAATTGTTTTACTCCATACCTGGGGGAAGCGGTTCCATCGACCCCAAGACAGGAGGTGGTAGTGGATCGTTTATGACGGGGGCCTATAACACATGAACGCATTTTTGGACATGCACTTAAAACGATTTTGTGCAGACTCCCACCCCTCAAGGATCAGATTGCTGGCTGTACGTCAATTAACTTACCGGCACCATTTCCGGTGGTTTTTGTGGGATAAGGGCATTAGGTAGATCCACAAGCACTTCCTGCACGGCCGACGGTATATGACTCCTCTGTCCCTCTGTGAAATTCTGCAGATACTGTCGTAAGGGATCTCGAATTTCGGGACACATCCCCAACGCCTCCGTCAACTGAACGGCGGGTAACTGCATCAGTACGGAAAAACTCTGAGGTCTCGTCTTCAGGCAGCACTTAACGAAACCCTCCCACACCACCTTCTGCTTCCAAACCTGTTTCAGAATCAACCTCTGCAGGATGTTCATCACAAAACCGGAAAGGCGAGGATGCGAGGAGAGCGCTTGTATGACGGTTCGCATTAGGAGCGTCGGGAGCGGAGTTTGGTCCATTAGCTGTTGCAGAACGACCGCTAACACTTCTTGCGTGAACACCTACAGCATTTATTAAATCGGATCGACAAACGTTCACGAAACTGACCTGTTTCTCGTTTAAGCACATTGAAGTAGCCTTCATTGTCGTCTTCAAGTCGGCCTTGCTCGGATCGATTAAGTGGAGAGCGACTAGCAGTTCGGTCGGCGTAATTGGACTTTCACCGTGTAAGCCTAGGAGTCGGTTAAAAACTTCGCGTACAACAACAGGATTTAACTTGATCAGTTTAGGTAAGGCGGAAATAATCTGCAAGTGGCAAATTTCGTAATTAGCACAGCCGAGTGTGGCTCTTACCTCCTGCTTCGTTAAGCCGTTAAGTACCGGAATAAGAAAACGTACATCGGAAACGCGAGTTTGATACAACTCTCTAACACGCTGCACCAGCTGAGTGCTTGGGTGGCCCTTATCGGTTAAAATGTGTATAACTCGCGTCACGAGAGTTTCGGAGCCCTTCGGACATTCTTCCACTAGCTTTAAAAGTTCGGCAGATTCCATTCCCATTACTCTAATCGGCGGTTCAAGTAAACGTAAGATGATTCTCTTAATATCAGCGTTCGTTTGCACGTACACTTTTGCCAGATTGTGGATTAAGGTTTGGTTTATTGGTAAAAGAGATACGTACGGCATTAAGCAGCAACGTACAAGATCGTCATTCCAAGAATCTCCGCCCATCAGTCTGCCTTGGCTCTCTCCAAATAAACTCATCGGCGGCTGCGCTAACCGTAGAAAATCTAAGTGTAACTGAACAAACTTATCAATGCTGCCTTTCAGATTCGGTCGTTTATACAAGTCCATCAAATGATTAATAGCGCACTCCCGTACTTCATGCTGCTCGTGAGTTGTGTGTATTAACAGCGCATTCAAAAACGTCGACTGCTTCGGTGGACGCCTAATGACCAAGTCTTTTATAAGCCCCAAGGCCCAAGCGCACCGATTCACGTCTTTGCACAGCACGCACAATTGGTCCAGGGCCTGATCCGTAATCATGGGGGCCTCCAGCATGATACGCGAGAGGACCAGGGCGTCTCCGGAGGCCACATTTATGAACATTCCCAAGAGAGTCGTGTAGCCTTGATCCAAACGTCCGTCTCTTCTCATTGCGGGCAAACGTGTAAATCCCTTAAACAAATCAGAATCAAGTCAGCACCACACTCTCCGACTTAGAGAGTATTTAATTAAGAACAAATTATATTTCGGCATCCCGTTCAAAGTTGTCATTTATTTAACAACGCGTTTAGGTGCTTAATTTCACAATTTTTGTGCCGCTCTAGGAGAGGTAAGTAAAGCTCCGTAGACTACCGAGTCTCCTCATCAGCCAATTTCTGGTCTTCAAGATCTAGCAGTGGATCTTCAAGGTCATCGTTTGAAACCGATAGATGAAGTGTAAACGTAAGCGATAACCCGCGCGTCTCGCCCGACACAGCAGTACGTGAGGCTCACATTCCGTGCTATGTGAGTCACGCTGAAAAACAATCGCCCATTCAAGATGAGCTGATTATACACAACGGAAGAGATTTTAGACATTCCAGGAGATGGCCCGAGTACCGAAATTATTGCGCTATTGTGGTACTTGAGCACCCGCTGAGCGCACATTTTATCGAAAGGGCTGTCCGAGATCGACGTCGCGTCCAGAAATGAGAGTTTGGCACACTTGCGCATGCGCGATTCTGCCCAAAAGCTTTTCAGCTTTACATACATAATCGAGATTTGGTCCCTGGTGCTTCAAAACGTCTATTTCCGTCAAAAAAGTGGGGGATAATTTTTTACCTCAATGCGCTACCTCCCTTATTAACGTGCGGGTGGTAAAAAGATGCTGCTTACGATTCTTTTCGGACGAAATTATCCTCTGGAATAATAGGTTTGGGAAAAAGCATAGATTCCGCTAACCTTCAAGATCTTCACACCTCCTTGGCTTGCGGACACCGGGAAAATTCTAAATACGGGCCTGTGATTTAAGTTTTTTCTCGTGTACACAGTTACGGATGGTGTCCGCCCCCATTATGGACCCATTCGATAGTGTTAAAGGTTGTTTACAAGTGCCCCCTCCGACCGCAAGTGCCGCCAACTATGAAGCACGCGGTATGATACGTTTTCTGAATGCTAATGCTAATGTGGGCAGAAATGTTGAAAGAATTTCCTAGGCCCGAGAGCTAAAATGTTTCCCTAAAAGTTTAGGGAATCGTGCTCCCATTGTCAGATGCGACAATACCAGACATTTGATCTTTACTTAATTGCCATAAGGTCACCATCACTGGACAGCGGCCTTTAAGCTTCACCTCTTCCGCAAATTGCCCCAATTTGTTATTTTTGATACCCGAACAATTGTTTTCAAGGTCAATATTTGAAGGACAAATATTAACGATTGACTGAGTTATACATGTACACAGACGCACTTTATACTCGAACAATGTGACCTTGAACTCATCTGTAGTTTATGAGTTAGATTAAATGAAACGTTCAGGAGACGACGTCTTCCAGAGATCAACCCAAGAAGTGATTACTTGTCTACAACACATCATGACCGGTTGTGCTGTTGGAACAATCAGCTCGGGGAACGGGACTCTCCCTAATCAAAATTACAAACATTTTAACTTCAGAAGATGGAATGCAAATTGTAATTACGGACAAGATCAACAACGAACTTCCTCGCCTCTGCGTTTTCCCCTGCTTACAGAGGTACTTACAGGAGATTGATGCGAAATTAAGAGAAGGCCAAGAAAATCTGTTCGTAACCTACCAAAGGGTTTATACAGGGTGGTCCAAATTGGACACTTTCTTATGGAAACACCCTTTATCTCTTAAGATGGGAAAAAAAAGGACGTAGGTATCTCTATCCTAGGAATCTTTCATCTTCTTAGAGCATTTTTTATGTAGAATCCATTGCGTTACACAGTTTTTTTATCAGGATGTGTGGTTTTTCTTATACGACCCTAAACTATATTTTTTCATATAAACCACCCTATATATTTTGGGAGTTTTTGGAAAGAGCGTAAAAATTCCTAAATTTTGATGTATCACTTATTATATTTATATTAAATATTATTTGCAATATTGCATTTTATACATTAAAATGTTTTTATTGCAGACATCTAAGTTTCCATGGCGAACAAAAGATGGCAGGATCGTTTAATTGGTTATCTGGAAATTTTTATTAGTTTCCAAATAGTTTTAATTTCAAATTACATACAAAAAACAAAGAACGTGAAAAGACATCAGAATAAAACAAATAAGTCATATAATATGCAGGGTGATTCAAATTCGAGGGCCACAATTGGGATTTCGGGTACTGTAAGAGATAGGCAGGTAGTTTAAATTTGACAAAGTTGCGTATTTTGATGCTTAACAAAATTTTTTTTTTTTTAATTTTAATTTTATCCCTCTCTTGTTTTGGGCCCTCAACAGGCATGCGCCCAATTACAGAGTGACCCGCATAATGCTATTTAGAGGTGCCTCTGCAGAAGGTCTTAAGATGGTCTATACTACTCCGGTATTTACCTTACGAATTAGGAAAACTGCAGGAAAACCTAATTCGGAGTAGCCGGTAGAATGCTCGGAACTGGTCTAAGGTAATTTCCATCTCCGCCACAGATGAAAAATTCACCTCAACTCAGGTTCGAACACCCGACCTCCGGATTTATAACCCAATGCTCTACCACTGAGCCATAAATCCGTTTAAATGCAGTTTTGAAACTGAAAAAATCCCGACTACTTTCGGAGATATCCGGAAAAAGCCGAAACTTTGCAAAATCGTTTTTATTTTTAATGAAGTTATTTAAAAAAATATTTCGAAACTTGCCCCTCTACTAGATGCTATTTTTAAATTTTAAGTTTGACGTTTCGTCTCCAGTCAACCATCATCAACTTTGTTTATTTTTATGGAAGTAATTTTTACTTTTTGTGTCATTTGATGGAGAATTTTTTTCTGATTTCAAAAAGGTAAACATCACTATCTTTTAATCATAAATAGCGCTATTAATTCGTAAAAACGCAAGAAACTACGTACATACACTATCTAAGACAAAGTTTTCTAGGCAAAAAAGAAAATATCTTAATAATTGTGATGTTTATATTTTTGAACTCTCTTTTGAATTCTCTATCAAATGACCCAAAAAGTAAAAAATACTTCCATAAGAAAAAACAAAGTTGATGATAGTCAACCGGAGACGAAACGTCGGATTTAGAATTTGAAACTAGCATCTTGTAGAGAGAAAAAAGTGGCCATAATAATGTGTTATTTATTTCGAAATATCTTTTTAAATAACTTCAGTAAAAAATAAAAACGATTTTGCAAAATTTCGGATATCTCCGAAAGTAGTCAGAATTTTTTAAGCTTCAAAACTGCATTTTTTTCAAGCATCAAAATACGCAACTTTGCCAAATTTAAACTACCTATCTATCTCTTACAGTTCCCGAGATCACCATGGTGGCGCTCGAATTTGAATCAGCCTGTATAAATAAATAATAACAGGTAACCAAGTCGTTGCCGTAATGTTTCTATGACCAAAAACACCAGACTAGGGTTCCGCGAGAGGCCGAGGCTTGTACGATTTTCTCAATTCTGACATGTTATAATTTTTACAGATTAAAAAAAAATTCGTGTATATAATAAAAATTGCGATTTGGCTATAATGGTGTATAAATAAACCCCTCGCCACAGGGTTTTAATTAATTTTAATTTAATTTAATTTTTAATTTAATTTTTAATTTAATTTTTAATTTATTTTTAATTTTTTAATTCCATTCCGATTTCCTTGGGGCGATTGTCTTAATTAGAGAATTAATTATGATATATTTTGCCCATTGAAAGTAGGTATATCCGAAGTAAAAATGGCCCTACGTTTTTCAGAAAAAAATTTCCCTAAAGCGACTCAACCTTTTTAGGGGAGTCGATGATGTATGACTGTGAACACGATAAGTGGGCAACGCTTGGACCGATTCGGTTCAAACTTAGCACAGTTGACCTACATACCACACGTAACAAGCCTATTGAAAATGGGTCACACCGCGAGAAATTAGAAAATTATGATTTTTTAATGATTGTGCAATCAGGATTTTTACTAAATTTCAGATCTTAGTAAAGTGTCATAGAACATATGTACCAAATTTGGTTCAATTCAATGCAATAGTTTAGCCATAATAGGGAAATGTTTTTTGTGACTTTGACGCACTTGCGCATGCGCAATTCTGCCCAAAAGCTTTTCAGCTCTTCCTTTTCTGTCTCAGAATATGTGTATCAAAGTCTGAATCCACTACAAAGGGCAATTCTCCCTAATAATACATGATCATTTGCCGCATTTGCTTTAATTTCAAAAATCGCTTCAAATCTTCTTCATTTTAAGAGTTTTTTTTAAACGTCTTAACTATGCATAATGTAAAAATTCTACACAAAACCCTACACTTTCTTGCTTTAGTTACAATATATAAATAATAAAAATGTTAGTACAAACCTGCATAATACTATATTCCTCAAACAACCATGCGAGAGCGATATCCAAATAGGAGCGCAAATCTGTTAACAAAAAGGCAAGAACCGAAGCGCGCACGACTTCACCAAACGACGAGGCAAGTGTCACAATGACTTTCTGTCGAAGTTGAGTGGATGCCGTCTTCTCCGCCATTAAAATTCTCTGTACGGTTCCCAAAAGCAATACCTCCTTGTTGGATTTTTCCAGCGGTTTTGTAATTTCGGCCAACTTCAACGTTTTAATTCGCGGCACCTTCGGCCGCTCCTTCTTCTGCGCCTGAAACCCCACAATCAAAAAATCGCAAATCGTACAAAGACAAATCTTACAAGGCTCTCTTCCTCCTCCTTCTTTTTCGCTCGGATTTCGATGACGGGCGACTTCTCTTTCGCCGGCGGCGCGGCCAGGAACTTCTCGGCCCCGGGACCCAGTCCCGCCTCCAAAAGTTGTATCGCCACCATCTTCCCCAGGACTTTCAGTTCGCCTACGTGACCCATTTTAATGAAGGCGGAGTAGTCGATTTTAAATTGATTGGGCATGGTTTGCGGCAGTTTCGGTAGTGTCTTTAGTACCAGCTGTACGGCTATGTCGATATTCAACTTCTCCAAAACGAACTTTTCGTTTATATCCGTCGCTAACTTTTGCTGCTCGGAGTTGGGGTCCTGCTCGAGCCTCGGCCGTTTAGTCGGCTGAAGCTGTTCGTCGTTTAAACTTCGTTTGACATAACGCCTACGCTCGTCTGCTTTCGGTAGCATTCTCTCCAGTTCTTGCATCGAGTATCCTTAAAATCACGGTTAGAAACTGTTGAGAAATAGGATGTCCCACAGCTCCACCCTTTAGTATCTTCTGTGGTAGGATTTTGTTCTCAGTTATGTGTTACTGTTCTTGCCACCAAAGATGGTGTGTACAATAGCATGATCTTTATTTCCACTGACATAGTCGATGGAACCAAGACAAAATCAACAGCGAAAATCGTTTTGTGCTGCCCTCAGTTTCTCGATATTATGAAAACCTTTGGAAGAATACTTAAAGGATCGTACGGAAGATTGGACGTGACCATAAAAAATCTAGGATATACCACAGTTGGCAAGAGCGCTAAAAATCTAGCAAATTCAAAAAATCAAGAAAATCTAAAATGTCTAAGTCTAAAGACTCTAAAAATCTAACCTTAAAGAGTCTACAGTACAGTGACTTTATAGAGACAGTGGCGACAACAAGGTATCTCCTTTTTGATTGGTCGTTGGTTCCGGTCGCCATATTGGAGCTAAATTCCAAACTGGCCAATAGAAAGCCTCCAAAACGACACGGTACACTCCGTGCTATAATTATTAATTATACTGTTTTGACAGTGTCACCAGTAATGCAACAAAAGTATAAAATTTATAAGCATAATAAACGGGAAAGTGCAAAATTATATGAAGTGAAAAATTAGTTTTATGCTATAACCTTTTTTTTAAGAGACACCTTGGTGCAAACCTCGACACCATAACGAACCAAACATCAAAAAATGTTTCAAAACCCACTCGTGGGTCTTGCCGCGTAACACAATTGTAAATGAAGAGTAACGGGCAAATGTAGACCATAGCAGCTATCAATTAGCGAAAACCTGAAGTCTCTAGGTGGCCCAGGGGCCTAGATCTCGAAGGAAAATTCACCGAGGGCAGAAGTCCGTCGCCGAGCAGCGATTCTAACTCTCCTGTGTAGCCCTCCTTAAACAAGGTCAAAAAACAAGTGGAAAATTGTCCACCATCGTTTTCTCTTTGGAGATGACCTTGGGAAAAAATAAAATTGCCCATTATAACGCGTTAGCAAAGACCTGAAAATGCTTACTAATTTGCCTGCCACTCGGAATAAATCATCGCATTGCGGGGAAGAGGGGGGGCCGCAACAGAGCCCCCTTCAGGGCCAGAATTTAAACTTGCAACATCCGGTTCGTCGAGGGGACGATATGAGACCATATAAGGGACAACAGCCTTCGAAGAGAGCGCGTTCGACAAAAAAGGGCCAGCAGAGCCATCCTCATACAAACAACGGAGGGATTAATACCATTATTATTATTATTATTATTATAATCACAACCACCACTTTTCTGTTCTTCAAGGAAGACACTTTTGCTCACCTATTGGATTTAGACGCAATAGAGAGGTGATTCTCTCCTGGTCCAATTATTTCCAAATGTTCCTAGTGGATAAACCCAATGGTAAAAAAGTTCCATTCTCAACCTCAACATTTATTTACCTCTGCTCCCCATTTCAAAATGGAGAATGCTTGAACTGCAAGGAAATTAATTCAAAAGGGCTACTCTAAACCTGAAAGAGGCATATTTTCTATTTCTGGTATGCAGGGATCATAGAAAATACCTCAGGTTTTCCTGGCACAAATTTACTTGTCGACTCTTTGGCCTAGCTTCCGCTCCATATGCTTTTACGAAGCTAATGAAGCCAGGCATACATGACTAACATATCAACGGTATACTATGGGTAAGTTACCTGGACGATTTTTAATATTGGAAGAGTGTTCCCAGAATACGCTCACGACAATACGGTTGCTAGAATGACAAATGAACAAATAGTCGCTAAGTCGTTGTGTAAAAGCAACACTTAGGGAAGCAGGAGCGGCAATGACTCTGTTTTGAACCCAGTCTACTAGACATGTCTCCACCTCTGCATCCCTAAGGCATGCAATGTCATTGGACACTATTAGGAAGTCAGCGGGCTGGACCGAACATTTGTAGTTGTTCACTCGTTTTTACAACAGACCCCTGGCAGTCTCAGATGACTTTATGAATGCCATGTTTAAACCTTAATTGGTTATTATGTTTTCTGTCTATACTAATAGTCCAGACTAAATAGCGCTATCTAACGGTAAAATTATAGCACCCCCGAAAACCAAATCGAAATTATTTTCTTAAATTATCGATCTCACAAGTAATCTAACTCAAAATAGACTAGAGCCTGCACATCTACACTATAGCAGAAAGCTTTTAGTGAAAATTTGAAGTCTCTAGCTATTGTAGTTGCGGAGATCTCAGCCGGACAGCCGGCCGGCCAGCCATAACGACTGTAACTTTTGAACTAGTAGCCCAATCTTGGAACTGTTTGAAGTTATCGATTCTACAGGCCACATTCTATAAGAAAATATTTTTTCCGGGTCCATCTGAGACAATTTTTTTTCGGGCCTCATAAAAAGGCAGTGTATAACCTTCCTTTTTCACCAAAAATCGACTACACCAAAATTTCTCGGGAAAACACATTTTCTTATTAATTTGGGTGCGTAGAATCCAAATTAATTCGTACTTTTTCGATCAGACGTCTCAATCAAAAGTTATAGACTAGAAACCCTGGTTTCCAGTAATACGAAAGGTGCTTTATATTGTTTATATTTATATTAATTTATATTGTCAATTACTGTGATTCAAGCACTTTTAATGGCTTCAAGCCCTTTCCAAGGGCTTAGTCCTTTGTATTTTCAATTACTTTAGAAAGTGCTTGGTAATTCCAAGCTCTTTAATCACATAAAAGTGCTTAGGGCTTGCAAGCACTTTTATCAAAACAAAGTGCTCGGTGCTTAGTGCTTCAAGCCCTTTTCAAGAGGGCTTTACCCAGCTCTGATCTAGATCTTTTCAAAACACTTGGTTATTTAATATTGAGCTAATGTTTTCGAGTTAAACTAAACAAATATGCTTTAGTTACTGGTGTAAGTGCAATGACTTTACCATTTGTTTTAATAGAAAGTGTTGATACGTCAGGCTTTTTTTCTTTTCACTCCATCTATTGTTTCACAGAGGAGAATGACATAACATTTCAAACCTTGGCACCACCCACCATTTCAGAGAGGAAAACAGCACCAACAATGGCTAAGCAAAAACAACAAAGAAACATACTCCTACAACACAAACTGAGGAAAATAGGTGGAGCTGCAGAAACGGACCCATTAAATCCTTACCTAGCTCGACAAGCATCGTCGTAAGGCTTTCGAGATAATCGAAACTGGCATGATGCTTAATTAACGAGCACAATTCCGTTTTAAGCTTCTTCCGTACCGAATTCACCTGCGTACTGCTCAAAGTAGGCGGCATATTGGAGTGCAGCAGTTCGATTCCCGCAATAACTTTACCCATAAACTCCGGTCGCTGCCTGGCAATATTTGCCAACGCTCCGATGCACGCAAACAGATTTGCGCTACTGACATGCTGGGAGCCGTTAAATTTGATCAACAAATCGAATATTTTACTAAAATTACGCAATATACGCTGTATATAATTTCGAGAAAACGCTACTCACTTGGCCTCCTCCTCGAGTTTACGTCGGCGTGCAATTTTTAACGTCAGAGGTACGTCGTCCAAGCTAAAGTTGTTGGAGGAGCGCGTTTCGTACGGGTCCGGGTAGGTTTGCAGTAAAACGACGCACTCGAGGAATTTAACGGAACTGGTGCGGACGCCGTCGTTATCGCTATCGATCATGTTGACGATTTCGACCTTAATGACGTTCAGTTGATTCCAAGCCTGCTCCATTTCGGGCGTAATAACCGAAGCCTTACACAACCAGCTGAGCATTCGCCGGTAGATCGTGATCGCGGCTTGAATGACACGCTTCTGAACGGGTATGCTGTCGACGCAAAGTAGCATGTGTAAGCTGAGTATCACCTTCGGCAGAAGGCATTCGTTGGTTTTGCTGAAACGCAAAGTTAGAATTACGACGGGGTTAAAAGAGAGAATTACCAGGCCTCTTCGATGAACGCGACCAGCGCCTTTTTTATGTCGGGGCTCTTGTCGGTGGTAAAGCCCAGCACGTTTTCGAGGAACTCGGGCAGCAGACTCGGCGCCTTGCGAATGAGGAACTCCTGCAGCTTGTGGAGAATGTCCAGTTTCTCTTTCGAGTTTTGCGAGAAGCTCGCCGTATTTATCCATTGCAGTATCTGCAAAAGTTGTGTACTCAATTTGAGGTTATGTCGGAAAATTTTTTGCATAAAAAAATTGTCCCGTGTTAATTACCAAGTCGCGATCTGAGATTTCCGCGTTCATGTAATCCATAATTCGGTGCGAATTTGTAAATATGCTTTGGCTTTAATTAAGACATATTTACAAAAAAAGGCAAATTTTCATGCATGTAATTAGACGCTTTAGATGGGCCAATAGGGGTGTTTGGTTTGGTGGCGCCATCTCGTGAGTGTTTAGCTGTTATCACCATCACCCATTTTAAATTTTCGTATTTTGCTTACTTCAGCAACTTTTGTAAAACGTGCTTTGTGGATTGTGTATTTGCGATTCCTTTAAACATTTATATATAGCCGAAAGTAGCAAAACTTTGAGACCAATTGTACTTTCGGATAGGGCGATGGCGTCTAGCAAAAATCTTCAGGATCGATTAATCGAACTGATACTAAAGGAAGATGTAAGTGCCTCTTGGTAATTTATTGATATATCTTCAGTATTGTATTTGTTTTAAACGAGTTTGTTGACGATATGTTAGAGGGCTTCCGATGTCCATGCCAGTAACCAATGCTGCTTCCGTGAGTCTGAAGCGACAAGTTAGATTTCAGTTGAGATGTTAGTTAGGTGTCTTAAACCAGCAGTACTAACACAATGTGAGCTGTTTTAATTTTGAATAAACAACTCAATCATATTATGGTACTACTAATAGTCAGTAGTCGACCTGATGTGGTCTATCAACTGCATGTAAATAAACAAAACTAAGTTTAGTTTTCACTATAGACTCCAGGCTGCGCTGTTCTAAATCCTCCCACTTATTAAGAATTGATACGTGGACTGTTCTCGTCTGGCTCATTGGGTCTTAGGTATAATGTATAGTCTGCTGTTCTATTTCGCTTCCTTTCCTCAAGCTGTAACTGTAACTGTTGAGGGCCTAGAACAAGAGAAACAATAAATAAAAAAAAAAAATATATATTAACATTTTTTGTTACAAAATGGAAATAGTAGACAGGTACTTACCTATAAGGTGTTTACCGTAGAACAGTAGAAATGTATAGCTGTAAGTACAAACGTTCCACAAACTTTAGTTACTGCTATCCCGCTGGACCTAGCCCCACACTCCACCCCTGTGTGAATCAATTTTTGAGTTTTCACAATAAAGCATCTAATTTTTGGAGCTTGTTTAAATCACTAGGAATCTAAAATTTATAATAATAATGGACTTTATTATCTTACTTACTATAAGATAATCTCAAGGCGCAGTTCAATCTCCAGAAATTGTTATGGGGTGTACGTATCCACTTGGACCTCTCCTCCCTCCACCAAAACCAAAATGATACCAAGTTTTACAGTCCTTCAATATAGTCGCCAGCATTGTGTAAATCAGCCACAGCTTCGAGCCGCATGTGCGCGTTCTGTCGCCGTTTTTATCTCAAAGCTGTTCTGAGATGGTGATCCAATAAAGAGCTGTTGCTCACTGACTCTACCATGGGAAGCAGTATGCCTTAGGGTAACACCATCACAGTCCGTTGTTCTCTCTTTGAAAGCATCGTGGCAACAGCTACTTTAGACGACAGCTAATACAAAATATTTTTAAGTTTCTGAAATGACCGCTAGGGGGCGTACCTGCAATCTGGAATCTAAAAAAGTGAATTCCACTATATTAACCTAACAAAAAATGTCCGGTCTTTGAAGTTGACGATAATCTGAACAATTTTTGTTTTGCAATTTTTCCTGTATCTCTAAAAATGAAGTGGTGGGGGGTATTCAAAGGTTGCCGTAAAGAACACCCTGTATCTTCGAATCGGCTGAGCCGATTTAAACTAACTCGGGTTAGTTCAAAAGAGCTATTCTTCAGTTACAAATATTATACCATTTGAAGTGTTGTTAGTTTCACATATCACCGCTTGAGGGCTTTTTTCGACATCCTGACAGAAATGGTTAATTTTCTCAAAAAAATTAAAATTAAATTGGTAAGATTTTTTTTTTTCATGAAAAAGTAGCTAAATGATGCCTAAACAAACTCGCGACAGCATCTCGATATCTTGAGAGAGATATATATATATTTTATATCGTCATGGCCAGCATTTCGAGCATTTACGGCGGCATTAAAAGTTTCCTTTTTTAAATCGATCTACCTTAGGACCACAAATTATATAATAAAAATAATTCCGGAAAAATTATCTTAAAAAAATAAAATTTTGAGGGTATAAAATTTTCTTTGGCCTAAATTTTAGGTTAGGAACAAGATATCGAGATGCGGTTTTCGCGAGCTTGTTTAGGCATCATTTAGCTACTTTTTCATTTAAACAAAATCGAACCAACGCATTTCATTTTTTTGAGAAAATTAACCATTTCTGTCGGAATGTCGAAAAAAGCCCTCAAGCGGCGATATGTGAAACTAACAAAACTTCAAATAGTATAATATTTGTAGCCGAAGAATAACTCTTTTCAATTAACCCGAGTTCGTTAAAATCGGCTCAGTCGTTTCGAAGATACAGGGTGTTCTTGACGGAAACCTTTGAATACCCCCCACCACTTCATTTTTAGAGATAGGTACAGGAAAAATTGTCAAACAAAAAAGGTTCTGATTATCGTCGTCTTCAAAGACCGGACATTTTTTGTTAGGTTAATATAGCGGAATTTACAGAAAAATCACTTTTTTAGATTCCAGATTGCAGTTACGCCCCCTAGCGGCCACTTCAGAAACTTAAAAGTATTTTCCAGGTTTTTCTCGTGGCTATTTTAGTAATAAATTTTTTTACCGCAAGCCTCTACGGTGGACAGGTTCCGAAATACAGTACCTCGCATTCTTATTTCTGTACATGACATTGTTTGGCGTCTTTACAGCAGTGTTGCCACTACTAAAGTTCCAACCCTCGTAGAAATAATCCCTTCGGACCTAGTCGCTCCTTAATTAGTTTCTAATTTTTACTCATAAATTACGAGCTATTAAAAGCCTGTCATTCTACTCTTACGTACCTCCGACTGTTTTCCTTATTTATTTTTTAAGAATGAATTCTTACAAATGATTTAAGAGTCACTTACTAGAATTCGAATTTGTCTCCTCGGAATATCAACTTTCTTATTTCTTCTTCTAGTAAAGACAAACATATCGCATACCTATAGTAAAAATCAGTTGTGCGCATACACAGACTGCGCAATGTCTTATTTATGGAGGTATTTTTTTTGAAATTTCAACCATAGCTGCTTCTAGTAAAAACAAACATATCGCATATTGTAAAAATGCCATTCTGGCTGCCTTACGTCTGAAAAATAAGGGGCTATTGAATAGTCATGTTCATGTCGCTTTTGTAAAAGAAATGATTTTTGCACGCATTCATTGATGGTAATAAGGGGTTCCCTCAGGGTTTCACTTGGGGACCGTTGCACTATTTTCATGATTTGTATTACCTGTTCTAATGCACCGTTTTTATAGTTTGCAGGCCCTGTCGAAAATCCAAACGATAAGACCAATGCACCCACTTCTACTCCGCCCGATAAGTTTGTCAAATTGACAATGCGAAAGGTAGGAATGAAATTAGTTCCGGTATTAGAGAAGGTACCTTTAGAGGGGATAATGGAGCGATTTAATCGAAGCGTGGAATTAATCGGTAGGGACACCTCCCAATGTCAGTGGCGTGCGAAATTAAATTTGTTTTTTAGCCGAAGACCCTGAACCTAGCGATGAGTTAGTGCGAGAACTCATGATGTCGACTTCGGTACTAAAAAATTTAAAAGTGACAAGTTCGATTCACGTCGATAAATTACTGCGTGTACTTCACTTTGTGGAATTGAAAATGCAAAAGGCCGATCACGTTTCGGTTGGTTTTTCTCACTTTGAAACCGCCTGCTTTATCTTTGTCTTGCAGGTGAGAAGCGAAAGAGATACACGACTGGTAATGACAGCCGCCGATTCGTGCCTCGTCGCCCTTTTTATAATGACCTCCCCGAAAATGCCAAAGCGGGTGTACTTGGAGGATGTCATTGATAAAGTTGTGTCTTTTATCAAGTTTCAACTTCACAGTTCAGTTTTTCCAGAATTTGATTGTACACTCAAAGCCCAAGGCAAGTTCCTGCCCTTTTAGCGCATTTTCCAGCACTTCCTCCGCCCGTCCGTCGGTAGCTTAGAGCTCTGGCACCCCAATCAAGAAAAATCTTGATGTGCGCATGCGCATACTGCGCAGTATTAACTTTCCTATTACAGTATTTTGTTGAAATTTTAACCACAGATGTTTCTAATAAAGACAAGCATATCGCATATTTTTAAACAGGTTGCGCATGCGTAAGAATATTTATGCCTTAACTTATTTTTCTTTGTACTGGAATGGAAAATGCGCTAAAATCGTTTGTCCATTGTTTATGCGATTTTTTACAGTCAACAGAGTGAAGAAGTCTCCACAAGCAGCAAAAATATGCGCGCCTTTGTATAATAAAATAATCAAGCTTGTACATTTGCTTGCGGAACTGATCGAGATACAAGTCTTAACTGACAGTTTATTAGTTGACGTGTCTTCGGTTGCTTTACCGACGTTTTTTGTGCAAAACGTCGCAGAATTACAATCTGCCTGTCTAACGCTTGCTCTTAACGTAAGTTTGCTTCCTCGTCAATTTTTTTAATCGCACAATTGTAGATCTCTGCTCGTTATGAGAGTCAACGGACAGTATTTTTAAATGACATTTTAACGTCGACTGTTTGGTTACCAGTAACCAAACGTGGTTTATTGAAGTATGAGTTGAGGGAAGGCGGTGACATTCAGATAATGACGGCTTTGGTTCTGCAACTGATACAGAGCGCGCCTGGGCTTTCGTCAGAAGCCTCGGCTAGAAAAATTACCGACGGCTATAAGAAAGCGACATCATTGGCCCAAACGTTCCTAGCTACATTTTTGAGTAGCTGCGTGAGTAAAAGTAAAGATTATTCCAACCTCTTCGAGAGTTTTCTACAAGATTTGTGGTTGACTGTGGGTAAGCCAGACTGGCCTGCTGCGGCGTTGCTACTAAATATACTGGGGAAAATCTTAGTCAAGCATTTGTTAGATAAGAACGTTGAGGTAGCTGTGCGAATCCTGTGTTTGGATTATTTAAGTCTGATTGTCACTCGTACGATTCGAGACTCTGCAGTTGGCAACGCTAAAATTACTAAACTTGGTCAGTTGATCAAGGACACGGTAAGTTATCGAATTTAAAGTTGCGGACCAGTAGGTAACCGGTATCATTGCAGAAACAGTCGGAAGCTGAAAGCATCGAGTGCTTACAATTTTTGCTATTGGACTACTTAGCGCTTACTGCTCAGGAACATAAGACCATAATGTATGTGCGCCATTTTTACATTGCGCAGTGGTACACGGACCTGAATGGGCCAAGTGCTCAAAAACACAAAGGCTATTTTGAGAACAAAATGAAACGTTTAAGCATCCCTCCCTACTCCACAATAAACTACAATAAAGCTGAGACTATTTCAAAATATTTAGCCTCAAAACACACCACAAACACTAGCTCCGATCAATATCTTAAAGCAGTACGTAACACTTGCCCCAAAATTCTCTTTTTTAATAGTAGGTACATTTCAGATTGTTCTCGTAAGGAGCGACGCGTCAATGGCTCTACGTACGAAAGTTTTAAAGTGCCTCGCAAAGATTCTGACAGCAGACCCTTCTTTGTTAGAGTGTCACGACGTACAGAAGGCCATAAATTCTAGTTTTCTCGATCAGTCTGCTTCCGTCAGAGAGATGGCGCTCGATTTAATAAGCCAAATTGTAGTTTGCAAACTGCAGTTCGTTACCAAGTATTACGAAATGCTCTCTGCCAGAATATTAGATTCGGCGGTGAGTGTACGAAAACGGGTGATCAAAATATTTAGGGATATCTGTGTTGAATTGCCGAACCTTCCGTGCGCCGCAGAGATTTGCCTTAAAATAGTTAGGAGGGTGAACGACGAGGAGGGCGTTCAGAAATTGGTGGTGGAGGTGTTCAGAAGCATATGGTTCACTTCTCTTGCGTTCACGTCTTTGGCTAAGATTGTTAGTAAGATCACTGATGTTGTTGCGATATCTAAGCAGGTTGAATTGGGGTACTTGGAACGAGTGTTGTGTATGGTAAGTATTCTCAAGACAATAAAATAGAAATTGTCAAGTTAAAAACAGTTTGACTAGTAAAATTATGTTTCCCAGATGCATACTAGTTTTAGTAGAATTTAAAAAACAAATTGGTTGACTGTAAGGCGATGAACGAGACATTTTTAGCGCATTTTCCAACGAAGTTGGGTGCACTATTGCCCATCCAAGGCCTCCTCCTACAGTTTTCAATATATTTATTTTATAGCATATGTTAAATTGGCATTTTAATAGGTTTGAATGAGTAAGCTAAGCCGTTCTTTAACCGTAAGGGTAGATAAAGTGAAACAAATGATTGTGCATTCTAATGACATGTGTCATTCTTCGTACTAAAAATTTCTTTAAGAGTAGGTAGTACTGTCCGATAGTGAATTTGAGTAATAATAATAATCGTTATTATTCCGTTGACATTTATATCATGAACATACAACTTAAGACCTTCTGCAGAGGCACCTCTAAAAAGCATTATGCGGGTCACTCTGTAATTGGGCGCAAGCCTGTTGAGGGCCCAGAACAAGAGAGGAATAATAAATAAATAAACAAATTAATCTTCACTAGAAAGAAAATGAAAACCATCCATAACATTCGAATTAAAAGAAAAACATAAGAAAAAAAAGTATAACACAATTATCATTTCATTTCTAGCGCACTCATACAACGTGACAATAACTCGCCGACATTCCCTTACGTCGATTATGCAGCCTTACTATTCGCGGCATAATCACACTGACCACAATTTAAACAATAGGTATTTTTTGATGTGTCATGCTTTACTAAATTATGATTTTTATTGTTCTTACTGTTTGTGGCATAAATGCGCAACGACTGCACTCTTTTTTTACTAGAATACACGTTCTAAAGCTCCAGGAAACCGAATCAAACATTGTTTAATTCTAGGATTTTAAAAATTTTTAAAATATGCTAGTGTAGAAAGATTCAAAGAGTCCGTTCACTTAGCCACCTATTAGCTCAAAAATGAACTAATTTATTTGTATTTACTGTGACCCAATTGTGGTCTATTGTGCATTTATGTTCACGGTTTATGCCCTTTCAAATTTAGAAAAACTTTTTCATACTGAAGCAATAGAATGTACTTTGATTCTGGCTAATTGCGCTTTATGCTCACAGTCTGTACTTTTTTTGGAAATGGGTCCACAGCCCCTATTTAATTTTTTGAAATATGTATGTACCTACATATTTCTAAAACCAAAGAAGTGCAAACTTTAATTTTTTGGGGAGCTAAGCGTTCACTTAGCCCTATTTGATTTTTCCAAATATCTCTGAAACTAACAAAAAACAGACCGTGAGCATAAAAGTACAAATAGAAGACGAGAGGGAGCTACGCGAACGGGCCCAGATCCATAACCACAACTCCCATAACTCCAGCTTATACAGGGTGGTGACTTGCGTAACGCATCATAGGGGTTTCAATGTAAAATTCATAACATGCGATTATTGGCTCCCCAAATTATTTTAGAGCAAAAATGTATTAAGGTTTTTTGTAGGAAAACATTTTTTACGTCAATCAAGCGTATTAGTTTTCCATTTTTTGCATAATAAAGACGGAAAATTGGAAAAATAAAACCTCCATCTTTTTCAATAATCTGTGATGCCATGGAATTTTATAATACAAAAACTACGTCAATATCCGTCATGCCATGGAATGTCTGTTATAAAACAAATCAAATTCTGTCAAAAAGTATTATATTTAGAACAGCGAAAGAAAGACCAAATTACTATAAAAACGGTTTCCTAATAAAACAATTTACAATAAATGTTCGAATAAGTTACCATTAACTGCAAGACAGTAACCAAATCGATCATCAAATCCATTTCAAACTGCTGCTAATTGATAATATAACTGGATATCTTTTTGTTTTAGAAAATTCCATGGCATCGCGGATTATTGAAAAAGATGCGGGTTTTATGTCTCCGATTTTCCGTCTTTATATGAAAAAAATTGAAAACTAATACGGTCGATTGGCGTAAAAAAAATTTTTCTACAAAAAACCTTAAGACATTTTTGCTCTAAAATAATTTGGGGAGCCAATAATCGCATGTTATGAATTTTACATTGAAATCCCTATGATGCGTTACGCAAGTCACCACCCTGTATATTCTTCTTATGGAAATAGTAGCGCAGACGCTTAAAATATCGAGAACAATACCACAAAAATTTTTAGCATAATTTCAATAATAAACAAATTTGCTAATGCTCCCCCATGCAGATATCATAAGTATACAGGGTGGAAATTTTGTCTGGAACACTGAATATATATCTTCAAAACAACATTTTTTTTAATAAAGCTTTTTATGGGATCCTAAATTATAAAAAGTTTGCTACCAATTTACATGTACTTTAAAATTGTGGCCAGTGGCGTACGTCTGCATACATATTTTTTAATGGAAACCACTTTTTTATTATTTTGATTTACATACTATCTCTTTAGCTGAATTAAAAACAGACGTCACTGTTCTTAGTTTATAAGGTATACATAATGAATCAAATAAAATATCTAAAAAAGTAGATTCTAATATTTAACAAAAAGTACCAGGTCATTAAAAAAATATGCCCCCCTTGACCATGCAAAGGTATGCTACTTATCACAAATGAGATTGGTAGCAAACGTGGGTAATTATTAAAAGATGTATCCTCAGTTGTCAGACAGTTTTTAATAGCTACCCAAGTATAACATGTATAAAATACTATGCGATCTTCTTCCAAAAAAAAACATAAATTGATGGTAACTCTAACTTGATATTTATATATACCTTTAATACCCAATCAAAGACAACCTGGGTTTACAATGGTTATACACGGTGTCCATTTTTCGAGTGCCACTATGGGGATCTCGCTTACCTTAAGAGGTAGAAAGTTGGTTAAATGGGGGCAAAGTTGCGAATTTCCCTGCTGAATAACCATCTGAATAGAAATTTAAAATATCATCAGTAGTTCTGAAAATATCGCAAAAAAAAACAAAACTTTCTGATTTTCGTTTTTAATTTTTTCATGATAAACTAGTCGTACTAGACATTTCTAATTAACACATTATTCGAACACTTTTCAATGGAGATTTCGAATGTGACATCTCGTTTTAAATAACTTTTAAGATGACAGAGAAACACGTGGCAACTTTAGTTTTTCTTATGGGCGCCATTTTTAATTTTGAGATTTTAAGATTACGTCTTTTTTTCTCTTTACGACGATATATCACACATGGTGGTTCAGTATCACATTTTTCCTAAAATACAATTTTTAATTTTTTGGGAAGAGTGCTTTGGAAAAACAAAACGTTCTTTTATGGTGAACACAAGTTTGACAGTTTGATGCATATGTCCGGGTGCAGCGTTGGCATCAGGGAACTTTATGTGTTGAGGAAATTTTTATTTATTTTATTTTATTGCCTTTATTTTATAGTGGGCGGAGTGTTAGCAATTTGCTACTCTTCCCACTCAACCCACTATACAATCACAAACAGCCATGCCTTACCTGGGATTCGAACCCAGGACCCTTGTAGCCAAAGTTAGAGCTTCTAACATAAGCTCTTCTGAGCTACGATTTTCGATTTTCATATGAACAGAATTGAACGTTCGTTTTGCAAGAAAATTATAATTCAAATTAGAACAAAATACATAAGAATAAATAATATTTTAGCAATAAAACTACCACAAACGTAAATGACACTGCTTGAAATAAGTCAATATTTTGTTCACAACAAAAGAACGTTTTATTTTTGCATAGCACTCTCCGCATAAAATGAAAATTGTATTTTTAGAAAAAATGTGATACTGAACCACCATGTGTGATATATCGTTGTAAAGAGAAAAAAAAGACCTAATCTCAAAATGTCAAAATCCAAAACGGCGCCCATAAATAAAATTAAAGTTGCCATATTCGAAATCTCCATTAAAAAGTGTCTGAATAATGTGTTAATTAGAAATGTCTAGTACAATTGTTTACCATGAAAAAGTTAAAAATGAAAACCAGAAATTGTTTGCCATATTTTCAAAACTATTGAAGATATTATACATTTCTTTTTAGATTATTATTCAGCAGGAAAATTCGCAACTTTGCCCTAATTTAACCAAGTTTCCATCTCTTAAGAGAAGCGAGATCCCCATAGTGGCTGGCACTCGAAAAATGGACACCGTGTATAAAACAAATTTCACAATACCTCTTGGAATGTTTTCGGAAGTGGAAATTTGCCGACGGATCCTTGATGGACGGTTTTGCCGTTACAATGGAAAAAAATAATTATTAGATGTCGCCTGGTAATTGAAGAGTACGGGGAAAATTTTAAAGATAACGAATCGTTGAGGGTTGAATGGGAAAGTTTTCATTTCTACGTCACACGTTCCCTCGCAAATCGGTCGCTTCTAATACAATGTGACCGGTGTTCACCCCAACGACCAAAGTCCGAATTTTTGGTATTATTAGAACCAAATGGTCGCTTTCAATGCTAAAATGCGAATAACTTTAATCCGTCGAAACAATGTATCCTCCTTTTTTCTTACATGGTTAACTACCGCCTACCAAATGGCGGATTAACTGGTATAATGGCCGTATCTAATTATTAATTTTTTATTTTAAAAACGCCCTTCGAATCAGATCAAAGTTAGAGCCACCAATTATCCTTTTTGATTCTGCCAAGTTGCAGTTTTCACCCACTTGGTCAGTAATCCCAGCCTACTTAAAAATTCGAAAAACTTAAATCCAAAATAAAAACTACCAAACGGAAACAATACCAAATCAGTCATAATCTCGTTTCAGTTGCTTCAGCCGAGTGCAAAACCATCAAATGACCTACTTCTTACCGCCCAACAAATTGTGGATAGTCTGATCGGAACCGTTTCGGACTTTGAAAACAATCCTCAGCGTGCAGCTATCAGTTTAACCACGTGTTCCCTGTTTGCAAAAGTTAGACCCGAATTACTAGTAGAGCACGCAAACATCTTATTGTCCTGCTTGAGCCTAAGGTCCCAGTCAAACGAAGCGACTCTTGTAATAATTCAAGCAATCAAAATACTGGAGTTAATCGTGCCGCTGATAGATCGGACGAACAAGAATTTTTTAGACGAACTAGAAGCGGACTGTATGAATTTGATTCTTCAACGCGATCGAGCTATAGTGGCCACTTGCCTGTCGTGCTTCGGCTGCTTACTTAACAACGTAACGCGAAATTTTAAACTAGTCCGAGACCTATTTCACTCGTACTACACTTACTTGAGCCAAATCAAAACGTGGATGTGTAACGAGAATCGGGACGATGCTCTGGCCGACCCCAAACGAAGACAGTACTTTCGGCGCGCCTTGTTTACGGTGGGGCTGCTGTTGAGGCATTTCGATTTTAAAAATCCCGAAGTGAGGGGCGAGTTGGAGGTGAGTTTAAAGCGGCGCCCGTGTCGTTTACGGCTTGGTATCGTTGCAGCACAACGTCGAGCAGTCCGTGTTTGAGTTGTTCGCGTTTTTCCTAACGTGCTGTGATCAAGACACCCAGGCGAATACCTTAAAGGCTGTCGGTTATATTTGCATCAGAAACTGCGAGTTTATGTTAAGTGACGATTTGAAATCTGTTTATCTGCGTATACTAGCAACGGAAAATGCTCCATTAGACATGAAGTCTGAAGTCTTGAATAACATTGAGATGTATCTACTCGCGGAGGAGGAGCAGATGATGCGTCACGATCTGGAGTGTAAGTACTCACAATGAATCCTAGAGATTTAAATTCGAAATCTAAATAGCATTATGCGGGTCACTCTGTAATTGGGCGCATGCCTGTTGAGGGCCCAAAACAAGAGAGGGATAATAATAATAATAAATACACAGGGGCGAGACAATCTAAAAGAGAAAGTTTGAAAGAAATGCACGATGTATCATCGGGTATGGCGAGCACAATTATTCAATCTTACTTGAAGGAAATATTACGAGGGTACCTTCATCCGAGCGTTCAGGTCCGTCTGCCTTCGATTAGAGTAATTCAGTTAGTCCTGCGGCAAGGTTTAGTTCATCCAATTCACGTAAGTTTCAAATTCATTGACTTTAAATCACTTTTGCACGCTTTCAGATGGTACCGTACTTAATCTGCATGAGTACGGATTGTGAACTCACTTTCTCGCAAAGTGCTGACAAACAATTGCAAGACTTAGAACGCAGATATCCAGGCTTGGTGCACAGTAAGTCATCGATTGGCATCAACCTGTCGTACGAGCTGCAGAAGACGTTGCAAAAGTCGTCCACGTTAGTGCGCGGATTTCGGGAGGTGAAAGACGAGCATCCAGTTGCGTTAAACGGATTTTTGTACTCGATCATTAGACATTCTCGCCAACAGCGACGTGCCCTAGTTAAGAATATGCTAAAGCAGTTTGACGAAGAATTGGTAAGTTAGTCTGTCGTTGGATATTTAGCTAACGAGTTTCTTTTAGCACGTCCCTCTTTCGTTTCTACTGTTCTTGGCCGACAATCTCGCATACTTCTCCTATGTGGTTGAAGATGAGATTTTATTTCTGGTACATCATATTGATGTTGTGGTCTCGTTAGCGGGAGGAAATATTTTGCAGTCGTTTAAAAAGGTTAATATTTAACAGTAGGCAATGGTCTCACCCTTCGCATTTTTAGGGGTTGACAGGAGGACACGAATTTAATAATAATTCCGTCTGCAGCATTGAAGATGATGATGACAATGAGGCGAAAGTGCTAGCAGAGCATATGCCTGAAAACACGTCACATCTAGAGGATTGTTTGTCGGCTGCGCAAGGCTGCTTGTTGTTGTTGTCATTAAAACAGCACCTTAAAGACTTATATGGGATTACAGATGGCACAATTCACGAGTATTCTCAGCACCTTAAAGACTTATATGGGATTACAGATGGCACAATTCACGAGTAAAGTATATGAAAAGGCGGTCAGTCGACGGAAGAAGACAAATTTTTATCCTGAAGGGGCTCTAATGGAGATCTCATCACCTGGAAGCAGAGGAGGTCCGCAAGATCTTATCAGTCGTTACTTAGAGGTTAGTTGGCTCTGGTCAAAATGTAGTTGCTAACGGGTATATTTCAGTTTAAACAGCTGTTGCTGAAAATCGACAAGGACGATAAAGAAAACATGAACACATCACAGGCCAGTGACCAGATCATTGTATCACCAAAATTGAATTCTAAGCGTCCCTCTACCGTCAAGGTAGGTAACTAGCGGATGTACTTTAAACAAAAAAAAAATGAATATACTTTTACAGAAAAACTCAAAGGGCACAGTTGCAACATATCGTGCTTTAAATCGCACACAAGGCACCATTAAAATTCTGAGGAAACAATCGCAAACTTCCGAACAAAAAACACAGAAAATATGAGAATTCATCAAGTGACTCCATTGACGAAAAATATAGCGATTCTGACTAAGAAACTAAGAAATTACATACGTATTTTCGCCTCCTTAAATATTAGCATGTTATTAAGGAGTGAAGTTCAAGATTCTTGCTTAATACACTTTGTTGTTATACCGTTTTTTTAAAATTTCTGTCTTGATCAAGTGTCTTTTCTGTATTTGCCATAGGCAAATCCTAATATTGGTCAAAAAATCTTATGTTATTTTTAGATATTTGGAAAAATCGCCATTTTTAAAAAGTTCAAATATTTTAGTAACAAAACGAGCTATCGAAAAAACTTTTAAATAAAAGTTGCAAGATTCAATGAGATAAATTGAATGTTCAAAATTGCGGTTTTCGAGATATTGACATCAACTTCCTTATTTTAAATGGGCGCCATATTGGATTTTGACCCAGTTTGATACAGTTTTTTTCTCTTTCCAACATTCAAATAATAAATCGATACAACGAAATATCGAAAGATCCTCAGTATTACAATCACTTTTAACGATAATTTATTACAAAATACATCAAATTCATGTTTTGGTCATTGAGATAATGCCCCTAGTCTTTTTCTCAACGATCTTGGTGCATAAATAACGATTTTGATCAAAATCCATATGGCTTTAGAAAAATAATTTAACATCTTGGAATCACACACATGCGGTTATCAAATGTGCACGTGATGTACTCTTTCAGCATCAAGATAATGCGCTAGAAACCTTTTAAAACTCTAAATTCATGTATAAGTATAAGTATAATTTTGGCTACATTTTGCTCTAAAACTTTCGACCTATACCACAGAGAAGAGTTATATTGAATTGTTACACATCTAAGAGTCATAGGGAATAATCTAGCGAAAGTCCGAACTCGATACATGACCTAGGGAATGAAATATGTTGATTTCTTTTATATTGAGCCCCCAGTTTTTCCTGTTCCCGCTTCACTCGAAGTCCTATAACTTTTGTTCCTCTTGAACCAGCTTCCTGAAAATCAATAGCGTCGGTCCTTAATGTCCAAAGTACCCGTACACCAAATTTCAACACAATCGGCCACTTTTAAAAAGAGTTAGAGCGCACACGGACGGACGGACGACAATACAAAACTATAAAGGACCTTAATAAATAGTTGGCCATGGAAACAAAACTAGCATAGAGGCGTATAATTGTCATTTTACAATGTAGAATTTGTTTAACAGAAATGCACTACGCAAGGTAACTGCTGCAGTATAGCTAAACGGTGCTGAATGTGCTTAGTTAATAATGGAATGCATTTTGAACATTTGCTGTAATTTTAAATTCCATTATATTTTTTTTGTGAATTAATTCTTTAATAAAGCCGGCCAGACAATAGTAACATTGCAAAATGTCAATTGTTTGCTGTTTCCATGGCCAACTATAAAGAAAAAATAAAAATTGTAATTTACCCATGTTTATTGTTTGAATGATAACTTGTTATGCATGGTTGAAGGGAAAAAAACAATTAAACTGAATAAAAATCCAATATGGCGTTTATTTAAAATAAGGAAGTTGATGTCAATATCTCGAAAACCGACATTTTGAGAAATTTTGTCTACGTCCATCGGAATATGCATCACCATCAAAAACTTCACACCTTTGCCAATTTAACCGAATCTGTAAGTGTAATAATACCCAAGCGTTGTTATTCTACTCAATTTAATACATCCTGTTTTCAACCATATGCATATTTTCAAATATCTTTAAAAAAAAGGCATTGTATGTAAAAACAAAAGTTTCAATATGCGATCTGATAGATCGTAACCCCACATACACAATTATATTTAACAAATTTTTTGGCAAATAAATGAGATATTGGGACGACCCTCTTATCACGAACGCACTGTATATTATGGTAGCACCAGAAGCAGACAACTGTTCGAATTCGACACACGATTATTCAAAAGTGCTGGAAACAAACAATAATTAATTGATTAAAGATAATAGTTACTAAGCCTACTTGATTAAACAGTCAAATATGAAAAATTATCCCAGAGTTAAAACGTCCATATCTTCAATCTCACTAGAAAGTGGGATAAACGGGCGGGAATCGATCACCTTTTCCTGGAGATATTCTAAGGGCTGAACGTTTCGAGAGAGAATGTGGCACCTTGGGGTATTGAATACCCTCCAGCACAGACAAAATCAGTTATTACCATAAACAGTTGCCTTAAATCAAATGAACCCTTTCCTGGAGGGATCAGTTATGTTTGCCTTTAACAGAAGCATCTGTACAATTTCAAAAAGATATCTCGATAAATAACAGTTGATGTTGCGCATTAATCCGATGTTTACAATACGTTTTTACACTAAAAGCATGTTTGGGTAAAATTTTAAAGAAATACCTCCATACATAAGAAACAACTGATTTTTACTATATGCGATATATTTGCCTTCACCAGAAGTATCTGTGGGTAAAATTACAACAAAATATATTAATAAATAAGGAAGTTGATATTGCGCAGACTGCGCATGCGCAGTTTAATTGTCAAGATTTTCATTGGCTCAGGTGCTATACGCTACCGAACGGAAAAAGAATGAACTTAATATCTTGAAAACTGGAGTAGTTAAGGCCTCGGACAGACGGATGGGCAGAGAAAGTGGCTGCAATAGCGCACCCAACTTCTTTGGAAAGTCTGTTCTTTAATCCATGTTTCTTAAAAAATAGAAACCCAAACAATACATCAGTCGCACAAAATCGTCGTGTTATTTATTTTACGTAAAATATGTAATTTCATTGTGTACCTACACTGCCGAATAAATCTATTATTATTATTATTATTATTAAAAACCTGTAAAGAAACCACACCAAACCATTTCAACCTAGTCATTAGCCAGATGGATTGATTAAGGAATTGTAACAAGAAGTGGGCGTGGACACCTTGGTACGCAACACGCTTCCACCCACTCCCAAAGCACTTAAGTGAAGTAAATACTGACCTACGAAAGATGGCAGCACTGTGGACATGGATCTTGAGCCTCGCGCTGTTGTTTCATGATCTTTGTTAACAATGAACTGTAACCAAAGATTTGCAAACGCCATATCTCTGGGGCGTCGCCAAGTGGACGCCATAATGGGGCAAACATGATGATATAAAATAGGAATTTGAAGCCAAAGCCTCAGCTGGGGCCTATGATACATGCCAAAACCCTCTCGGTTCCAGGTCTATCACTACAAAGTAATAAACACAGGATGGCACCGTTTGGTTGTACTAAATTCGAAATTTGTAATAAATTCTTTTGCACTTATATACAATATAAACGAGAAATAGATTACATTTAAATTCTATTGCGGCTTATTCGGCCATATTGGTAGATAATTAGTCCACCCTCGATTACCAAAATCACTTCTGGCGACTAAATTCAATTTGTGTATTTCCTCAGGGCTGAATTTCAATATGGTATTAAGAACTGGCACCAAACGCGACCGTTCGTCTCCACTACTTAACGTCGCAAACTGTAACAAAACACAGTAAAATCTGGCAACACTGCAACGAACTTTACCTTAAAAACTACGTTCTTGAGGTACTCCAAGTTATCGGCGTGCTTCTCGCGTTCAACAGAGCGCTGCTGTCTGCGTATTTCGTCTTTAAGCAGCTTATTCATTTGTACGTGTTTCGCCAAGTCCTGCTCGGTGTCTGCCAGAAGTGCGGTTAGATGAACGATTTTAGCATCGTTATCGACGGCTTGTTTCTTCAAAAAGTCGACCTCGTGGTCGGATTCGCTGCTCAACAGTCGATTTAAGGGAATCGGGTGCGCGAAGCTCGGCTCCACGTTCTCCGACCCCTCCCCCTGTTCGCGAGGTATCATGGGGAGCGTAACTGGGGACACGTCCGGCAGTGTGCTACCTTTATCCAGTTTACTTTGCAGCTCGATTACTTCGCGATTGTGGCGAACCTCCTGCTCGGACAGCTGCTGACGGTAACATTGGGCTAGGGTTTCGGCATGAATTTTCAGACCTCGAATTGCTTCAGCGTGTTCCGCGATCGCGCGCTGGTGATCCGCCGTTAATGCTTCAAACTGGTTCTCCCGTTCTTTCAAGGCTTCTTCCAATGCCTTTTGTTGATTTGTCAAACTTTCGTTTTCAGCATTTACTTTTTCTCTTTCCTCGCTTACACTCTGATACTGATTTCTAGAACAGAAAATCGGTAGTTAAAAAAAAGTGCAGAATTTTTGACAGAACAGCTTCCTAGCTCAAAACAGATATTTAAAAAAAACGCGCTTAGCTTCCTCATTCAGAGCCTCTGGCATTCTGAGATCTCCATTACATATCTCGTAAGCATTTGTATACGCTCGCAAAACATTCCGAATGGCGAATTTCCATACAGTCCAGTTATCAGTTCCTCTCAATTTTTCTATACTTCCTCCTTGATGATATAATATAAACTAACAATTTAGGAGGGAATGTTGAAATAAATATAGTTACAATAAATTAAATAGGTAACTATATTTATTTCAACATTCCCTCCTAAATTGTTAGTCACGTTTGTTTCTTTCGTATTACTTAATTGTAATAAATTATTCTCTGGTACTTTCACCTTCATTATCATTGTGAATAACTGGCCAACTCGTCTACCCTTAGCTTTTGTTTTTCCATCACTGACGAAAAAGCACTCCTTTTGATTTGATTTGAACTCAATCAAATCAAAAGGAGTGCTTTTTCGTCAGTGATGGAAAAACAAAAGCTAAGGGTAGACAGGAAATCGCTAGTGCGCGTTATTTAATTTTTGAAAAATATACAGGGCGTTCCATTAAAAATTAACCAAATCTGCATTTTGTACTAAGTTTGCGATATTCATTTGTTTTTTTACTTTACATTTTCTGGCGATTTATGACAAACTCCACAACTTTCGCATTTAAAGCTTTTTTCTAGCTTTTATAATAATTTCTAAAAGACTGAATAACCCTGTACCAGGTGACCCAATAAGACTGATCCACGGCCATATCTCGGGAACCGTTCGTTGAATGACTTAGAGGTAAAAAAGATTATTGGGTAAATCGATCATGAAGAATAGCTGTAAAATATTTTCAAGTTCTAAAAATGATCACCAGAGGGCGTAACTGCCATCTTAAATTTTAAAATTGCAGTTTCTTTAAATTTCGCATAATAAACTAAACATTCTTTTTTCACATTTTTAAAGAGAATCAGTTTATCTATCATTTTTGTAAAAACAAAAACTCAGTTATTTCAAAAACAAAGATGGCGTGGGGCGTTCAATTGTTTCTGCAATAACCTGCTTTAACTTCTTAACCCTTTGACCGATTGTAACAAATTTGGTATCGTTGAAAAGAGCATTCCTTGGGCAACAAGAATTTATAGTAATTAATTTAGTTGAATCCTTCTCCGCCAGGGGGCTAGTTTTGACACAAAATCCTAAAAAAATCAAATGGAATGATATGACTTTTTCTTTATGAAAAAGTAGCCAAATAACATCCAAAGAGGCCAGTGAAAACCGTTTTTCAAAATCTCGTTTCTAACCTCAAATATTGGGAAAATGAGATTAATTAATTAATTAATTAATAAAAATGCTCAAATTGTATCTTATTTGACGTATTTCCGGTATTTGTCGATGGCGCGAATGGAAAAGCACCCTACACTTTTAGGTAGGCCTTGGAAAATTAAACAAATGAAACACAATATACATTATAAAATAATTGGAGCCGTAATTTGTAAATTATTCTGCTTCATTTTACATTCAGTGCAGTTTTTTGAATGTGTAATCTTTTTTAAAATGCCCATTTCTAACCGAGAAGCATTTAATATGCTGGCGGCGATGGTTTGTGCTCGATTCGTATAACGCAAACAGAAGATGCAGGAAGCGATGGTCACATTTTGAAAATACTCAAAATATATAGCCGGCATATTAAATGCTTCTTGGTTAGAAAACGGCATTTTAAAAAAGATTACACATTCAAAAAACTGCACTTTCTGAATTTAAACACAGCAGAATAATTTACAAATTACAGGTCTTATTATTTTATAATGCAATTTGTTTCATTTGTTTAATTTTCCAAGGCCTACCTAAAAGTGTAGGGTGCTTTTCTTTCGCGCCATCGACAAGTACCGGAAGTATGTAAAAAGTAAATTTAAGATACAAGTTAAGTATTTTTATTTATTTATTAATTAATCTCATTTTCCCAATATTGGAGGTTAGGAACGGTTATCATTCCATTTGATTTTTTTAATTTTTTTTAGGATTTTGGGTCATAGTGTTAAACCTAGCCCCCTGGCGGAGAAGGATTCAACTAAATTAATTACTATAAATTCTTGTTGCCCAAGGAATGCTCTTTTCAACGATACCAAATTTGTTACAATCGGTCAAACGGTTAAGAAGTTAAAGCGGGTTATTGCAAAAACAATTGAACGCGTCACACCATCTTTGTTTTTGAAATAACAGTTTTTTTACAAAATGATGATAAACTGGTTCTCTTTAAAAATGTAAAAAAAAATTTCTAGTTTATTATGCGAAATTTAAAGAAAATGCAATTTTAAAATTTAAGATAGCAGTTACGCCTTCTGTTGGTCATTTTTAGAACTTGAAAATATTTTCCAGAGATTCTTCATGACCAATTTACCCAATAATTGTTTGTACCCCTAAGTCATATGACGAACGGTTCTCGAGATATGGCCGAGGAACAGTCTTATTGGATCATCTGGTACATACGTACAGAGAGAAAAAGTTTTTGATGAAATTTTGACATGTCCAAAAAACGGCGATCGCAATAGCTCAATCAAAAAAACTAAAAATCAAAACACCTTCATACCTCAAGTCTGTCAACTCCGACGTCAAAGTGCCTATTTGGCTTTTAAAACCGACAACCTCCTCGGTCAGTTTCTCCTCCAAGCCGATGTCGCGCGTTTGGTTTTGCCGCAGCACACTTTGCGCCCTCACCTTGTAGCCCTGATACTCCCTGCTCATCTCCGACAATTCGTTCTCGCGCAACCTCAACGTCTCCGAGAGATCCCGCCACTTCTCCTCCAACCCCAAGTTTTGACCGCGCAAATAATCTCGCTCCGCCTTCAGACTGTCGTGAGCCTTTTGATCTTCGGCCATTATCTTCGAAAGTTGAGATGCCAAGTTCTCGTTCTCCAATCGGGTGGCTTCGAGCGCCTCCACTAGGCCTTGTATCTTATTCTCTTTTTGCGTGATCGTGCCTTCCAGATCGCCGATGCTCTTCTTGTAGGCTTGGACTTCGCGTTGGGCGACGTTCAGATCTTGTTCGCCCATCTGGAGCCGCTCTTCTAAATTTTTATATTCTTCTTTTAGTGTATTGACCGTGCCTTTCTGGGAATCAACCTGGCTCTTATACTTGTTAACAAGCTCCTTATTCTTCTCCAACTTCTGGTTCAAATCTTTTAAGCTGCGCTCGTAGTCTTGCATTTCTAAGTTAAGTACAGTTTGTTTTTTGCATTCGTTATTTGATTCGTGTAGAGAATGTCGTGTAGTGTGGTGTTTTTCTATTTCTGCTTTGAGCAATTTATCCTTCTCTTCTAGTTGTTGGTTTAGCTTAAGGATTTGATTCTCAAAGTCTTTCTTCAACAAATTATTTGCGTCAAGTTCCTTTCTCAAACTTTGCACCTTTGTGCCTATCTAAGAAGAACAAAAATCAAAATAAAACATTTTTTAAGTGCACAAAAACTGTACCTGTTTCTTCCACGTGTCCGTGTTAGCCTTTTCCTTGGTTAAAGTCTCGATATCTAGACGCAATTTGTTAATAATCTCCTCGTTCTCGGCCAGCTGCTTTTTACTGTTACTGATATCGAGGGCGGCCGAATCTAATTTCTTCAACAAGTCCTTCACCTTGTTCTTATTCTCGTCCACCTCATCCTGAAGTTTATCGCACTGAGAGTGAATCGTATGTGAGGTCTTGACGCTCTCCGTGAGTTTCTGTTGCACCTCCAGCTTCTCATTTTGCTCCTTATTTAATTCGAATGTTAAATCGCGAATCTTCCCTTTCAATTTTACGGCTAGCGTTCTCAACTTACCATACCGCTCCTCCCAGGACCCGTCCAGGTCTTTTAAGCGATTCGATTCTTCGCTCTTCGATATAGTGGAGGTGGACATCGTTTCGCTCTCCGCGTAATTGACGTCTTGAGAGGAGTTTAAGGCGGCATTTAGGTTTTCTTGCAGGTGCGCTACTTCCTTCTGAAGTTCCCCAATTTCTTGATCTTTCTGAAAGGAAAAAATATAATTAAACACATTTTCCTAGATTCTTTAGAGCGAGTTTTGATCTTCTTGTAGCAACTGTTACATCAAAAAAAGTGCGTAGTGAATTAAAATGAGGCTCAGTTCTCTTTCTTCTTGACATAGTAGGCGAGGCTATGTACAATTAAATAAGACTACATAATCTCAAAAAAATACAGAAACAAAAACCGCCCCCCCCCCCCCTTTTCACAGGGCACCTGCTTTGCACCCCCACGGTACGCAGAGATTGATGCAAGTTTTAAAAAACGCTAGTGAGGATTATCAGTTCAAGATAAAAAATCCAAGACAATGCAAGTCTTAAAAAAATCCATAAATCCGCAAAATCCTCGGCAAAATCAATGAATAATTTTTGGAAATTATACTAAATAGTCATATAAGAAATGAAGCATGTCATAAATGTCTATAAAAAATTAATTTATCATTTGTCGTTCGTGGCTCATCATTGGGATCTCCATAAAGGTGAGATAATTTTTGAAAAATATTTAAAAATAACTGAGATATCACCAAAGAACTGAAAATGTCAAATTTCGTTTTCATTTTCCTTAGCTTAAACGGTCGGAAATGGACAGTTTCCGTTAACACCTACCATGGACACTTGTTTTTGGTGAATATGAATCTGGTATCACAATTTTCATAACACGCTAGATGTAGAAGGTACAGGGTGCCACTTTTTCATTTGTTATGGACGCCATATTGGATTTTTATAGACTGAGATAAGTAGAGAACAAAAGGACGTCTCACATCCCTCGTAAATTTACAAGAAAAATTTCAAAATCAAATGTTTTACATTCATTTCTCAACAAGAGCCTTCCACGGGCAACTAGATCTACTGAATGAACATGACTATCATGGTGATGCATTCAAATCAATTTCTTTTTTTATCCTCTATCTTATTCCGTAAAAATCCAATATGGCCTCTATAAGAAATAAGAAAGTAGTAGCCTGTAAAATTCTAATGACAGTTTCAGATTCTCCGAAAAAAGTCTTATTCTATGTTTTAATTCTACAAGTGTAGTAATGTTCGTAACCTAAACTTTGTTTTTGATGGCACCCCACAGAACGAAATCTAAGGGCATCCATGCATTTGGAAATTCTTGATTTAAATCTATTGAATTGTGCGCAGGTGCACCATCTTGTTGAAATATTCCGCGCCGATCTGCCCTCATAAAAATATGGCTCCAAATTATATTATTAACAATTCCCCACCACACATTAGTCAGGGAACCAGTTCTACATAGCTTTTTTGTAATTTGAAAAAGTATTAATAAAACGTTGATTGTTGCTGTAATCTTATAATTATTAAATCTTCTATAGGTTATCGATTTCGGCACTTAGGCCATCGTCAGACCTTGCGTCAATAAATACATATAACACTGATATGATACATTTTATTCATGCATCCTTATAATTTCAAAAATGGAGCAATTCATCGATAATTGAAAAAGTATGTTTGATTTGGATGAAAGCGATCAGGATATTGTTGCCGGTATAATCGTAGGGCTTGTCTTGAATTATTGTTTGATAAATGGAATCATTTCAACATATCTACCTTCTCGTTAATTGAATATTCTTCCATTTTTACAACAAATAATCTATGTTATCAATTTAATAAACTTTTTCACAAAGTTATATCAATAAACTAAGACAAATGTCAAATTTTGTTTCCATAGCCAGCTTTAATTTCTAGTAAAATTATTTTAATATTTTCTTTAATACCTGGAATTCTATTAAGCTTAGAACTTATGAAACTTTTTGAAAGCAGAAATTATTTCCTACCAAATAGTATAAAAATATACAGGGCGTGCCATTTAAAAAAAAAGCAAAAATAGGTATATGTATCTCCGAAAATTAAAATCTTTTTTTTTCTGATTTACATTAATTTATGTAGCTTACTAGACACAATAAATGTTATATGAACGATTTTTTGTATCCCTAATAACTTTCGAGAAAAATCGCGTTCCCTTGTTCCGTTTACACTCTGTATAGTTAAAATTTCAAAAAATGCTTCACAAGAAAATTGACTTTTAAACAGTCTGCGCATGCGCTTATTTAATTGTTACTATATGCCTTTCTTAGTAGCATCCAAGGTAGCATCTCTACTTAAAATTTCAAAAAAATATCTCTGTATACGGAATTGCATAGTTTGGGCATATGGAATTACAAATAGAGTTACTAGAATACTTTTATGACTTTCCATTAGCCTTACTAAATAGGATGTGGTTTCAATAAGATGCAGTCCCTCCAGATTATAGCAGAATAGTCACAAACTATTTATTTCCTAATGGTTGGACTCATTTGACTCCTTTTGAGTTGATAAATTCAAACATTTAAAAAAAAGGCTGTTAGAGTTACGAAAACATGATAAAAATATTTAAATCAGGTATCAAAAAATACAAAAATTTCTAGGGTGTTCCATTTTAAAAATCCAAGTCATACACACAAATTTTATTGAACACCCTGTATGCGTAAAACTATTTTACGTTATCAAGCTTTTTGTATTACAAAACTGTTGTTTAATTCATTTTTCTCTAACCTCGACCATTTAGGAGGAGGAACAAGAACAACGGTACATGATCACATTGTTAGTGCTTTATAACTTGCATCAGCACAATCGGCAGTTTTCGAGGAAACGGACCCCCCTCCCCCCCTATGTAGTGACGACTCCCTACTCTCGTTGAAAGCACTAACTAATTTATGTGTTCTACGCCAACTTGAATGCCAAGAAAAGGAATTGGAATCATAAAAAATTAAAACTGTGCCAGCTGCCATACTAAATCTATCTCGGAAAAAGGGTCAAACAAGAGATCGTAAATTAGGAAAAGTGGATGCTGATTTGCTAAAGCACATGCATGTTATGGCTGGCTGGCTGCCCGACTGAGATCTCTGCAATTACAATAGCTAGACTTTTCACTAAAACTTTCTGCCATAGTGTAGATGTGCGGTCTCTAGTCTATTTTGAGTTGGTTTAGCAAAGTGGATGTAAACAGCGCGTTAAGTGTCAAATCTCTTTCTAAAATTTTTCCAGAACTTTATGGGAGGCCTCCAGAACTCTAATTACAATTGCAAAATTTTATAAATTGGGGCCGACTTCACATGCGCAATTTTTTTTCTGATTCATTCTACCTAAGTTTCATAAATTCACACTCTACATCGCTAAGTGGTGTGAGACAGAAATTAAACACATTTATAGGTACCTATCTACTCAGGGGTTTAGGCACTTATGCAATAGCCTATTGTGCCTTATGAATAATCCAGCAACACCCACCAACAGACCTTATTTACAACGATTTTATACAAGACAGTTGTTACAATAGACCATGTATCATCGAAAATTCATTGTATTGTAGACAACACACAATACACATATGACACACAATAACCACATACATGCATGTAGCAGAAACTCGATGCAAGATGGCCGCCGCTGTCAACAACCAATCAAAAATTAGACACAACATGTTAGGTTATGATATTGCGCCAAATTTGTGGTGCCAATTATTACCAACTGTTGACTGGAAGTCCCCATTCATCGTGCAGCTAAGTCAACGTCTCAACATACTCAACAGTTGTGTCTGCTGAACTCATTGTAACCTTATTTAGACTCACTAGACATAACCATATTGGAAAAGCAGAACCATCTGTGTGCAATTTACAGAAGTAATCCATATTTCTCTTATAACAATAATTAATTTAAATGTATCAAGTATCATAGATTTATTTATCCCTGAAAATAGTCAGTTTGGAAAGTTCCCCATCCCTACATACCTACGCCTTTACTTCAAAACACCTATCTGCAACAACTTTTAGATTCAATTCAAGAAGTAGTCGGCTAAACAAAAAAATTAACAGAGTACGACACACAAAAATTACACAAGCTCACCTTGTCTAATACCTCTCGCATATCGATCTTCTCGTTGATCTGCACCTCGGTGTCCTGCTTTAACAAACGTAACTCGCCCTCCACACTACTAATGATGTCATCTTTCGACTGAATCGTCTGCAAATGTTCCTTGATTACGGTCTCCTTGTGCTTGATGTTGGCAAGTAAATCTTCGCAGTACTCCTGCTGCTTGGAAATTGCCTCACCGCGTGTTTTCAACGCTTGATTCATCTCGTTCATCTCGCCGAGCAGTTCCAAATTTTCCTTCTTCACGTTGGCGAGTTGCGCTTCGTTCTCGTCGCGCAAATGACGAATTTGTTCGTTTAGGAGATCTTTCGAGGCTTTCGTCTCGTCCAATTCGCTTTTTAATTCGCTTAATTCCGTCGATTTTTCCGTTGTTAGGCGGTCCAGGTTCATTTTCAGCTCACTGTTTTCTACCTCCATGGTTTGAAATGCAGTCAGCATCTTTTGGGCATATTGTTTCAACTGGGCCTCCCACAGTTTCGCCTGCTCGATGTAATTCTTAAAGTTTTCCAAAATGTTCGTTTTCTCCTGTTTGAGCAGCTTAACATCGGTAGCGAACTTGACCAGTTTCGAATGAAACTGTTTGAGCTTCTCTTTTAATTTCTCATTGGTGTTTTGAAGGTCGGACGCGTAACCGCTCAACTCAATTTGGTTATGTGACAGCTTTGACGACATCGATTTGAGATCTTGTTGCAGTTTTTCTACCAGAGCTTTATTTTTGTGCAGTTCTACATTTAAATCGTCCGTTTCGCTTAGGTAGACTTCACGTTGTTGTGAAGATTGCTTGACTGTAGCCCGTAACTCGCATATTATCATTTCAGCATTCTGATAATTCTTCTCGAGTGTTTCTATGTTACCTTTTAACTCTCGGTACTGGGCAGTCAGTTCATCATTATTCTTCTGCAGTTCACTTATCACCATTTGCTTCGCACGCAGCTCATTGGACAGGTCACTTTTTTCTCGATCCAAAGACCCAACTTGCGCTTCCATATTTTTTGCTTTATCTCCTAATTTGTTTTCTAAAGAATCTAAGTGTAACAGTAACTGCTCATTTTCCTCACTTAATCTTTGTATTCGCCTTTCAGATGACTTATTTTCAATGTCTAACTCGTTGATTTTGTTACGTGCCTCGTGTAATTCAGTTTCAGTTTTCTTTAAGCTATTTAAAATGGCATCTTTCTGCGATTTTGCTTCGTCCAAATCACTAACTAGCCCCAATTTTTGTTGAGTTAAACTTTCGACCAATTCGTTCGTGACTGGCACGTTGCCTTCCAGTTTCTCTTTAAGGGCACTATTCTCTTTAGTCAGCAATTCCTTATTTTGCATCGCCTTCTTCAGAAGCACTATCAAGTCGTGATACTTCTTTATTATCTCTTCTTTAGACAAATCTTCGAGGGGAATTTTCTTGTTTTGTTCTGTCGGAGTATCCATATTAAATTTAATACTGTTTGCAATTTAATAACACAACGGAATCTTCTATCACAATTTATCACAAAATTGTTTATCCTAAAAAAGTAATGTTAATAATATAAATTAATTATTTTTATAATTCGATTCCACGTATTTTCATTAGTGACAAAATAATCAAACTGATATGAACGTGGTGATCTTTTAGGCTTTTCGGTTGGCAACGGAAAAGTTACAGCCTTGTATATACAGGATATGTCAAAAGCACCGAACTAATTCTACGAACATGGACTACCCCTACACCCATTATTCTATATTCTATTATTATATTATATTTATATATTCTAGGAATTCCTCGAGAAATTCATAGCCATGTACTTGAAATGTAGATAACAAAATTCATCTTGATAACATGGCATTAACATATACCTATTACACCTACTTACAATAGGTAAGCAGGTAAACTAAATTTTCGTCAGAGCCCAATAAGGCCCTCTTGATGTCGGACAATCCTTGGTCAGTGATGGTTGGAGGTAGCGAGTCCTCCGTTACAGCTTGAGCGGTTTTTGTATTAAGTCCAATTCGACGCTCCCACGAGTATTAGGCTTTTCAACGGGGTCTGGCGGTTTCCCCTTACCATCAGAAGGCTACTTGAAACTGAGAGGGGCCCAGTAACCAGAGTGTGCTGTCCAATGACCCAGTTCTTGTTAATTTTGGTGCGTAGAATCCAAAACAATTCGTACTTTTTCGATCAGACTTCTCAATCAAAAGTTATAGACTAGAAACCAATTTCGAAACCCAGGCAGTCCTCTCGGCGTCAGCTCATCTACTCTGACTTGGATTTGGTTCGCCATACTGTCATTCGGAAATCTCATCAGAGTTCCGTTGGGAGCGTTGAGATCGTTACCAGGGGGCACACTAGGAGGTAGACAAACGGCTAGTCCGGTGTCGCTAAAAACTGAGGAAAGTTTTTGTGGTCGAGACCAACGATACCTAGCTTTTTGCTCTAAGTTACTGGAAGCACCATGACTGCTTCTTCCAGAACTTACGTCGCTTTCCCCTGACCTTAACCACCCAAATTACTCGCATTACAAAAGGAAAATTCAACTTTTTAAGGGAGCACGTTTTAAGGGAGAGCCTCAAGAACGTAACACTGGGGGTCACAGCGCACAAACATCTTATGATTATTATTAAGTAATAAATCCACGATCTTCCCATTGGGGAGATCGTAGATTTATTTATTAATAATTATATAAGAAATAAATCTACGATCTCCCCAATGGGAAGATCGTGGATTTATTTATTAATAATGTTATCCCAAACGAGAGACGAATCTTCTCATTGTATCTATCGTATGGTAATTGTAGGAAAGGAACGCTTAATATTTCATTTCCTGGTTTTAGCATTTTTTTCGGGAAGATTAGAGGGCCACTATCACGGGAGTCCTTAGGTCTGAACATTTTTAGAGAGAATGTAACACCAGGGGGTCTGAGCCATCCCCTCTAACGTACGAAAATGTTACGATAGGTGTAGGAAAATGAACACCGAATTTTCATTTCCTGGGGAGGTATTCCAGACACCCCCCGTTCTGCATTTTCCCCCAAAATATTTAATAGTTTTAGCACTTACACCATAACGTATGAGAAAGGACCACGAACCGCATAACACCGCAAGTCTGTGGGGACTTGATGGTCTTTGATAAAAAATTGTCATATGGGTGCCCTTAGGGCTGAATGCTTTTAAACAAGAACGCAGTACCGGGAGTCACAAAAGTGCACAAAAATCTTAACGATTGATGTACAAAAGAAACATTGAATTTGTGTCAAGGAAGGGGGGCGGAAGGGGGTTTTTCCTTACGCTCGGACCTCACGGGAATATGGGAAAGTTCCACATTTCACGATTTAGGGCAACTTTCGTTTGTTTGGGTCGTATTTTGGTTCCATGAAATTGCTTTGTTTACGTTTTGGATTAAATGACACGGACATTCGCCCAAGTATGATGGATGTATGTATACCAATAAAGGGGAAACAGAGAAGTTATTTTCGCCATTTCTGTGTGAAAACGTTTTGCGTAGCAACAGTTTTTAGATCTTGGGAAGTAAATTTGCCTTCGCTTTAGAATTCCGGGAATAACTTGTAAACAGAAAAAGCCGGATGCATTTGATTGGACCATTTTTTGAAACGGGCGAATCGTAGCGAGTCCTGCAGCTGTGACGTCACGATCACTATCTTCGTCACGTGACCAACTAGTCGTTGCTGCCGTTCCAAGCGTGTTGTATTTTTTCGGTTTGCTGCTCATTTACGAAGTGCGATATTAAAATAAACTTAAAAAAGTCAAATAAAAGACGAGAACAATTCTGGCACATAGTTCGTTTCGGTTCATCATACGTAAATCGGTGTTTAAACGTAATATTAAACTACAAAAAGTTATGGCGTCCCTTCTCCTTTTCGTACGAATTTAAATCGGCGTTTGCGTGTAGCATCTCGGGACGCGTCCACGTACATTTTGATTTTGTTGTTAAATTCAACGCTTAAATTAACAAAAACCGGCGGGGAAGTGTTCACAAATCGGTCTTTTCGATGTTGTGTTAAATGTTATCGCAAGAACAAGAAAATGGCGTCCTATTTTAAATTCGTTTGTTTGCGTTTAAAACAACGTTTTGTGCACCTTGTTTGAATCAAGACGCCTAAGATTTCATTGATATGTTGATGTGGGGTAAGTTTGTAGACCTTTAAAAGTTTCGTGGTGACGGTTACGATAATATGTTCACCAGACGAAGTGCTTCATTAGCGCTACCTAAAGACGGGTGTCTGATAGCACTGCCGAGGTGTACACATCACCGTGAGTCGACGTACGACAGTGCTATCACACAGCAACTCGCGAGAAAAACCTTGCTAGAGTATTCCTGTCTTTGGGTAGCGCTTATGAAGCGCTTCGTCTGGTTAACGTAAGCACTGCTAGCGCTAGCCTTAACATATGACGTACCTTAGTATCGACGGTTTATAATAAAACAACTTGCTGTGGTATATTTAGTTTCCGATTTATTTATCAGGCACGATAGGGCTCTGTCATTTTGCTACCCTTCATATTAATCCGTGGAAGTAGGTTAAAGTCAGCTGCGTTCAATTCGATGTTTAATACAGAGAAATGATCACTGACTTGCAGAACATTCATACTACAATTGTGACAATTTAATTGAAATACTGGTCTTCCGGGAAGAGTGTCAATTCTGCGTTACTTCGTTAAACTTCATTCTGTACGCTAGACCTACGTTTCTTTAGCTGTACAAACAGTTCCACTACGTCAGTTTGACGAAACCTTTACCTGTGGCAGGACTATACCTACACAATTCCAATTTCAAATCGTAAATTTCAAATTAAAACGAATCTTACCAACTTTACCACTTCCATTTGGCTTGCTGCCAAGTAATAGGAACCGATCTCCACTGTAAATACCCTCGTTGACATCTCTTCTCCGACACCTGCCATTTTTACTCTCGTAGTAAACATTTTACAAAATGCGACAGGGGGGCCCTTATCTTATCTCTCTCTCTACCGTAGGTCAATATTGGTCTGTAAGTAGATTTCATTACCTATTTCTAATTAACTGTTACAGTACTTACCGAGATAGTTTCTTTCTATCGCCTTTGGCATATTCTAGTCTAGGAATTCCTCAAGGAATTCAAAGTCTACTTGAAATGTAGATAACAACAAAATTAATCTTGATAAGATGGCAGTAATATATACCTACTACACCTACTTACAATAGGTAAGCAGGTAAGCTAAATTATCTTCAATTATAACGTTTGCAGGTTAGGTGTATTATTTACTACTCCTACAAATTCAAATTTTAGCGCGCTTGCGGTTGCGCAGTCTTGAAGGAGTCAATGTGCAACACATCTGCAAGTGTGACTTTTAGGCTTTTCAGTTGGTAACGGAAAAGTTACAGCCTTGTATATACAGGATATGTCAAAAGCACCCAACTAATTCTATGAACATGGACCCCTTAAGGTAAGTTCATAGCTCTCCGTTCATACGTTTCCGTTTGTCCGTTAGCCAATCAGAAGACAGCAAATTTTTAAATCGTACGGCGTCCGTTTACGACGGAAAAGTTGGTTGAACATTTACGTTTCCGTTGGTCCCTTTTTAACAAGAGTGAGGTTATGTTACGTTAACAGCGTTCGCCTATTCGTTCTTCACGGTAATAATCAGATAGCAACGTATTCTTACTTTCGTACCATTTTTACCTTTAAGGTGGGTTCATAGCTCTCCGTTCATCCGTTGCGTTGATCCGTCAAACGGATAGTACATTTTGTTAAGGTTCATAGCAATCCGTCCACATTGTACATTTGCAAGTATAACCATAACCTATACTTTATTTTGTACTGTACCCTCCGTCATTTTCAGTATGTAAAAATGGTACGAAAGTAAGAACACATTGCTATCTGGTTATTACCATGAAGAACGAATAGGCGAACGCTGTTAACGTACCAAACATAACCTCACTCTTGTTAAAAACGGAACAACGGAAACGTAAATGTTCAACTTCAACCAACTTTTCCGTCGTAAACGGACGACGTACGATTTAAAAATTTGCTGTCTTCTGATTGGCTAACGGACAAACGGAAACGTAAGAACGGAGAGCTATGAACCCACCTTAAGCCAATTCGTAAATTCGAACCGAGCCTAGGATCTCGACAAGATTCGAAAGGCTCACTTTGGCATTTTACCGTAAACATGCGCGCCTTGTAAGTAGGAAGAGGCAGAAAGTTCGTGGTTTTCTCTTCTTGGGGATTATATATATATATATAAAAAAATCCTTCCAGCACAGAGCGCATTTTTAGCTTTTGAGGAACATATTTTCATCACCTTCAATTGAAAATTTCCGACTTGTTTCAGTAACAGAATAAATGAAATCATTAGATACTCTAAGCTTCTTTATTGAATATTTACAGAAGCTTTTACTTGGTAACATATATAGGGATCAAGTCTATCATCATCAGAGTAGTAGCAGTAGTAATAACAAACAATACCACAGGTAATCAATCAATGAAAATACTTAAATCTAATACTCGCACGTCTCAAACTAAACAAAGTGATAAATAATATAAAAACTAAGTGAAAAACTAGGATCATAAATAATAATTAAATAACTCTAAATATTCAAAATAACCCTGAAATCCTTTCCTTCGGAATTCCTTCCGATGAAAATAATTTTGTTGAAGCCACCTAGAAAAAAGCAACAAATACCAATTAGCGATGAAGATGTTCTTGACGCTCGACACGGTGCTGACTAAGCCTAGTTATTTCTTCTTTTGTGCTTTTTCGGCGGCCTTTGTAACCTTGCCGGCCGTATCCTTAAACGACACCGACTTTATGACGCCGACCGCGACGGTCTGACGCATATCGCGCACGGCAAACCGACCCAAAGGCGGATACTCCTGGAAGGACTCGACGCACATCGGCTTGCTAGGAACCAGATTGACGATCGCCGCGTCGCCCGATTTGATCGCCTTCGGATTTTCCTCGGTCGTCTTACCGGTACGGCGATCGCACTTCTCTTTGATTTCGGCAAACTTGCACGCGATGTGAGCCGTGTGACAGTCCAATACTGGCGTGTAACCGTTGGCGATTTGACCGGGATGGTTTAGCACGATGACCTGTAAGAAAGTGCTCGTTATAGACGCGACTAGCATTGCCTCTCTTTTAACTACATTTTCCACGCCTGCTGGTCAATTTGGCTTTTGTCAGTATTCATAGCATTCTTTGAGATATCTACGCAAAAACAATAGAAAACTATAATGCAATTTTTAAACAAGTGCCAACGAAAAAGAGGTTGTTTAATCTATTATCTAAATTAATGATACTTTGTCCAGAAATATTCAGTCTTGAAAATAAGGAATGTTACAACTTTTAAGAGATATCCACATTAGGAAAAGCATGAGAACGATTTCCTTTCTATATACAGTCCGCTCTGAAATGAATCGTTTTATAGGCCAATTTATTGTGCTCAAATTATTATTTCAAACCTTACAAATATTATGTGGAAATTATTTTTTATTATACAGGGTGTTCCAATTTCCTTGTAATCTTAAAAAATATTATTTTTTTAATGGAATGGCTATACTTTTTTTTTGGGCACATAACATGACGTTTGTCATATACTGTACACTGTACAGGGTGGCTAAATAAGAAAGCGAGGTACTGTATCTGGGAACCTGTCCATTGTAGAGGCTTGCGGTAAAAAAATTTATTACTAAAATGGCCACGAGAAAAACCTGGAAAATATTTTTAAGTTTCTGAAATGGCCGCTAGGGGGCGTAACTGCACTCTGGAATCTAAAAAAGTGATTTTTCTGAGAATTCCTCTATATTAACCTAACAAAAAAATACCCAGTCTTTGAATACGACGATAATCTGAACCCTTTTTGTTTGACAATTTTTCCTGTATCTCTAAAAATGAAGTGGTGGGGGATATTCAAAGGTTTCCGTAAAGAACACCCTGTATCTTCAAAACGACTGAGCCGATTTTAACAAACTCAGGTTAATTGAAAAGTTATTTCGGCTACAAATATTATAATATTTGAAGTTTTGTTAGTTTCGCATATAGCCGCTTGAGGGCTTTTTTCGACATTCTGACAGAAATGGTTAATTTTCTCAAAAAAATTAAATGCACTGGTTCGATTTTTTTTTCATAAAATAGTAGCTAAATGATGCCTAAACAAGCTCGCGAAAACCGCATCTCGATAGGCCAAAGAAAATGCTAATTTTTCCGGAATTATTTTTATACGCTTTTAATGCCGCCGTAAATGCCCAAAATGCTGGCCATCACGATATAAAAATATATCTCTCAAGATATCGAGATGCTGTTTTCGCGAGTTTGTTTAGGCATCTCATTTAGCTACCTTTTCATGAAGAAAAAATCGAACCAATGCATTTAATTTTTTTGAGAAAATTAACCATTTCTGTCGGAATGTCGAAAAAAGCCCTCAAACGGTGAAATGTGAAACTAACAAAACTTCAAATATTATAATATTTGTAGCTAAAGAATAGCTCTTTTGATAGAACCCGAGTTTATTTAAATCGGCTCAGCCGTTTCGAAGATACAGGGTGTTCTTTACGGAAACCTTTGAATACCCCCCCACCACTTCATTTTTAAGGATACAGGAAAAATTGTCAAACAAAAAAGGTTCACATTATCGTCAACTTCAAAGACCGGATATTTTTTTTGTTAGGTTAATATAGCGGAATTCACAGAAAAATCACTTTTTTAGATTCCAGATTGCAGTTACGCCCCCTAGCGGCCATTGCAGAAACTTAAAAATATTTTCCAGGTTTTTCTCGTGGCCGTTTTAGTAATAAATTTTTTTACCGCAAGCCTCTACGATGGATAGATTCTCAGATACAGTACCTCGCATTCTTAGTTGGCCACCCTGTACATAACAGACCAGTTGCGATAATACCAAGAATGTCCAAAATCTTAAGTTGTAATTGAGTCACTAAAATTGAAATACTGCAAAAACCTATGTACCCTAGTAACGCGTTTTTCTATGTATACTACAGGAAAGAGGCTTTCATATTATGATGTTCTAAATACTGTGACTAAACTTAGGATTGTATTTTAATAAATTGCGTTTGAAGTTTTGACACCACCATCAATCAGATCTTGTTGTAGGCTACCACATTCCTTTGTCTGTACCCACTTCTAACGCCTCCATGGTCATATAAATGCGTCATTTTTTTGTATAATAAAATTTAGCATAATTTTTAAGTTGTATGACGTCACGGCGCTAAAAACTCACTGTATAAAAAAAATTCTTAAATTTGACATTTTTTATGGTTTTTTTTTGTAATAAAACCTGGCACAATTTTTGCAGGTTGTACCCAGAAAAATAAGGTCTTTAATAAAAATTCCAAGTTATTTTTGAAAAAAAGCTCAATGCCGTTGCGGCGTTCCTCTTTGTCTCTTGATGACATCAACACAGAGTACAAGAAACAACAAAAAAATAACACATAAAGAAAGTGAATATGACTCATGCTAATAAGATATCCAAGACTGTAATCAAGGGGGGATCAACCCCTAAGCCGGCAGAATTATTCAAAAATCATGTTTTCTGTTTGTACTTACCCATTTTCTTCTGTAATGTTATTTTTGTCTAGAGAAGGGGAGATGTTTTAATGTCAAGTTGGCAACAATGTAACTAGAAGGCTAGTCGTTAGAGCACTAGAGGAGACACAGCCAATTGCCAGCATGGCGGAATTGTATTTCATAAATGTTTATAAAATATGGTCTCATTTATTTTAGAAAAATAAACATTTTAAGTTGTTCATTTTTCTATGTGACCAAAAAGCGTACAAACGAGACTCTTACCTGTGCAGTAAAATCAGAGACTCCTCTGGGCGGGTTATTCTTGGAATCGCCAGCGACAAAACCACGCTTCAGTTCTTTAACAGACACATTCTTAACGTTGAAACCGACGTTATCACCGGGCACAGCCTCTTGTAAAGCCTCATGATGCATTTCCACAGACTTTACCTCGGTGGTTAGGCCAACTGGCGCGAAAGTTACCACCATGCCAGGCTTCAGAATGCCGGTCTCCACTCTACCGACCGGCACAGTACCGATACCACCAATTTTGTAAACGTCCTACAAGCAGAGGGTAAGTCTAACGATACTTGTACACTTACAGTACCTGTAACGGAAGCCGTAGTGGCTTGTCAGTGGGACGACTAGGCTGCATAATCGCATCCAAAGCTTCAATCAGAGTCTTACCGTCGGCTTTACCTTCTTTACGCTCAATATTCCACCCCTTAAACCACGGCATTTTGTCGGAGAGCTCCAGCATGTTGTCTCCGTGCCATCCGGAGATCGGAACAAAGGCCACACTCGCCGGATTATAACCGATCTTCTTAATATACGAGGAGACCTCCTTTTTAATTTCCTCGAAGCGAGTCTCGGAGTACGGCGGTTCGGTGGAGTCCATCTTGTTAACGCCGACCACCAGCTGCTTCACGCCCAGAGTGAACGCGAGCAACGCGTGCTCGCGAGTCTGCCCGTTTTTCGAAATGCCCGCCTCGAACTCACCGGTACCGGCGGCGACGATGAGCACGGCGCAATCGGCCTGAGACGTACCCGTGATCATGTTCTTAATGAAATCTCTGTGACCGGGGGCGTCGATGATTGTCACGTAGTACTTGGCGGTTTCGAATTTCCACAGCGCGATATCGATTGTGATACCGCGTTCGCGTTCCGCCTTGAGTTTGTCGAGGACCCACGCGTACTTGAACGAGCCCTTGCCCATCTCCTGCGCTTCTTTTTCGAACTTTTCGATCGTACGCTTATCGATGCCCCCACATTTGTAAATTAAGTGACCGGTCGTCGTAGACTTGCCGGAGTCGACATGGCCAATGACGACAATGTTAATATGAACCTTTTCTTTACCCATTTTTGAAATTCGTTAAGTCTGCAATTTAAAAATACTACAATGGGAGGTGTCCTTGACGTACAGCCATCCAAATTAGGTTTGCACTTGTACTAATTTGCAACAATTGTTTGGCGAATTACGCCATTTTGTGATGCAACCGGGACTGTCCTGTCTTTTTTACGAAAGAGAATCGGGAGTTTCTAAGGTAATATCAATTTAATAGCGCCGAAATCAATAACGCATTTTATCTCCTATTGATTTCCTTACCTTAGCAATTATGGCGTTTCCCGTGCTATGCTTTATTTTCGCAAATGCGTGGGTGGTACATGCTAAAAATTCACTTCGCCGGTTTACCAAGAAAAGGATTTGCAATTTAAAGGGTCGTGCAGTGATGACATAACCGGAGAATGGAAGCCGGCCGGCAGCCGGTGACGGGAATTTTCCAAAGGGCAAATGTTAAGAACGCCAATAAGAATTTCGCAATTACTACGTTTTAATTACTCATTGCAATTTAAATGCATTGATCGACCGGCATTAACAAACGGCAAACCAATTACGTAAAATTTCCCAACAGTTAAAGGAAATGCAAAAAGGACGCGGTAAATCCTATTGCATGCATTCAAATTTAAATAAATTATCAGTAAAATCTTATCAGTATCCTAAATAATAAGCACTCACCTTTAGCTCACTTCAAGAGGGCGACGAAAAGGAAACTGCCCTTGCGATGCGTGCGCAACCGGATATTAGAGGGGTAAACTGGGGTAGGGTTTCTATCGATTTTAATTTTCAAATTTACACCCGTGAATCGATTTCAAATATTTCTGTGCGATATTTCTAATTGGATTGCGAATTAAAAACGCGAAAAGCAATAATTTGACGTTACGATTTGAGTTTACGATTCATTTCCGTTTTTTCGGGTGAACCAATCAGGAAGGGCATCGTTTTCCCTTATGTCGTTTACTACTCGCGCCATTATTCAAAAGCGGGCGGAAAGGCGTCGAGGATTTTTCCATCGAATTAGTTGTCTCTTTACGATCTTATTTGATGACATTAAATGCGATAAGAAGCGTATTTTATGGCATACCAGATCTTTCCATTGTAATTAGATTCTTTAATTATACCTATTGCATTGTGAGCGGAAACTCTTTCACCTACTACATCCGGTTCTAAATCTTTTGAGTAAGTCCAACTGGAAGAAGGTTAAGTATGCCTTGCGAAAATAACAATGATGTTTTGCATAGTACAATGCAAAAGCAGGATTCTTTCTGATTCAGACAGACCACAAGTACAAAAGAAAAAGATCCCTCAAAGCACAAAAAAGATTCTGAAAAGTCTAAATCGTCTTCCTAAGTTACCTTAAATTGTAGGTCGTTTCTAAAGCGCTTTACACCCTTTCCAGTTGCAGTTTCATGTTTCTGCTGCCGTCTCCAGAACAATAAAAAAACTAGACCTTCTGTGAAATGCTCAGAATGCTACACCTGACCTTAGAGTAAACATGTCCAGTTCTTGAAGGCTCTAAAGACTAGAACTTATCAGTCCTCGAGAAGTGTTTAAGTGGTTTCCAGAGCACTAAAAGGGTTTCCACACTATGCTCTTACTCACGTTACACGCATTCATTTGCTTTCTAAAACAATCGAAGGTCATCTAGAGCTCTTAGGTCTTTTCCATATGGAATTCTCGAAACCAGCTCTATGGTAATTAATTAAAACACTTCCAGGAGGCATCTTGCGCTTTGTACAGAAAGTCCAAACTTTTCAAAGCCTCCTTAAGAGTTTGTAGAGAGCCCGTCTATAACTTTGTACACTGGATCTTTCCAGTAGGATTGTACAGAGCTTTGTAAGTATAGTTTTGGAAGGTGCATGGAAGACTTTCTTAAGTTCTAGCGATAAATTTCCTGTAAAAATCACTTAAGAGACCTGCAAGCTCTGGACAGCTTCGGAAATGTAAAGAATTTCAAAAGCCGTCTAGTTTTAGTACGTACTTCCCTAAAATACCACGGGTACAAGAATTGTAGTGAATCAAATTAAAGGGAAATAAGCTATGGAAAGCTTTCTGAACGTGGTTCCCAGAGCATTATGAGGGTTATTTTACTAAAAGCACACTTACCAGACGAATTTTAAGCATTTTACACACGCTTTGTCCCTTCAAATCTTTCCATAGCAATTGAAGGTTTTCCAGAGACCTTTCGCCCAGCCATCTTAAAAACCTAGAAGGCTGTCAAAATCTTTACAATCGGGAATTTTTAAAGAGCAATTATGAAACTGGTAAGCTCTAGAGGCTCTGGAAAGCTTTTGGAACATTCAAGACTTTCCAGAGCCTTCTAACCTTATTTTCAAAGAATTTTAATAATTCTAAATACGTTGCACTTTTTTATAATGCTATATTTCCAGACTAACCAAAAGCTTTTCAGAATCTTCTGGGTTCTACCATTGAGTTTTTTACTCAACCATTGAATAACTACATAGGAAAACCTGAAATTGGTGTAAGGTGTGTTGCATACACTGCAAAGTGGTTAATTACCACAAATATTGAAGGATATTTGGCCTCGGGCGGTAATTAATGACTATTTCAAACAGGGAAACCAGTTATACTTAGGGGCCCTTTGTTTTCCTTGTTTATCAGAGTTGAACAGTGTTGTCATATTTTTCTTTGTTATATCGAAAAGTAGCTTTATTTTATTTTATGTTTTTGCACCGAGTATTTCGGTACCTAGTCCGTTTTATTGAAGCGAATGTAATTATAGATTTTTCATCTCCTTGAAAAAGAGGTGTTTTTTTTTTCAGAAATCGTGAGATCTCGGAAACTGTTCAACTTTACGGGCCCAAAATTGTCTCCTTTTTTATTATAAAACAAGCTATGTTTTCTCCAAATTTCAAACCCCTACGACTTTTTTTCGCAAAAATAAGAATCAAAAACGAAAAAACAGCTTTTCCGGTTTTTTAGGGAAAATTGGAGGTTATGTGAAAATAGTGCAGATACAAAAGTCGTTGATTTTTTTATTCTCTATAACTTTTATATTGAACATTTTAGCCTAAAATTAGTAGTTTTGCTACAAATTGCAAAACACCCCTTTCAACCCCCGGGATTTCATCCGCGGAAAAATTCAGCTGTTTTAATTATTTTTCCCTAATTTCTAAACATTTCACCACCATGGAGAACCCGGTTTGAACCGGTAACTAATTTTTTTTGTCAAAAAATGTTATATAGCCTGGACCATTGAATATAAGGTGCTTATTCAATGGTACCGCCCTACCTAATTAGTAATTACTTATAATGAAAGTCCGCATGCTAACATTAAATCTGAAATTAATTACTCAGATCATTAATGTGCCTAAAATTACCAGATCCTTATATGGAGCTAAGTAAAATTTGATTGTTTATTATGTAAAGATAATGGTCCTTAGAACAATTTTTGTTGTTTTCTTATTAGATTAAACTACATTTTTTACTTTATTCATTGTTCCTTATGATCTTACATTTCAGATTGTTCCTCCCTTACATAATATTGTTATTGGCATTGAATAAAAGCGTATTCAATATTTTAATCTAGTTTATTCAAACTCAAAGCGCTTGTCAAAAATCTGGCAATGTTGGAATTTTAAAGAAGTAAAGAAATCTGCAAAGTCGGTAACTAGCTTTAAATTTGTGGTTCACTTTCCCCCACAACAGAGGGACGACAGAATCCTGGGCAGATTTTCTTATTTCATCAGTTAACACGAGCGTTATACTTCTTTAAGGTGCTTATTCAATGACTCAACGATTTTATCCCGATTTCTTTTACTTTCTGGATTGAGAAAAGATGTTAATAATAGTTATTTATATCAAAGTCAGGAAAATGACACATTACTGGCGAGGAAACACTTTAAAAATGCACTACGAACTTTATTGCTCGTAGTAATCACATGAGCAACACAAAGCTTGTTTTAACGATTTCGGTAAAACAGTGTATTTTACGAACTTTCAATATATAATCACGTTTGATTGGTGAATTGATTTAAAATATCTTGCATTGAACATCTTCTACGCATTTTTAGGGTCACTGCTCTACAGCGCTAGTTACTGTCATGGCCGCGGTCACGTGATTCTTCCTTTAACGGCTTTACCGCGGAATCTGGAATCGTTTTTTCCTATAAAAGTGTCTAAAAGTTAGTGACAATCATTAAAATGTTAATAATAATAAGCATCGTCATAGCGATAATCCTGGAGTGTCTTCGGTTGGGGTGGCGGTTCCACCTTTACGAAGTAGTAGCCCTTTCAAACGATTTGAGGTTATGTATGTTCGAATTTGAATGGTGCCGGCGAAATAGATCATTACCTGCATCGCCGTTTTTGCTCTGGTAAGTCCCGTTTTTTGAATCTTCTACTGGATTTGCTTTCTAATTATACACGTACATGTCTGGGTAATAATTTGTATAGACCCCAAAAGTATACAGGGTGGCTGTCGTTTGTGACTAATAAATAGTCTGTATTGCCTTATTTTGAGCATTTCACTAAAAAATCTCATCCATACGAGGGTATTTACCTTACTGTCTAATGCTATAGCGATTTATTCTTGTTTTCCGAAAAGTGGTCCCCCCAAATCGGAGGGTGTTACCTACCCTGTTGTAATAGAAAAATTGTTTGGGAAAAGGGGAAAATGAAGAGACTGGCTTAATTTGGTAATTGTGTATACAATTTATTATTATAACTTTCACAAATAGAGATTTTTCATTCATAAATTTGATCGTTCATAATATAATTGTGTAAATATATCTCTAAAATAGTGACTTAATCCTAAGGTGATAGAATTGATTAACTTATTAGTAAAATATATGTATATGAATACTCTGTAAAATATATATATGTTTTATATAAATATCTTAAATATGACAAAAAAAAATTATAATCATCAATAAAAATAACATTAATATAATTAACAAACTCGATAATAAGGAGCGAAATACATTCCAGGTAAAATTACACATAATTATTTCGATAAAACATTTTTCGTAATGGAACAAAAATTAGCTACATAGAGTGGCGCTTCGGAAAATGAGTGGGCCGAACCTGCGGACTTATCTCGTACGTCTTAAAAAATATACCTAATATGACTCTGCCCTCTTTTACGCGACTAACATAGATAATGAAATATATGGCAGGTAATTACTATTCCATCTCTAAATCTCTAACTTGCCCAGACATTACAAGCGAATTATTTGTAAAATTGTCACAGATAGCTTTGATATGATTACTAAACCGGAGGGGGGTAGTACGAACTATGGCATATTTTCCAGCACAGCTGAATTTTATTGCACCTTTAGAGGTTTAGTGAAGTAGCGCTTCGGATCGAAATGTTTGCAGGCAAGCGGTATTTGTCATAGGCAACAATACACTTAGGTACACGTACGAACAAACGAACACGTATCTATCGTAATAATAACAATAACATACAACAGCTAACTCAAAAGAAAACAATTCAGATGACTCAAGCGACGATTACGAACACAGTTGGAGCTGAAGTGTTTATATCAGTTCATAATTGTACTTTATACGTTTTGAGATCCGATTTTTGTGCATTACGCACGTACGAAGGCTTTACAGCGAATGAACACATTTTCATTTGTATTTGATAATTTAGGAAAAATCAGTCTCCGAATCGACTACACGCCTTTTTCCACCTACATTGCGTACACCACTGTTCTCTATGTTCCATTCCGTACACCTTACGGCACTTTTTGTTCTCGCCTCGGATGCGACGAGGCGATACTGGCATTTTCGGGCTGTGAGGCCGAGGCGATAGTTTGAGCAGCTTGTGAGGCGACTGTGGTATGTTTATCGGTCCCGAGAACAGGGTCTGACGAAACGAGCCGACGATCTGACGTTGGTATTCGGGATCCTCGTGCGGCGGGCGCGCCATGTCACGGTGCGACATCGTCGGCGGTGAACTGTTCGTGTGTATGCCCACTTCGACTTCGGTGTAGTAAAACTCTTCCTCGCCTTCCGTGATTAAGTCGCCGCGATCTCTGTAAAAAAGAAGCGATATTACTTTTATGCTTTACCGTGAGATGGCGTTAATAATATTTTTGGTTTGAGGGTAAGGTCCCAACTTTAGGCTAGAATTTTTGTATCATTCAGATTTGTAGAGTTTTTTTTTGTCCTAAATTCGATGGTGATCACGCCCCCGCTTGTTTAAATGGAGGACCGAATCTAAGGCTACTTAGGAAGTAGAGGAAATTCGAATATTTTGTGTGGTTTTATTTGAAGAGATTTTTGAAAATAAGTGACATTTCTCATTGTCAATTTTTCTACCGGATAAGCTGACATGTTTTACAGTCTGACGTTTCGGCTTTTTGGTCTATTTTTTTTAAATACGGATCTGCACTTTTCTATTTTTAAAGAGGTCTCACTTTGAAAAAAAAATACATATATCACACTTGTATAGTTACTAACTACTACCACTCTAAAATTGACAAAAAATGAAGTTCCCAAGAACCTAGGGCCTAGGTCATCAATTTCATGATTTGGAATTCATAGAGCATATGGCCACACGGTCTTTATACAGTCACTAGTAGTTAAAGTCCGATTATCCCCTCCCCCTTTTTTCTGATGTCGCGTGACGTCACAGTGCTGCGTTGTGATTGGCTGCGCCATTTTGTGGCGGTAAGGTGGTTAGTTTGAATTTTCAAATATCGACCATTTTGTGGGGGTATATTTGAAATTGTGCGGATGTTTTGAATTCGTCACAATCGAGGGGTGTGACACGAGTAATTTTTGGTGTACAAATGAGATGTATGTAATTTTAAATTACTTGAAATTCTATAAAATTACTTAAATTACTTATTAGTTATTAGAGTACATTAATCACAAAAATTACTTATTCTCCAAAATTACTATGAAATTACATAAAGAATTACAAGCATTACATTGTAAGTAGAAAAATTATTGTCGTCCCCACTCTAAAGTATTAAAATTCCGCTAATTTAGCAGTTTATTGATTAATACGATTATTCTGCTTTATTAACGAGCTCCTAGCGAGTTTATCATTTTGCGGTGTCTGTCCGTCCGTCCGTCCGTCAGCACGATAACTGATAAACGAATGGACCGATAACGATGAAATTTTGCAGATGGATTCTTTATCAAATTTGTAGATCGGAGTTCGTGAATTGACAATGTAGACCGAAAAATAAAGTAGGCCCTTTTGACATCTCCGTTATATTTATGAACCGAATTGCATGAAATTCAATATGCGCATAGCTTTAGCCATATAAAACAAAATTCCAAAAGTTGAGCCTAATTGATCAGCATTCACAGTGCCCTTTGCGCATCTCGACCATTTACAGACCGAATTGCAAACTTTCTTATTTATGAAGGTATATTTAAATGAAATTTGATACATAATCACTTGGAATAAAACCAAATTTAACACCAGTTTCAAAATTTTATTTTGCGCATGCGCAGTGCCAACTTCCTTATTTATGGAGGGATTTAAATAAAATTTGACACTTGGAATAAAACCAAATATAACTCCAGTTTCAAAATTTGGTTTTGCGCATGCGCAGTGCCAACTTGCTTATTTATGAAGGCATTCAAATGAAATTTGAGACATAGCCACTTGGAATGAAAGCAAATGTAGCGCCATTTTCCAAATTTGGTATTGTGTAGGATGTGCAGTGCGAACTTTCTTATTTATGGAAGCAATTAAATGAAATTTCATACATACATATATACTTAAAATAAAAGCAAAACTAACATCAGGTTTAAAATTTGGTTTTGCACATGCTATAGCCATACCCAGGAGCTCGTTTGCTATATTTGTTTAATTTATTACAATAAGTAGCCACGTCTTTTTTCAGATGGAAGACAGTACTATTAATCAAAGGGAATCAGGTGATTTAGGTGGTGACATATTTCAAGAGTTTCAAAAAGAATATAATGTTGTCATCCGTTTATACCTCAAAAATTTGCTACAGTTTTGTGGTTTTGATTAGTCCCATTAGTCCGTGGGTTGCGCCTCAGGTTGCGTTGCAAGTGAATAAATTTCAACGTAATAACTGATATCGTTGTAGTTGACACGAATTTGTTTAGATACAGCAATCTTGACAACTATTACATAATCAGTTTCACATTTAGAAGTTTACTGAAATTACAGAAATTACCGTTTGTAATTCTGGAATTACAAACATTACGCAATGCATATCAAAAATTACAGAAAAACTACTATTACAATTCGAAAATTCCAAAAATTACTTAATACAAGCCGAAAATTACAAAAATTACGTAGTGTAATCACAAAATTACAAAAATTACCTGAAATTATATGAGTAATTTAATGTAATTACAGTAGGTGTACGTTTTATTTGCTTGTGGCACACCCCTCGGTCACAATGTATGGTTTCTACCGCGGTTTCTACTCATAAATTATTCTTTTTACAAAAATGCATACCTGATTCATCGGAGTTCGACGTAGGGTTATTTGTAGGTTTAAGATTTTCTTCTTGAATTTTTTAAAAAAGCAAACACAAAAATGATTCAGACATGCGCAGTGTATGGTACGGAATTGACGATTTAGCCAATAGTTATTTTTATATAATATCATTATAAAACTTCTGAAAATTCTGAAACTGTATTGTTTTATATTCTGGACTTCAGTTTATTTCGTGCTTCGAGTCCTATTTGAAATAAGAATGACAGATGTCACACACATGTCATTTGCGAGAAAATTCTTTCCGAAAGAGTACAATATTTATTAATAAATTAATAAAATATTTTAAATTATACTTTTTTTGCGCTTTCTTAAACTGAATATGCGATTCGCTGCACTGGCCACATTTTATAACTTTCGAAGGAAATGTCAATGTATATTCACAATTTGTATCTTAATAAATTTAAAATTTCGAAAATTTTAGAAGAATTTTTGTTTAGTTTCGTTGCTTTTTAGCGCATTTTTGATTCTCAAAAAGCAGCTTACTGTTTCACTCGCTGTCGACCACCCTGTATATTTTGGAGTTTTTGGAAAGAGCGTAATATGTAAATTTTGAAGTACATATTACTTGTTACATTAATTATATTAAATAACTTCGGTAAAAAATAAAAACGATTTTGCAAAATTTCGTTTTTTTAGGATATCTCCGAAAGTAGACGGAATTTTTTCAGTTTCATATCGGCATTTTGTTAAGCATCAAAATACGCAACTTTGCCAAATTTAAACTGCCTACCTATCTCTTACAGTTTCCGAGATCCCTATGGAAATTTTACGCGCTTTTCAAAAACTTCAAAATACATATATAGGGTGGTCCATATGAAAAAATCGAGGAAAAAATGTAGTTTAGGATCATATAGGAAAAACCAAACACCCTGTATGCAAACTGTGAATCTCGATGGATTCTACATAAAAAAGTGCCCTAAGAAATATTTTGCCAAAATCACTTATCTTTAATAATAAGAAAGTTATGGTGGCGCATTAAAGAAATCGACCTAAATTCGAGAAACGCCAAGCGAGTAGAGAGCTGAATTTTGTTTGTCAGTGATCTTCTCTTTAAAATTGAGCTCCAGTTACCTAGGGCCCTTTTTTTAATCTTAAAATAAAAGGCGTGTTTCCATGAGAAAGTGTCCAAATTGGACCACCCTGTACATTTTTTAATATCGTGCACAACCCTTCCAGGGTGTTGTTTTTTCAGAGGTCATGTTCCATTTTCTACCCCTGAACTTGTTGGCATTGAAAATTGCATCTTGTGTTTGCATATATTTTAAAGATTTAAATTCTAAAGTGAACGGTAGAACTATAACACCCTGTAGATCGATAACGAATCGTGTGCGGATCTATGTTTATACTTATGATCTTTTAGTCATAAGATAAGCCAAAGAATTAGCTCTTTTCGTATGGGAGAACTATGTTACCGTATTTAGGAGCACCCTGTAGATGTTGCAGTCTTTTAGTGAAACGCTGGCAATTTGATGTGTGGGGTAGTTTCTCTTATTCCCTTTCTAGATCGATTTAGAAGAGAAAGGGAACCCAATCGCTTACCCCTAGAAATTACAGGGTGGCCAAGAATGCGAGGTACTGTATCTGAGAATCTATCCATCGTAGAGGCTTGCGGTAAAAAAATTTATTACTAAAACGGCCACGAGAAAAACCTGGAATATATTTTTAAGTTTCTGAAATGACCGCTAGGGGGCGTAACTGCAATTTGGAATCTAAAAAAGTGATGTTTCTGTTAATTCCCCTATATTAACCTAACAAAAAAATGTCCGGTCTTTGAAAACGATGATAATCTGAAAATTTTTTGTTTGACAATTTTTCCTGTATCTCTAAAAATGAAGTGGTGGGGGGTATTCAAAGGTTTCCGGAAAGAACACCCTGTATCTTCGAAATGACTGAACCGATTTTAACAAACTCGTGTTAATTAAAAAGAGTTTATTCTTCGGCTACAAATATTAAGTTTTGTTTCACATATCACCGCTTGAGGGCTTTTTTCGACATTCTGACAGAAATGGTTAATTTTCTCAAAAAAATTAAATGCATTGATTCCATTTTTTTTCATGAAAAGGTAGCTAAATGATGCCTAAACAAGTTCGCGAAAACAGCATCTCGATATCTTGAGATATATATATATTATATCGTGATGGCCAGCATTTCGAGCATTTACGGCGGCATTAAAAGTTTCCTTTTTTAAATCGATCCACCTTAGGGCCACAAATTATATAATAAAAATAATTCCGGAAAAATGAACTTAAAAAAATAAAATTTTGAGCGTATAAAATTTTCTTTGGCCTAAATTTTAGGTTAGGAACAAGATATCGAGATGCGGTTTTTGCGAGCTTGTTCAGACATCATTTAGCTACTTTTTCATAAAAAAAAATCAAACCAACGCATTTAATTTTTTTGAGAAAATTAACCATTTCTGTCGGAATGCCGAAAAAATCCCCCTAGCGGCGATATGTGAAAACTAACAAAACTTCAAATATTATCCGAAGAATAACCCTTTTCAATTAACCCGAGTTTGTTAAAATCGGTTCAAGATACAGGGTGTTCTTTACGGAAACCTTTGAATACCCCCACCACTTCATTTTTAGAGATACAGGAAAAATTGTCAAACAAAAAAGGTTCAGATTATCGTCGTCTTCAAAGACCGGACATTTTATTGTTAGGTTAATATAGCGGAATTCACAGAAAAATTAATTTTTTAAATTCCAGATTGCAGTTACGCCCCCTAGCGGCCATTGCAGAAACTTAAAAATATTTTCCAGGTTTTTCTCGAGGCCGTTTTAGTAATAAATTTTTTTACCGCAAGCCTCTACGATGGACAGGTTCCCAGATACAGTACCTCGCATTCTTATTTGGCCACCCTGTACATTGTGCCACGCAGTTTCACTAAATGACTAGGCGTTTCGAAGGCGGATTTCACTAACAAACTAGGAATTATAAGCGCATTTTCCCGTTCCTTCCTTCAATCGTAATAAAAAAATATTAAATGACAATCAATAATTCATTTCTTTAACAGTTTCCGTAAGACAACTTTTTGAAAACGTTTTTTGTGGTTTGTTCTTTGAAACTCTGGAAGTTCAACGAGAGCTTTCAGAAATCTGTAAATGAGGGGAGTTTTAAATGGCAGTAAAAATAGCGCCCGGTATGCTATTGGGAGGAAATGAGAGTCGGCATCTAGTTTGCAGCAGTCATTTTCCTCCCTTAGCAAAGCAACACCAGATGGCGTTAGTAATAATTATCTCTGAAGTAAATTCTGTATATCTACAGAAACTTCCCCCGGTCATCTTGTGGTAAAATGCAAAATCACCGACCGCAAAAATCTGTAGCAATTTAAATTCTTCCCAGAATGATGCGGGCCTAATTCGTAATTGTGTTGCAAATTATGCGTGCTTGACCCCCAATTGCCCAGGGGCGCGCGATATTTTATTTTGGCAGTAGCTAATCAAGTTGAAGGTGAAGCTCAATCTGCCAAGCCTTCATTACTTATTATGTTTGCGTTCAAGTCCGGGCTCGCGTCTATAATTAATGTTTGGGTATCAAATGTGCACGTTAAAAATATTTCGAATCACCCCCTACATTGAGAATGCCACAAAAAATCAAAGTCTACACTTTTTATAAGTCTCATAGCCGACTGGGGACTTCACAGGTAGTCGAATATTTGTCTGGAGCGAGTTCATTTGGGGTTGTTTAAAGGGCGAGGACCGGTTACCAAAAAAAAAACCGTATACACTTACTTGAGGTGGTCGTTTCTGACGTGAGCCTCTATTGTTTCGCAGCTGTTCGTGGTGGCGATGCAGCCTGGCCAAGTGCATTGGAATACTATACGGGTTAAGGGCTGAAACAATAAAAGTTCATTTATTAGTACTCAAATCTGGGTCAAACGGCAGAGTTTGCATATGGCAAGTGAGGGGGTTGCATTAAAGTCAAAAAGCTCAAGGACAAAGGATTCGCTCGACTTTGACCCTTAAACTCTAGTTCCTAGTTGCGTTGCATCGACACGTGGCTTTGTGTACCAACATATTGATCAAGCGCCATACTGGAAACGTCATCGCTTCGATCTGCTAGGCAGCGAGCGAGATTCGCAGTACTGCCCTAGGATTCTCCGAAGGCGCTACAACGGAATTGCGTAATTTACAAATTTTTTTTCAGCTTGTTGCACTCCAGCGGATACGCACGTGGGTACGATGACCGCGCGCTTTAATTTTGCAAATGCTAATTAATCGACTTGGTCGAAATAGCCAACGGTATTTGATAGGAACAAAGAGGCAGATGCTATCCTAATTAAAACTTTTCCTAATACGTCCAACAGCTGCGGCGCTTTGTTGTTGATTTGGAAAAAAAAGGTACTACGGTGCGGCCGATAATTTGGTTTTGGGGTTAATTACGTACGCGATAAATAACTAATTCAACTGATAAACTTCCGTTCGATAACCGAAGATGTAGATATTGCGGTGCGAAAACTGCATTCGAAGACCTAAAAAAACGAAAGAATTTATCCAGAGCCACAACAGGAAATTAAAACGATAATAATTAATCGGGTTATCGTTCTCATAGGAGTATCCTGTTTGTGGCCGATCCGATTCAAATAAATATTAAAAATCCTCTCCGTGCCCTAATTAGCAATTTTCGAAACGAAAAACCGACCAATCAGGTGCGCCGGCAGTGACTGTGCACGTGGGGTGTAAGCCCCATTCCTGTATTGCGATGTAAACATTGCAGGGCAATGCCCTCGTGGAGGATTTCCCCCTCGCCACATGCTCGCGAGACGCACTCTTTCTCTATGCTGCAGTCGAATCCAAACACAACGGATTTGTAACGTCATTAACGTCGAAGATCTAGCTTTATTGCCAAACAAAGGCAGGCGGCAACGGTGGCCCGCTGGTGGCAGCTCTTGTACTATTCCTCATTATTTATTGTAGGTGCAGAGGTTAGTTGCTAATAGATTTATTTAAAAGCACAGGCGCCAAGCGCAATTTAAGGTAATTGCGCTCGATGACTTTATTTACTGTTCGACTTATGCAAATAAGGGGTGGTTATTAAAAATTCGGCGACATGTTCGCAAAGGTGACACGTGTCACCTGCATATCGGCAAATCTGAAATTGTTCCTTCGTCTAATTTATTTTTAAAAATTTTAAGTAAATTTAAATGTAAGTTTAGGAAGTTTAGGAAAGGACAGCTTGATCATTAATATTACACTACTGGGGAAAAAAAACGAAATCGGTCTACCCCCTACAGGAGATGAACTTCATTAACGCGACCCAAGCAACAACAACGCAAAAATCCATTATCAACTTCGATACGACATTATCCGGTATTATCAATATATCGATATTATTTGTAATCGTAAGATCGACATTTCATTATTAAGTATCAATAACAATAATAATAAAATTGATTGTTCGTATTCCTAATCGAAAATGGTATAACGCCCTGACCAACATTAATTAGAAAAAAAAACAAATAAATAGTTATCAAAGCCCCCTTGATAATATTAATATTTAAATAAAATGATGTGGTCGTCGCGCTGCCTTAACTACATACTTTTTCAAGAATCAAAATGATTCATTCGAGTCTGGGCAGACACGGAGGCTTTTAAAACAATTTTTGTTTACGCTCACCCTACGTGATAACACCTAAAAATCTGTAACCTTCTACAAACTTTAAATGTACACGTATAGCAATACTAAATTAGCAAGCACGTCCAGAGAGTTAAGAAAATATTAAGTATTTTATCAAAATTTTGCAAATCTATCCATCCCCCTTAATGTTTCTCCTTTTTCGTACAATATCGGTCTGTAAATTTTTGACTTTGTTTTTTGATTTTTTGAATTTTTATGATTTTTGTGTTTTTCAACCTATTACAATTTTATCTCATGTTAGCATTTTTTTTTAGTGTTTTTTTTAGGTTTTTAGAAGTTTTGGAGTTTTATATAATTAACTTTCAAAACGCGGCAATAAACGCCTTCCTTAAAAAAAAAATTTTGAGCTTGAGCGTACTAACAAATCCATTTTTCGAGATTTATCCAATTGTTTTTTTTCCAATTGTTTTTACTTTTTTTTATTTTCAAAAACGCGTTTGTATTCGTATTCCTCTTAGATGAATTTTAGCGCAGTTTCAAACCGATTTTATAAAATTCAAAGCATCAAGTATCAATTTTTTATATTTTTCGAATTAATTTTTGCCAATTGTTTTTACTTTTTGCGATTTAAAAAAACGTTTGTAATCGCCTTCCTCTTAATAAAGATAAATTTTAGCACAGCTATGAACCTATTTATATTTATTATATATTTTTTTTCCAATTGTTTTTAGTTTTAATGATTTTCAAAAAACGCATTGGTAATCGCTTTCCTCTTAATAAAGAGATAATTTTAGCGCAGAGTCAAACCGATTTTTCGATTTAAGTATTAATTTTGTATATTTTTCGAATTATTTTTAATTTTTGTGATTTTTAAAAAAGTGCGTTAGTATTCGCCTTTCTCTTAATAAAAATGAATTCTAATACAGTTTCGAAATTTTTAGAGAGAGAGAGAGAGATCTTTATGGACCAAAGCGTCAAGTATCTTTTTTACATTTTTCGAATTATTTTTTCCAATTGTTAGTACTTTTTGTGTTGGCAGTTGCCTTCCTCTTAATAAAAATGAATTTTAGCGTAATTTCGAACCAATTTTTCGAGTGATCTTAATAATTCAAAGCAGCAAGTGCAAATTTTTTTATATTCTTCGAATTATTTTTTTGCAATTGTTTTTACTTTTTGTGATTTTCCAAAAAAACGCGTTTGTAACTACCTTCCTCTTAATAGAGATGATTTTAGCGTATTTTCGTGTAATTTTTTATAATTCAATAGCGCCAGGTATCAATTTTGTATATTTTTCGGATTATTTTTTTTCCACTTTTTGTGATTTTCAAAAAAACGTGTTGATAGTCGTCGCCTTCTTCGTAATAAACATAAATATTAGCCCAGTTTTGAACCAATTTTCGTGTGATCTTGATAATTCAAAGCGTCAAATACCAATTCTGTTACAATTTTTGAATTATTTTTTTAAATTGTTTTTACTGTTTTACATTTTCCAAAAATGCAGTGGTAAACGATTTCCTCTTAATAAAGATGAATTTTTAGCGTAGTTTGGGCCGATTTTTTGAGTGATATTTATGATTCAAAGAGGGGTCAAGTAAAATTTTTTTACATTTTTCGAATTGTTTTTTTCCAATTCTTTTTACTTTTTTGGGGTTACAAAAAACGCGTTGCAGACGCCTTCCTCTTAATAAAGATGCATTTTAGCACAGTTATGAACCGATTTTTTGTGTGATCTTTACAATTCAAAGCGTCAAAGACCAATTCTTTTACAATTTTCGAATTATTTTTTTTACTTTTGTAATTTTCAAAAAAACCCGTTTCTAATCGCCTTACTCTTAATAGAAATACATTTTAGCATAGGTTCGAACCGATTTTTCGTGTGATCTTTATGATTCAAAGGGTCGAGTTTTTTCGAAATTGATTTTACTTTTTATTATCCAAAAAACGTGATAGTAAACGCCTTCCTATTAAAAAAAAGGTGAATTTTAACGTAGGTAGTTTTGAACCAATTATTCCACTGATCTTTATAATTCAAAGCGTCAAGTACCTATCAATCTCTTACATTTTTCGAGTAACTTTCTTTAATTGTTTTTACTTTTCGTGATTTTCGAAAAACTCGTTGGTAGTCGCTCCCTCTTAATAAAGATGAATTTAGCGTAGTTTTTAGAATTATTTGTTATTTTTTTAAATTCTTCGACTTTTAGTGAATTTCAAAAAGCGTATTTCTGTATTAAAAATATTTCATCGCGACAAAAAATTACCTTCCCCCAACAAACTTGATGCCAGAACGAGGCTTTGGCGCAGTCATTCATCTAAAATAATTCTGGAGGTACGACCATACAAAAATTCTTAAAAAATCCCTTAAAAAAATTGGTAAGCAGGTCCAGTTTTTAGACAGTGATTGGGCCGAGTGCATAATCACTCTCGCCTCTCGTATAAACCTCGTTCCCACTTCCTTCCTGTTCTTACTTCTTACGCGCTTCATCTCTATATACTAACGCTAGAAGTATCTGCAGGTAAAAGTTTTTTGAAATACAGGGTGTCCCACGACATTTCGAGTTGGTGAACTTCCGGTGGATGCCAACTTGCTTATTAATGGAACACCCTATATAATATTTCATTTTTAGTTTCTACGTAAAATTTGATATACAATGTGTCCCCCGTCGTCAGAATGAAAAACTGAGTAAACGGGCAAGACTCGGTGCAAGAGCCCTAGGCCTACTTTGTTTTTTTGGCGTTTTTAATTTTTAACCTGCTTTTGTGAGGAAACCCGAAAAAACTATGTTTGTTTTAATGGAAACCCCCTATTTTATTAACTGTATTTTATCTAGTACAAAAAATGGGTAATGATAACAGTGTATAAAGTAGTCTATGCCAACAATTATCAGTTGGTTATTTAATATTTTTCTATTGTAAAAATGCCATTTAAAAATTTTTGTTAGTTGGCCATGATGGCGGCGAAAAAAATCAATCGAGTCATGGCCAACTATCATTCTTAAAACCTTACTTAGCATTCTTACAATTCAAAAAATATTAAATAGCGAATATTTCGAAAATAAAAATTTGGAATTGCCTACTTCATACAAAGTTGCCTTAAAAGTTATAAAAATAGTGGATTTCCATTTTTAAAAAAAAACTTAATTTTAACTATTTTGTGCAATTCAATTTTTAATGTTAATTTCTGAACCCGTTTTTATTTATAATCAAAATATCAACATCAGTCCACTAAAGTGGGACCTCAGCTGGCATTTGTATATTATATATTATATAAAAATTAAAATACATATGTCAAAAACTGCAAAATAAAATAATATATAGGGTGTCCCGCTATAATAAACAAATTGGTATAAACTTCCGATTGTGACAACAACTCGAAAATATTTTAGATAAATTCCTCATATCGACATTAGTATACAGCCAAATTTTGATGTCTCCTTTTCGAGATATAGACAGCCGGAATTCGTCCTGGTGGGACACCCTGTATCTTAACAAAAAGTTGAAATATGTTTTTTGAGAAATTTTTTTTGTCCTACGTATTAACACCCGTAAAAAACGAGCTCTGAGTGTTGTCATTTCGAACCCCCATACGTACGGATGGATTTCCCGCAAAAATACTTACACCATATTTTTTTTTGCAAAATGTACGAAGCATTTTCAGATACGACATTAATGCAAGGAGTAAATAAGTCATCCCACCATGAATTTATACAAAGCGAGCCCACAAGTTGCGAATGCGACTGAATAACAAATGTATTTCAGTAACTGCCATCTTGAACTTTATTTTGGCATCATGTTTGGGTCATATTAAATGTTGGTCTTTGTCAAGCGATACACCCAAAACATTATCAATTAAGCCATTTGATCTGGAACATCCTGTATTAAGTTACCACTTTATTTTACAGTCTGCAGGTGAAATTACGATAGGTTTCATTTTCATAAATCTTTTTGTGCTTGTAGAGTCCGTTGCCAGAAAAATTCGAAACGTGTATTATTTCATTTTCCAGCAAAAGTTGATGCGATTGACAGACGAATTTTATTGGTGTGAATGACGTGCAGAGTATTGACACCGTTGCATTTTCGGAACGTAGCCTTATAAAAGAACAACGCACTGCGACTTTTAAATATGGTCATATATTTACCACCGTCTCCTTTTTGGGTAAGCTCGTGTGGGGGCGTCGAATTTTAAAGCTAGGGGAAAACGTTTAGACCGGTCCACAAAATATTACGTAGATACGTTAGGTATTATTATACCGTTCGTACGAGAAACTTCTGCAGATAATTTGTTTGCGAATGAAGTCGGCGAGAAAGACGTCATAATGGCAACATCCCGAAGAAAACAAAGTTACCCTTGGCCACAACACGCGAGGTCAACAAACCCACTCCTTACTCGCCCAGATGAGATGAGATGATTCGAAAAGTCAGCGACCTTCCGTAAATTCAGTCCAGTAAACGTTGGGAATATTCTAATATTAAAAAGAAGTGGTATAAAAAGATGTATTGTGAAAATATGAGCGAGGCAACGCCATCTTCTGACCACTACCAATTTGTGACTAACATCATCGTAAAAATTTACTACACGCCGGCTTACGTCGGAATTTTAATTTGTTATTTACGGAAATGTGCGTAATTGGGATAAATCTCGTCCTTGCCTACCGCTGGCACGTGTAATGCAACGCAATAATTACCTTTGTACGATCACATGGGATTTTGGGAGGGACGAGGAAAAAATTTAAAAATAGGCATCGGATTAGCCTTGTTAACCGGAATTAATTAGCCGGCCGGCGGCGCGGTGACCTACCTTTTTCTTCCTGGGTAATTCGTCAAAGTAATCGACGACGATGCCTTCATCGGACGCGGCACTTGTTGATAACGGCGCTGCCGGCGGCGACGACAGCTCGCAAGGAGGCGGCGACGGCGACGACCGCCACGACGCCGAACTACTGCTACCCGGCGACGTACCGCCCCAAGACATACCTAAAAAGCAATAAAATGTTAAACTAATTACGCGCAAGGTAAAAGTCCAGGTCAATAGCGCGATAAAAGTCAATTTCAAGGAGCAGCCCTTATCTAATCAAAGGCCACATTAGAAGGCATTTAGATTAATTTCGGTGCAGCTAAACAACAACAACAAAAGGTCGCATGCAAATTCTCCACAAAGTAAAAATAGAACGAAATGTGATTAAAATCAATAAAACGGTACGTAACAAAGAAAGAACAAAGCGAATTGTGTAGGTATGACATTGACATTATAAAGAGCGTAAATTACACCATCCATAGATACTTTGCTAATATGATGTGTTTCATTAATTAAAAAAGGCAAACCTGTAATTAAAGGACGTTAGTCGAATTAGGAAAAACCTTGCTCTAAATGAGCCTATTTAATTATTGGACATTTTTATAAAATCAATTCCCCCAGTCGAAAGATTACGCAAATGGCAATGAAAAACTATTCCTGACTCGGTCAAAAATGCACCCGATAGCCGTTATCAGTATTGGGTCGAGTCACCAGGTGAGGGCGCTGCTTGTGCTTTTATTACAAATTAGAAGGCCATTAGTGCTGATGTCTGTCATTTTGTGATAACGTAACAAACAAAGGAGGTGGAAAAACACCAATCTTTTGTTTGAGTCCCCGTTTTTGAAAATTAGGTCGTACGTCACTGATTCAGGGCGGGTAAATGGCGTCGAATTACTGCTCAATTAGGGGACTTTCTGAAAGTACGTTTTAATTTCCTTAAAATACAGAAAAAACCAAAGTGGTGGCCCCATTACTAAGAACAAAGTGTTTTCATAAAATTTTGTTAGGGTTTTTTTCCTCCGCGACAGAGGTTTTACCCCAATCCAAGATCACATTCTTTGTTCCGGATAAAGATTTCGTAATTAATTTTTCTCAAAAAGTATTTTTCGCAAGGATTCAAATATTTTGCTTGAAAAGTCCCAAATACGAAGATGAGTATGACATTTTTGATTAGATTTTTGACTCGATTTTTGAGCATATTCGCTTAATTCGCTACCCGCTCTTCCCAACGACAGAACACGCAAGTAAATGTGATGATATTCTAACAGTTTATTTTTCGAACAAAGAAATTGCATTTGGATTTTTTTTAGAATTTCCAGAAACGTTATTTTCATGTTGACATACTCCGACTTTTTCCGTAACAGCTTGGTGCTATAACTGCAAAACCATGCAAAATAAAAACAACATACGAAGAATCGCATACGATTTTCAGTAGGGGAATTTCTTGTCACCCCTCTCGTATGCGGAAACCAGACTTTTGATCCGGCTCATATTGCACTGATGAATTCGTAAAAATCGATTGGCGTAGGTGTAACACCGCTGTCTCTTTTCGTTCTCGATTTAGACGAGGAACAGACGGACAAAACCATTACATAGGTCATAGGGGAATTTTTTTCTTTCGAAAAAACGCTAAATAAAATTTAGTTATAAGTAAATTCTATTTTGTGTTTTTGTAGGCGAGATGTCTCTGAAAAAACATAGTAGGCAGTCGTGCAATGTCGAAAAATTACCCAATTCGTTTTTTAAAAGGTATTTGAGTGGTTTTTAAAAATTTATTAAAAAAACCTATGCTGTTGCCATAGTTTGAAAAATAAGTGATGTCTCTCTGAAACTATGAATTTGGCAACCCTGTAATTAAAAAAATACCCAATTCGTTTTGATACCCAAAAAAGATTATCACTTACGATTTTTCCATACTTTCAAAAATAAGTGAGATATATCTGGAAATAGAAAATTGGCAACCTTGTAATTTAAAAAAAATATGTTTTTGATACGGACCTTCAATTATCATATCGTATGCCATATACGATAGCATGAACAAATGAATGAATGAAAAACTCAATATACACTGTGTTGACTATTATTCCGATTACTTCCGAAGATATGCCAGAAAAACCGAAATTTGCCGATTTGATTTTTTTAAATATTTGGACAGATACTAAAAAAATAGAAAACACTTCCACATCGCTACTTTTTCAGTTCTACAAGATACCGTTGAGAGTTTCAATAAAACGTTTCGTTTCGGAGAAATCATCATCAAGTTTATTGATTTATATGGTCCGTAAAGAAAAGGACACACTGTATTGACTAGCATTTATTATTAGGAATACAACGCGATACCCGATGCGGCACACAAAAAAAAAACAAAAGTTGGAAACTGTTGGTTTCAACACGATGGTGTACCCGCGCACAACGCACTAATCCTGCGAGAATGGAAAATGTATCCGATTGGTGATCTGGCACGATTAGGGCGTTGTCGTTTGTATGTGTAACTTTCTTTTTTTTAATAAGAGCCATGTTGAATTTTGGTATGATTAAAGGAGAGCTCTCGAAAATGTTTCTACGCCGACTCGCCCCGTTCCCTCAGGAAACCTGTTGCAAATAAAATTAAACGCCTAAAGAAACTGGGCTTCTGCCATTTTCAGCGGGAGAATCGCAAGACCCCCCCGTAATAAATAAAAAAATAAAAGTTTGCGATATCGGGAAAACCTCTATCGATTCCCAAATAAAACCCTTTACCCCAATCACTTTCATAGAATCCATTCTAATGGTCGCCACACTTGAAACTTAAGTCACCTCATTATCCCCTTATTTACCAAAATTTGGGTCGCTCCCCTCTCCTCAGGAAACCCCTTGCAAAAAAATTAAAATTAAAAGTCAATTTTTGATACCTAACGTTTACAATATGAGATATGTTTGCTTTTACTAAAAGCATCTTTGGTTAAAATTTCGAAGAAATATGTCCATAAATAAGAAAGTTGGCATTGCCCAGTATGCGCATGCCAAAAAGTGGCAATGAGATAGTGTCTTTTAGTGCATTTTACAACTCATGTTGGAAGGCGCTAGTATGGCGACTTTCTTAGTCCGTCCGTCCGACAAGTTTTCAAGATATTTAATTCGTTATTTTTGCATTCGGTAGCTTATAGCTGTGGGAGCTCAACCAAGAACATCTTGACGATTAATGTATGTCAACTTTCTTCTTTATGGAGATATTTCTTTTTGAAATTTTAACCACACATGCTTCTAGTAAAGACAAGCATATCACATATTGTAAAACAAAAAAACTGCGCAATGTAAACTCTCTTCCTGATATATTTTTTTTTAATTTTAAAGAAAGATTCTTTTAGTAAAGACAAGCATATCGCATATTGTAATAATGAGATGTGCGCATGTGCAAATTGCGGAATGTCATCTTTCTTATTTATGGAGGTATTTTTTGAAATTGAAACCACTGAAACTTCTGGTAAAAACAAGCATATCGCATATTGTAATGTCAACCTGCTTATTTATGGAGATATTTTTTGAAATTTTAGCCACAGGCGCTTCTAGAAAAGAAAAGAATATCGCGTGCGCATACGCAAACTGCGCAACGCTAAGAATCTTATTTATAAGAATATTTATCCCATAACTTATTTTCCTTTGTACCTTGTGTGTAACACATAAATAGTCCGTTACATGACCTTTCGGGTTCCATGGAAAATGCGCTAAAGTTACTGTATTTGCTCAAATAACATTAGAAAAAACCAAAAACGAAATCGGCAAATGTCGGATTTTTTGACATATCTTCGGAAGTAATCGGAATTTTCTAGTTTTAACTTTTCCCTAATTTGACCATCGTCGTATCTTCTATGGTTTCGGAACAACCGATGATAGGGCATCCTTATCTTGGACACGGTGTATGTGTGGGAAATTAATGAAAATTAAATTTCAATAATATACAGGGTCTTCCAGATCCAGTGGATTGCATGTTATTATTAAAGATATTGAGTTAAATGAGCAAACTTTTGTATTTTTATGTGCTGACTAAAATTGCATTTAGAAAATTAAAAAAATTACTTAGGACTTAGACAAATGAAATTCAAGATGGCGGTTACAGACATATCAATATCAACTTCCTTTTTTTAAATGAGTGATAATTAATTGAATTTTGACACAATGACGACGGACATTTTCTCCCGGAATCCCAAGTGTAAAAATGTTGTCTCCAAGAGGAAGAGAAAGTTTACCCCTAAAATTTTCCCACGCTCCCTTTCGTCAGGATACTTGTTGCACATAAAATTAAACGCCAAAAGACACCCTTCATACCTACTACTCCCTATTCCGGTCCTGTTTTTTGAATTTTATAAACGGAATTTTAATCAGCATCCGAAACGTTTCCCATGGATCTAATCGTTATCTTCAATAATAACAAAGTTACCCATGCTATTCCACTGAATCTGGCCGAGCGGTTTTTATTGTAGGTCTCTTTAAATGACGAAAATCGTGCAATTAATTGATTCGTGTTAAGTTTAGGTATTAATTTTGTTACGAAAACATCCAAACTTATTACTATGAAATGTACCGCATTCATCTTGCCCTTTAATGGTTTAATGTGCATGTTCGCCTGATGAACTGGATTGGGAAAAAATACTGTGCTTTAGTGAGTCGTCATATGGCATATAAATCCACGGTGTATCGTAAAGGTAAAAGGGACAGAGGGGAGTATTTTTGACAAATAAAGCAAAGACCCACGGCTCGTTAAAAAAATCGCCTTATCACGAAAAATTTTTTTTTTTGCTCAACCCGTATATTTATGGATTTTGCACCGTGTACACGGTGTCCATTTTTCGAGTTCCACTATGGGGATCTCGCTTACCTTAAGAGATAGAAAGTTGGTTAAATGGGGGCAAAGTTGCGAATTTCCTTGCTGAATAACCATCTGAAAAGAAATTTAAAATATCATCAGTAGTTCTGAAAATATCACAAAAAAACGAAACTTTCTGGTTTTCGTTTTTAATTTTTTCATGATAAACTAGTCGTGCTAGACATTTCTAATTAACACATTATTCGAACACTTTTCAATGGAGATTTCGAATGTGACATTTCGGTTTAAATAACTTTTAAGATGACAGAGAAACACGTGGCAACTTTAGTTTTTCTTATGGGCGCCATTTTTAATTTTGAGATTTTAAGATTACGTCTTTTTTTCTCTTTACGACGATATATCACACGTGGTGGGTCAGTATCACATTTTTCCTAAAATACAATTTTTAATTTTTTGGGAAGAGTGCTTTGGAAAAACCAAACCTTCTTTTATTGTGAACAAAAGTTTGACAGTTTGATGCATATGTCCGGTTGCAGCGTTGGCATCAGGGAACTAGATGTGTTTTCGATTTTCATATGAAATTTTGAAAGAAAATTATAATTCAAAATAGAACAAAATACATAAGAATAAATAATATTTTAGCAATAAAACTAGCACAAACGTAAATGACACTGCTTGAAATAGGTCAACATTTTGTTCACAACAAAAGAACGTTTTGTTTTTGCATAGCACTCTTCGCATAAAATGAAAATTGTATTTTTACAAAAAATGTGATACTGATGAACCACCATGTGTGATATATCGTTGTAAAGAGAAAAAAAGACCTAATCTCAAAATGTTAAAATCCAAAACGGTGCCCATAAAAAAACTAAAGTTGCCACGTGTCTTGAAAGTTATTAAAAACGGGATGCCATATTCGAAATCTCCATTAAAAAGTGTCTGAATAATGTGTTAATTAGAAATGTCTAGTACAATAATTAGTTTACCATGAAAAAGTTAAAAATAAAAATCAGAAATTTTCGATTTTTTGTCATATTTTCAAAACTATTGAAGATATTATAAATTTCTTTTTAGATTATTATTCAGCACGAAAATTCGCAACTTTGCCCTAATTTAACCAAGTTTCTATCTCTTAAGATATCCCCATAGTGGCACTCGAAAAATGGACACCGTGTATATTACATGTGAATGTTAAAGTGGACAATTTGCTTACGAGCTTTTTTGTTCATTTTTTGAAATTTTCAAAAATTACGTTATCACCCAGGCATAAAATTCCGTCGAAATCAGATCTTTTTTGCACCACTTTTTATATGGGGGCTGGCAACGACATAGTAAAAAAGCTAATCAAAAACATCAGAGTCCCACCTTTCATTATGCCTTCTAGCAACAAAAATAATATAATTTCCCATTGCGCTTTCGCCCCCTCTGTTGACCTGTCACCCTGTATACCTGTACATGGTAGGGCGGACATTTATTTTGAAAATAAATCAAGTCGTCTCCTTAGTCCTTTTTTGGGTGATAATTATATAGCCTTCACATTGACGATCCGCATTCAGGTGACTAAGAATTTAACAAATACTTCGCATACCTACCATCGGTATTGTATGCTAAACGAGTATTCGCGAATTACCGACAAATTGTGCTCGTTAAGGCAAACCAGGGGCGTGCCAAATTTATTCCTGGGACTTGCTTCCAAAATTGTCTTTCTCGCGCTCAGAAACAAATTTAAATAATGAATAACAAAAAATGTTTCCCAACCGGCTGACATTCAAGAAGGTCAGTTTTGCTTGCAATAAAAAAGGATTTGCATTTGCATATGTAACAACTTTTCAAGCCAAACTCATTAGAGCTGCACATAGTGTGTTTCTCCATTACGCTCAAGGCCGTTACCTTCATTGCCAACTAAAATCGAAAATAGTTACAATTACGAACCGCTCCTCTCCGTTACGTAAAGGTGTATTCGTGATTTGGCAGAACGTAGGTAATTGCCTTGCATGGACGAGCAGTTTAAAAACCTCTCAAGAGATAATTATGAAAACGAAAACGAATTAGAAGGCAATTAGGGATAATCGACCCGTCCAAGATATCCGGAATATACTTACTACCAAAATTTGGAGAATGTGGCGAACACGAGAGGCTCATTAGAACCAGGGCGGCGCTGCACTCGTCCATTTGGGGATCCTTCGGGCTATCCTCCTGACTACTGCTCGGCCTTCGCTTTCGGGATCTGCAACGATACAAAAAATTTAAATTCCACGGTCGTCCACAAAACACCAAAATTAACGGTTATCGGTTTCCTGTCCCCGATATTACCTATGCGCTCACGTGGTGTGTCGTCCACCTTTTCTCCTAATTTATCGGCCGCAATTAAAAATCTATTTTTAAATTTGTAAATCGCCGATTACGCAACCGCGAAAATATCAAACTGAAATGACTTGCGGCATTACCGTAGGTACGCGAATTGCTATTTAAAGTTATTCAAGACAATAAATGTGTAGGTACGGCTTCCGCGTTGAAATGGTAATTGTATGTATATTGGATATTAGAAAACAAAAAAAACACGCCACTTATCTACGCGAATCTTCAACAAGGGGATTATGTAAACCGCGTTTTACGCACAATTTACAAAAACCTTACGTTTTGTAGTTGAACATTTAAATACAGGATGTTTTATTTAAGAAACGAAAATTAATTCTTTTGATGAAAAAAACATTCGAACTATTGCTTTCTCTCTCACACTCCTTCAATTCTTTTTACTGCAATGTATTATACAAAAAAAAAACGCAAGCGCATGGGTTCGAACCCGCGTCATCGACCGCTTTAAATCGACGAACGAAGAGTTTGCAACTGAGCTGTGGCAACCTTCAATTTCGAGGGAAAAAAAACGCTACAGAATAATGCCCCTAATAGAATTATAAACCCAGATTAATTTCAGAAGCTTGCCCTTTTCTCATTTTACTTCAATGTTGAGAATATAGTTCGCCATAGTCATCAAAGTGCAAATTGAGAAATTCGAAACGCTCTTAAATTTCTTAACAGATCACTTTTGTGAGTATTCTCTTCCCGACAATTCGTCTCGAGATATAAGGGGCCTGGAGTTGACAACAACTCATTTCGTTGAGACCTTTCCACGTTTTCGAAACATTCCCAAAGCATTTTGAAAGTTCCCTACACAATCCAATGTTTCCTGCTCATATCCCAATTCACCACAAATTTTTCAATACATTTTCGAAATGTTTATGAAATTTCGTACGTATTTCCAAAATATCCTAACCCTTTTCCACAATGCCTTCCAAAGTTTCCCTTGCATTTTCGAAAGTTCCAACTCATTCAACATTTACAGCATTTTATGGTTAGATGAAGTAACATGTGATTGAATCTCGTCTAACGAAGACAAATTATTACCGACATTTCCGAAATATTAAAATTTCAAAAAGTCTACACTTCAAGAACTTACTACATATTTTCGAAATACCCCAAACGTATCCAAAATTCCCAGTAAATATTTGGCGTTTCCAAAACTATTTACGCGTTTCCAAAATATTCGACATGTTCAAAATTTCCTTCTCATTTACCATACATTCCCAGAATTCTTCAAACATTTCCGAAATTTCCATCCTACAAATTTCCAAAATGTCCTAAAGATTTCCAACATTCCTAATAAATATGAGACATCTCACACATTCGTAAATTTTCCATTTTCGACATTCCCAAAATATTTCCGAAATTTCTGGCATTCTCAAAAATTCGCAATTTCCAAAATTTCCTAAGCATTTCCGACATTCTTGAAACATACGTCATTTCTACAAAATTAATCCATTTGAAAATATTTGACATTTTCAGAACTTTCCCATCAGTTGCTCAATATTTCCAAAATTGTATGGTTAGATGAAAGACCAGCTTGTGCACTACAGGCAGATTTCTAAAATTTTTTACAGATTTCGAACATCCCCAAATCTTCCTGTGCATTTTAATTTTTTATTTTTAAAAAAGTTCACTATTTTCATTCCGGATTTCCAGATTTTTTAAGTTTTTTCTTTCGTAACATATTTCGCTCAAATTTGAAATATAAGCTGAGAAGGGTCATGTCAGTGGCAGTGAAAATGAAAGTGTAATTTTTTCTGAATTCATATTCCATTTTCTACCCCTGAACTTGTATATCTTGTGTTTATAAATTAAGGGTTTAAATAGTAAAGTGTACGGTAGAACTATAACACCCTGTGGATCGGTAACGAAGCGTTTGCGGACCTATGTTTATATGAACGTTTATTTATAAAATAAGCCAAAGAATTAGCCCCTTCATCATATTTAGGAACACCGTGTATATTCACTGACGTATTACGTATACGTACAATTGTTTTTACGAATTAGATTGATTGATTTGTTTCCAGTATTTTAAAAATGACTTCACAACTTAGTACATACTTCCAAAAATTATCAAAATATCATTTTCAAAATTTCTTTCTCATTTTCTGTACATTTCCAGAAACATTTTTGATATTTCCAAAACATTCCACTCTTCAAAAATTCCTACAGATTTCCAAAATATCCTAAAGATTTTCCAATATTCTTGCATTCTTGCATATTTTCACAACATACATTTTCAACATTTTTGGCATTTCCAAAAAATCTCTATTTCCAAAATTTCCGGCACGCGTTTCCAGCGTTCCAGCTTCTAACGAAGACAATTATTTCAAAAATTCCAAAAACATTCCCCCAATTTCCAAAGATTCCACATTTCAAATGCTTCCACATGTTTTGAATGCTTTATCAAAATATTCTAAACATTTCCAATATTCCCATTAGATAATTTGACATTTCCAAAACTTCGTACGCGTTTCCAAAATTTTTTACATATTTTCAAAACCATTTGTTTTAAGAATTTCTCACACATTTCCAAAACTGTTTACGCGTTTCCAAAATCTGTTACATATTTTCAAAATTTTCGACGCCTAATCGAAACATATAATTATAAAAATTACCAAAATTCCAAAGATATTTGATATTTCCAAAAAACATTCCACTTCCTACAGCACTTTTCTACAGACTTCCAACATTCCCAAAACTTACTATGGTTTTTACCTGGTTTTTTATTTTAAAAAAATTCACTATTTTCAAAACATTTCCAAAATATTCTGTACTTCTCAACATTTTCAAAATTTCTTACACGTTTCCAAAAGTTTCTGCAAGATTCTTGTGCTTTTTAAGAGTTTACTATTTCCAAAACTTCTTATATATTATCAAAACTTCCTACACAATAAGAATTTCTTCCGCCATTTGCAAAACAACCGCCATCTTCAAAACATTTCCGAGGTTCCCACACATTCCGAAAGTTTGCTAAATATTTTCGACATTTTCATAACGTTTCAAGAATTTCCGAAAGCACCATTTCCAAAATGTCGATCAATGTTTTACAATTCAATTTCAAACTTTAGTTTATCTTTAAATGCCTTCCACGCGTTAGTTTCCAAAATGTTCTAAGCAAACTTATTTTTGGTTCAAAGGTGGAAAATGTACAGTGTGTCCTATTATGGTTCACACTGCAGTGTCTCAGCTGCTTTTAAAGATAGACTTGGGGTTTTGGCCACCGTGTGTCACTTTTTTGTGAAACTTTTAATACCACAAACAGAATCAATTTAGCTATGTTCATTTCTGAAATACAGGGTGGGTTTTTGAGATGTTATGATATCTTACTACCCATGTAAGATAGAAAAAAAGGCGAAAACTGACTATTTTAGGTATTTTAACGTAGAATCCAGTGGCGTCAAAACTATTTTGGACCACCGTTTCTGAGATTTGATCCAATGCTGGTATTATTAAATGCAACGCCCTGTATATCTTAATGTTAATTTTTGCAGTATTTTTCTTGATACACTGACGTATCACAATTTATATTTTTTTTATTTTAGACATGAACCAAAGGTAAACGCCTTAATTTTTACGATTTGTAAATAGTAGACCATGGATTCATGGAGATTTTGATTTGTTTATTATATCCATGGTAACCAAGGCTGGCGGTAGAAGCGTGTCATTTCAAAAATTTGAAAGAAATGATCAAAATATATGATTATATAAAAAATATGGGTTGTGATACATCAGTAGGTATAATCAGGAAAATAATGCAAAAATATTCACGCTAAAATATACAGGGTGTTGTATTTAAAACGGCCGCTGGGGCGCAGTTCAGTTAAAGCTGAACTGTGGTGCTAAGGGTTCGGGCATGGATAATTGTAAATGTTTAGTGGGTTGGGTTGGTAGAGCAGCCTTGGTTGAAACCTCGCCCACTCAAAAATAAAGGCAAAATAAAAAAAATAAAAAAAAAACATTAGGTCAAATCTCAAAAACAGTGGTCCAAAAACTTGTTTTGCCTACGCCATTGAGTTCTACCATTGAATAAATGGTTTTTTATTCAATGGTTCTATATAAAAATATCTAAAATCGGCAGTTTTACATTCGTTTCTACCTTAAATGGGTAGTAAGATACCTACATATGATGGTATCCCAAAAAGCCAAACTTTTGGTTTTCACCCCGTACCACAGAAACAAACCTAGCTATATTGATTGTTTGTGATACATATTGCGTTTCACAAAAAAAGTGGCACATGGTCGCGAGTCTCTATCTTTGAAAACAACTGAGATAGACTGCAGTGTCAACCAAATTAGGACACACGGTATATTTGCAAACCAAGACGTAGGAACCTCGGGAGATGCAGGATATCGCGTTGAAGGTGAAGAGGTATTAAAAAATTTCCTGGGTGCGTCTCAGGGCTATTCTCGGGAGCCTTTATTATCGTACGACCATATTGTAAATTTTGCGAATTTATTATATCCCATACGGTCATGGAACGAACCAAAGTGCAAAGTAGAAGGCATCGGCATTCTTTTAATTTGCAAACGCACGAGCGTACGATCGTGTATAATTACTATTTACGATGGGAAACCAGAATACTATGAAACGTTTACAATAATACGCGTACGGTTTGTTTATATGGTAATTTATTTAAAACAACTCGCTCGGATATTTATGTAAAAAAATTCATAAAAAATATTTTGATATGTGTCTTTGTCTTTTGTTTCGGGCACACCTTCGAAATCAAATCGAGCCGTTCACTTACCTATGATTGAACTTTCCGACGGCGACAAGTACAAAGGACACACTAGCAACAACGGCACAATTTTTCCGCACTCGATGCTTATCCGGATGAAAGTTAATCGGCGATACCGTATCTTCGAACACTTCAAAGATATTGATAGGTCATGGTCTTTTGTTCTTCTCCGGGTGTTCATCGCTATTCTGTTATTGGGCGATCTGGAAGTCCTAATTTTGAGAAGAAGTTTGTTTGTTTCAGACTTGTTGACACACTTTTTATCGAGCTGGACCTGCATTTGGTATCAGTAAATAACCCAAATTACGAAATTCTAACATCTCATCTGTCAATATTGGTTTTTTCCCCATGGCATATAAACCGCACTGGCCGTGCGTCATAACTTGCGAAAAACTTGGTCGCGCGTCCCGAATGAAGCAAAAATCTTTCCAAGGAAACGGATTGACACGTTATCGTTATCATTGCGTAGGAATTTCGGAGCACCACTGAAAAACTGATCGACAACGGAAGTGGCCTCATTAATTTCTTAGATCAGTAGCACTTTCTTTGGGATTTTTTCAACGAGTGAATGCAAATAAATAAATTGTTTATCAGACCATAGCATTAGCGAAAGGATTTTGTTACATAAATTCACCTCGAAGTGCGGAAGTATCGATCAAGCCCGACAAAAATTGAATATCATTTATTAATCGGCAGGTAACGACCTAATTTCGACATCGAAATTATCGAAGGAATATGCAAAAGTTGAGAAAGCGAGTCCATTGATGAAATTTATATAACCTAATCATTTGATTATTATTAACAACAAGTGTTGATGAGAAAGTGAGAGGAATCGTGCTAACTTTCATTCTAAACATCTGTTGCGCTACGGCATACTATTACAAAAGACCCCTATCGACACGCGAAGACCAAAAGTACTGACCCGTAATGGTAAGATGGGGCAGGAACGTCGATGGTATGCGATGCGGTTCTCTTCCGGTCTCCCGCCATATCGGCAAGTCGTGCGAAATCCGTGTCTTGGTCGGCCAGCCTTGCCGATTTTCTCGATTCCAAAAGTCGCACCTCTTCCAAACGCTTTTGCACCTCGAAGGGCACCTGAAACAAAAAAGGCAATTTGAGTAAATACGCGACACGAAATGTAGGTAAGTGGGACCGTTACTATTTACGTAACTCGATGTAGAAATCTCACCTACTCGTTTAATGTCGATTAAAAAAAAATGAGGTAATGTCAAGGCTTGTTGTATTACGATACAAAAAATTAATCAGCTTGCATCACTTTGACGACACAAGTCCATCTCGGCAGCAATAAAGTGCAATAATCACGAAATACACCTTGCACCTATAATGGCGAATAATAAAAACTGGCTCGCAATAAAGATTTATTGCCGAATTTATAATCTCGAAACAGATTACATGCTTATTTTTAGTACCTCGCGAATAAACATTTTTCTTCTTCGTTCAATACGAAAGTGGTGCACATCAGTTTGTTGCTCTCCATCGAGTGTCACTTTTATTGTATTTTTTTTACAGGTAACTTTTTCATTTGCTTCGTAAAACAATAAAGGAGGTTTTTTGAAAATAAGACTCATTGCTTTAAATTTTCCAATGGGGATAATAAAGTTTAAATACGTAAGCCTTGTTTTCGTAATGATCTACGTTTTGATAAAGCGCGTGTAATAAAAATTCCTAATTACAAATCATTGTAATATATAAATAATACCGTGGAGTAACAATAGTTCTCATTACACGCTTGTATGGGATTCGACATCTTTTATTTCAAGGCAAACTGAGATATTGCCTAACGAAAAGGTACTTTTTGAGGCAAAGCACGTACACAATTTGCTCTAATATCTTAACCACGAAATATCAAATTTTCAGAATTTTTTGAGGTTTCATCTTCGATATATACAGGGTGTTACATATTATAAGTATGTAAAAAAATTGAGTGGTGGGCAATTTTATTCCTAAACTCATCACTCATCAGGTTGTACACAACAAACTTCGTGGAATTCACTCCATTTTCGTTGTCCGGCCAAGAATTGCGGTGGAATTTTTTTTCGAATTTTCAAAAACTTCAGACTCGTTATTTTCGTGTTCAAAAAAATTAAAGAAGAAATGCAAATTTCACCACTTTTGTGAGGGTGGCTCCCAAACGGGGACACGGTCAAGTTGGCAAGGGCGACTCGCCACTAGACCACTCGCCACTGCGACAACTCGCCAAGTTGTCGCAGCGACGAGTCATCCGTTGGCGAGTTAACGCGGTGGCGAGTTGTCGCGGCCGCTCCGCGTGTCTGTAAGTGGCGAGTGGTCCAGTGGGGAGTCCCCCAAAAAAATTTTTTTTTAATTCTAAAAAACTAATTTCAGATTCGTATTCCTGTTCAAAAACCCCCATATGTCAAATTTCGTCGGAATCAGACTTTTTTCGCATCCCCATTTAGGGGTGCGCCCTTTCGTGGTAGGAATTTTGAAAAAAAATTGCAAAATCAGGAAGCGTGCCACCAGTCATTGTAACTCTTATGGTTGCTGAGAACAAAATTAACGAAGAAATGCAATTTTCTCCACTTTTTTGAAGGCGGCTCCCAAACGAAACACATTGGACTCTCGGTTTATTTGCAAAAAGAGCTTATTTTAATCCCTTCATCCACCCAATTTTGTACATACTTATATGTAACACCCTGTAAATAGCCGACGTTCATTGTGGAGCATTCTGTATAGCTTCAAAATTTCAAAAAATTGTAGCAAAATTTCTGCATTTTCTTCATTTCCATATTTTCTACGCACTTTCACCATGCTTCATTTGAAATATTTTTATACATTTCCAAATCATTCAAAAATTTTGACACGTCAATTTCCATGTGTGAAAAATTTTTGAAGCGCTTTCTATTTAATATCTATAAACGGGGGCGGACTGGCACGGGGGGGGGGCGGGTGGCGATTGCCACCTGGCCTGTAGATCATAATGGCCCGTTGGAAATTTATAAGTATGTGCTGTATTTAGTTTCTTGCACTATTAATAAATTATTAACACGTTTCTCTAATTGGGGTTGATGTTAGGTTGTTAAAAAATTCTGTTTTAATTGAAGTGTTTTACAATGAATTTATCATTTTTTGTCGTAGCATGAAAGTGCTGAAATACAATGATAGGCGACGCACCTCGTGTGGATTGTATATTTTGTTACTTTTAATTATCAGCTGCAATTTAAAAAAAACTGTATATGGTAATTGATTTTCGAGAAAGGAGTACTTTAAAATGTTTTTGTGGTGCACCTCAGAGCTACCCCCCCCCCCCCCCCGGCACCTTCATTACTACACTAATACTTTAATGGCTTAATGGCCCGTAAGTATACCCAGTCCGCCCCTGTGTATAACCTTCCTTTTTTACCAAAATTCGACTACACCAAAATTTCTCGGGAAAACACTTTTTCTTATTAATTTTGGTGCGTAGAATCCAAAACAATTCGTACTTTTTCGATCAGACTTCTCAATCAAAAGTTATAGACTAGAAACCAATTTCGAAAGAAAATTCAAAGGGCTGTAACTTTTGAACTAGTAGCCCAATCTTGGAACTGTTTTAAATTATGGATTCTACAGGCCACATTCTATAAGAAAATTTTTTTCCGGGTCGATCTGAGACAATTTTTTTTGCGGGCCTCAAAAAAAGGCAGTGTATACCTTCCTTTTTTACCAAAAATCGACTGCACCAAAATTTCTCGGGAAAACACTTTTTCTTATTAATTTTGGTGCGTAGAATCCAAAACAATTCGTACTTTTTCGATTACACTTCTCAATCAAAAGTTATGGACTAGAAACCAATTTCGAAAGAAAATTCAAAGGGCTGTAACTTTTGAATCAGTAGCCCAATCTTGGAACTGTTTGAAATAATGGATTCTACAGGCCACATTCTATAAGAAAAATTTTTTTCCGGGTCGATCTGAGACAATCTTTTTTTCGGGCCTCAAAAAAAGGCAGTGTATAACCTTCCTTTTTTACCAAAAATCGACTACACCAAAATTTCTCGGGAAAACACTTTTTCTTATTAATTTGTGTGCGTAGAATCCAAATCAATTCGTACTTTTTCGATCAGACTTCTCAATCAAAAGTTATAGACTAGAAACCAATTTCGAAAAAAAATTCAAAGGGCTGTAACTTTTGAACTAGTAGCCCAATCTTGGAACTGTTTGAAATTATGGATTCTACAGGCCACATTCTATAAGAAAATTTTTTTCCGGGTCGATCTGAGACAATGATAGGCGACGCACCTCGTGTGGATTGTATATTTTGTTACTTAATTATCAGCTGCAATTTAAAAAAAAACTGTATGGTAATTGATTTTCGAGAAAGGAGTACTTTAAAATGTTTTTGTGGTGCACCTCAGAGCTAACCCCCAAGATTTTTCTTGATTGAGGTGCCAGAGCTAGCTATCGAAATCGAATGCAAAAAGAACGAACTAAATATCATGCGTGATATAGCCCTACCCAGCAAGGGAAAAAAACTATTTTCAATTTTGCTTATTTTAAACTAATGCCCTATATTTAATTTCTAGATTCTACGTCAAATATCAAAATGTAGTCATTTTTGACATATTTAAATTTTTGTCAAAAATGACCTTTCAGAGGTTCCGTTTCAGTGTGTCGATATATTTTCATTATAGATATTATATACAGGGGATTCAATTCAATTTAAAAAAATCGTTAAAACTACGATTTTTTAATAAAGACTAAAATTAAAAGCAACTTTGTGTCTATTCTAAAAATTTGCAGTTTTCAAAATATAGGCTATTTAAGTACGATGTTAAGTGGTAAGAAAAATTAACATTTCTTTATTGCTCGATTGTTTTTCTTTTGGAGCCATGGCCAACTAATAAAAAAGGTTAGTTATTATTGAAATAACAATGAAAACAAATCAAAATCGTTTATGTAATGTATTGTAGTGAATTTTCTAGAACGATATCAAGTCGATCAAGAGATAGATTAGTAACCATCGATAAGGAAGGAAAGCGAATGTGCTGATTTGAGACCTCTCTAAAAGCTTCTTATTTGCTATATAAGCAAATTGAATCGTGTTTAGTCTCAGCCTTAACATCGACACCGAAATGATAAATCGTGAATTTCGCGCTCGTGTTATGTATTCGAGCGCAAGTCATCAGTAATAATTAACTGCTATAAATATATATAGTGTGCTCAATTTAAAGTAAGTAAGTTAGCATCATCTTACGATATAACTTAATTGAATGAACAATACCGCCTTTAGAGATGCGCATTTTGAATGTTTGTTGCCGATCTTCTTCGCAGCAAAAAACATAAGCATTGTGGTGGTCCACATGGGAATATATTAGGTCCACTATTATTTATCATTCATAACATTGTAATGCGCACAATTTTAAGTAAATGGTCAAACGTCCACTGGTACGTACTACAATAGCCAATGGATAAGAAGTATAAGTGCAATGAGCGTATAATGGCATTTACATAATGTAAAAAACATATACAGGGTGTTTCTAAATATGATGTAAATACGGGTAGGACTAATTGTTTGGCTGATTTTATGAGTAAAAGTTTAGTCATAAAATAAGCCAGTCCCTTTCGTATTTATAACATACCTCCATAAATCAACCACTGCCAAAAGAAAAAGATAGATCCCATTTTTAGCCAAAGTAGGTAACTCCACAGCGTGATAAACGTATTGTAACATAATGGCGTCATCATGGCGCTTCATATCGAAAACGATTAGCATTAAAAAACAACCCTGACCTACGATAAGGCAGCCTCGAAATTTAGTAACGATATTATCTTTGCTTCAGTCGGATAACACTGCTTTGGAAAATAACAATGTGACGAAAATAAGGAAAGAGCAGGGCCAAGAAACCCGCAAAACCGAAATAATAAACAAACTATTATTATTATCTACCCTGTAATCAACCACCCTAAATAAACATCCGAAGTACTTCTACCGAATCATGAATATGAATAACCATAATTTTGGATGTTATCTAAAAATGTGCATTGTCTACTCTCAAAATCGGCTTGCAGATTAGACAACAGTGAAGTACTTTGGGTGTAGACAGGACGTCTGCCTTTTGCAAATTACATGCAGAT